TAACCCTAACCCTAACCCTAACCCTAACCCTAACCCTAACCCTAACCCTAACCCTAACCCTAACCCTAACCCTAACCCTAACCCTAACCTGCACGTAATTTAGCTTTTACTAGGCTACTACTAGGTAGAATAATTATAGTTATAGTAGAGTTACTAGCTATATATAAAAAAGGTAGACTAAGTTTTAGATTGCATGTAGAAGTAAATAGTATTCCTACTATAAACTGCTGTTAGATTCTGCTATTAGATTTTACTATTAGATATTAGAATTAGCTATTAGATATTAGAATTAGCTGTTAGATTTTGCTGTTAAATAGTAGAATTTGCTATTAGATTTTGCTATTAGATATTAGAATTAGCTGTTAAATATTAGAATTAGCTATTAGAATTAGCTGTTAGATTTTGCTATTAAATCTTACTAGCGGATTTTGCTATTAGATGTTAGAATTAGCTATTAGATTTTGCTATTAGATTCTGCTGTTAGATTCTACTATTAGATTTTGCTATTAGATGTTAGAATTAGCTGTTAAATATTAGAATTAGCTATCAGAATTAGCTGTTAGATTTCTAACGCACGGGCTAATTTTTCAAAGATTTAACAGCAAAATCCGCGATCCTAATAGGTATAGGTAGACTAGGTTTTAGATTATATATAGAAGTAAATAGCATTCTTACTATAAACTACTATTAGATTCTACTATTAGATTTTACTATTAGATATTAGAATTAGCTATTAGATTCTACTATTAGATTTTGCTATTAGATATTAGAATTAGCTATTAGATATTAGAATTAGCTATTAGATTTTGCTATTAGATTTCTAACGCACAGGCTAATTTTTTAAAAATTTAATAGCAAAATCTACAATCCTAATAGGTATAGAAGTTAGGTTCTAGAAGTTAGTTCTTAGATATTAGTAGCTAGTTTTTAGAAAGCTATCTTTTAGATTTAGTTCCTTAATCTTAGTTTCTAGACTTTAAGTACTTAGTTCTTAGCTAATATTTCTAGTATATATACTATATTTTACTTAGTTTTCTATAAGAACTATTAATCTTAATATATATAGATTACGCTATTAGATTGCGCTATTAGATTATACTATTAGATTCTACTATTAGATTCTACTATTAGATATATAAGTACGTATTAAGATTCTACTATTAGATTCTACTATTAGATTCTGCTATTAAATATAAGTACGTATTAAGACTCTACTATAAGGTTCTATTATTAAATATATTAGTATATATTAGGATTTTGCTATTAGATTCTACTATTAGATTTTCTATATATAGACTAATTTTTTATAAATTCTACTATAGAATCTTAGATTTTAATATACTTAGGGGTTTAGTTTTAAAAAAGAAGATATTATTAAGAACTTAAGTATAAGTAAAGTAATATACCCTACGTAACTCTTACTAGTATAAGTATAAGTAATATTACTAGATCTAATACTAGATAATATACTATTACTCTATACTCTCGTGTACTCTATATTAGTTAGTAGTATAGAGTCTAATAATTTTTAAAAGTAAAGTTTTCTTTAAAGTAAAAATTAATTATAAAACTATAGAATAAGTAAGAGTATATATAATATAATAGAAATAATACGTATAATATATATAAGATAAGTAACTCTACTTGTAGTTCTCTAATTAAAGTGAATACGCCACAATTCACGATTTACCCCTGCTTCGAACGAACTCCTTGTGTGCATTGTTGAAATGTTATCATTCACGACCAAATCGCCTTCGTGCCATGAATGCCAATAGCAAATGCGACGATCATGCAGCAACAGCTCCAAAATATCGCACACGCTCTGATCGCCTTGCTCGATCTCAACATGTGTAGGATCGAATCGCGTCTTCTCTTGAGGCCAGCGCTCGTGGAACCGTAGGCAAGGCCTGCCCGTAGAAGGGTGACTGGTCACCAGCGGCATGCCTCGAATGACCGACTGATCGAACGAGCGTGTTGAGACTGACCAAGTAAGAAATGCCAGTTGATTCAAGGGCTTCTCTTCTGGCAAATGCTCGAAAACCAACTTCGAGCTTGAGAACAAGGTGTAGCCAGTATTCCTGGGACTAGGAGTTACCGCGGCGAAAAACTGAAAATGCGGTGGGACAGGAACGAGGTGCTCGCTTCCATCCTTTCTTATCTCTTTTGTCGTTTTGAACAGGCCATCGAAGTGGAAGGGCATCCATTCTTTGCTTAGCACGTTGTTCAGTCCCTGGCTCTCTTCCCCGTGGTCTTTGACTTCCAAAACAAGTCCGAACTTCCACGGTGTAGGCACTCCAAGCTCGTGAGCCTTGGCGACGAATCTTTCGCGATTCCTTGTTTCCGTGAAGCCACGGAGTACGACTGGCGAATTTTGAACGGCCAGTTCGCGGACTTTCCGTGCTTCAATCATGCTGATCGAACAGCGCTTTAAGCCTTGTGCTGGTCGGATCATAATCCCGCATGGATACATAGGCTCGAAGGTCACTGGTGTTGCCCAGTCATAGACGTGCGATCGTTCTCGAAAGTACGATGCTCGGCCATCTTCATATACCAGCTCCATGTCACTCATCTGTTGAAATCCGTGACGATGACCAGCAATGAGGGTACCGTCCAATTTGAACGCGACAGTGTTGTGCCAGGGTGTCATCGTCTTTCCAAGTGGTAAGACGTTGATCGATATCTTGTCTTCACCAGTGGAAGGGTGAATTGACAATCGCACGTGGTCTTGAAAATTCTCGCGCATTGCTCTTGCGAATGCCTCTCCACGCTTCAACATGCTCTTGGCGATCTTCTCAACACCCCGCTTGAATCGGCTTTTTGATCGCTCTTCGCAAATGGGATATGTGGCCGCCAAGTCAAGCTCGAGGAATTTGAGATATGAACAGTATGTCAGCTGCTTGTTCTCATCCAGACCTGCATGTGAGTCGTTGTGAGTCTCATCCCAGTTGTGGCTTCCATAGCGATTCATGAGAGTGAGGCGGATAGAAGATGCTGTGGCAGCATACGTCATGCCATCGGTCTCTTCATGAAGTTTTGGGGCGGCCAGCAGATCTTTGATGCGTGCAAACTCGATGTGTGAATAGTCACGAGCTTTGGTGAGTGCGCGAAGCTCTTGGCCATACATCCAAACCGTGTTGTCAGGTACGCCCAGAAGGTCTGCCAACGTTAATGTCGAATACACCTTCTACGTTGCATACTCGTACTTACCGTTGTACACCAGTCCATCTGAAACAATAACAAGTACCGCACCAGGAGGGTAGATGTCCTCGATGGCACTGCAGAGCCCGTTAAGATGCGCAAGTGCAACATCCTCAGCTTTGTCCGGCATCGTCCCCAGGACCTTTACTGCACTATTGGGGCTCTTGAACGGAAATGCAGGCATAGCCATGCGGATCGCCTTATTCATCTTCACGAAGCGATAGATCTGACCGAGGAACTTGATTGCGCCCTCGTCGCTACGATCAGAAGCATTCTTGGGTAGAGGACTCCTGTATCGAAAGATAGTATCAAGGATGCGTTGCGACATCTCCATTGCTTCTGCGTGCAGGCCTGTATTGAACCTGCCATTGAATCTCGGAGGAGTAGGGGGCTCGACAAGCGATGGCATCTTGGTTATAGTCTTGGTAAAAGGTGGGTGGCTGAATCGACTCAATGTGATTACGCGCTCAGAGAGATATTCCGTGCAAATCGCAAGCTTTTTGAGACAAAAGACGTGGAAACGCAGCCAAACACTGAATGAAGAAACATGCGATATTCATGCGTCTGTTCATGCTGAACAATCTTATACTCGAAGTCGCCACACATTGGCGTCTCGAATTGGAAGAGAATCCGGTGCTAGGATTGCGCACGCCTGGAGCCGAGGCTAGCATGTAACCTTCCCCCTTTGATCCCAAAGCCGTTATAGGATTACCGAAGAATGCGCGACAAATTTTCCTGCCTCGGAACGATCCTTGAGCGGCTTCACCTTCTAAACACGACAAGTGCAGCCAAGAAGTTCATTCGTCATATTTGAACGCTATTTTGAATTTCAAGTTTATGGTCGTATTCAAGTTGATCTCGAAGATTCTAACCCGCCGTACTACATCATTACAATCTTTTTCGAACCGACATAGAATCACACGTGAAAACACGAAAATCTTTTGAACTCGCCATGGCAGTCGGAATGAAGGCGGATCTTGGTGATGCTTCACCTAAGAATCTCTCTGCTACTCGGGGTTTCATGCCAGAGATCCAGATCATGTCGAGCTTCTTTCTTATGTTCAACTCATGGTAAGTATTTCATATTTCTTGCGTATTCTGCTAACGAACAACGAACAGGGGTCTTATCAACGCTTTCGGAGTGTTCCAGGAGTACTATGCCTCATTCGACCCCCCACTTGCAACTGCATCTTCAATCTCTTGGGTTGGCACTCTGCAGACCTTCCTCCTGTTGGCCGGTGGGTCCGCCACCGGATCTTTCGTGGATAGAGGCTATGCCCAAACCATGTCTTTTGTGGGCTGCGCCCTTATCACCCTTGGATTGATTCTCACCTCCTTTAGTGGGGAATTTACCGACTCCCAGTCTCCTGTGTACTATCAGGTTTTATTGTCGCAAGGGATTCTGTCCGGCCTAGGTATGAGTCTTCTCCTGGTTCCATCGACAGCAGTCTTGTCCACGCACTTCACACACAATCGTGCATTAGCCGTCGGGCTCGCAGGAACGGGCGCATCCGTCGGAGGTATAATCTACCCAATCCTCACACGCCGCCTTCTGGTGAGAGTTGGGTTCAGCTGGTCGATGCGAGCGATTGCGCTTGTTGTGTTGGTCACTACAAGCATCGGTGCTGCGCTTTTGCGTCAACGCGCTGAGCTTACGCAAAACCCGGCCAAACGAACACTTTACGATTTACGATGTCTCAAAGATCCCATATACGCGCTGTTTAGTGCAGGAGTCTTCCTCTCTTTCGCTGGAGTCTACATTCCCTACTTCTACATCAGCGCCTGGGTCCATGACACTGGATTCTCGCTGCATGGTATGGATGCCTACTACTTGGTCAGCATCATCAATGCAGGCGGGTTGGTTGGCCGTCTATTGCCTACTTTCTTGGCGGACAAATTCAGATCAGGCCCTGTACTCATTCAAGCACTTGCGGCTATCTCTTGTGGCACGCTAGCATTTGGCTGGCCGCATATGAAAACGTCCCTGGCAGGACTGGTCATCTGGCTCGTCGCATACGGGTTTCTGAGCGGCACTTTTATTAGCCTCATTCCGGCTAGTGCAGTGACATTGACAAAAGATCTGAGCAGGCTTGGAGGGAGGCTGGGAATAGTCTTTGGTGGAAATGCCTTCGCTAGTTTGATTGGAAACCCTATTGCCGGCGCGATCTTGCGTGGTAGCAACTCAGCTTGGACAGGTCTTGGAATTTACTGTGGCGTGTTCAACTTTGTGGGTGGCTGCATCCTGGTTGCATGCTGGGCGTCGGATGTTCGTAGCAAGGCTAGACAACGGGGAAGTTGAAGAGGCAACTCAAGCGGGCTGCGACTAGTGGTATCGGTCATTTTTGACAGGATCCTTTGCGCATCGCGCTGGGAATCAGCCTTTGGCGGTGGCAAAGTAAGGTATGAGATGATGTACGGACCTAGCGATCCTCACAAACGCAATCCTTGACAGAAAAATTATCATGAGTCTGCCGCCGGATGATCGTGCAAGGCTTCGGCTGAGAGGACAAGGCGGAAAGGAGTGGCAGACTTCCCCTGCATAACGGGTGTAATGCCGCTAACGTCCGATCCGGACCGGAGCGCAATCTTACCGGCAGTACACCCGCCCCACAACTGATACGAGATAATATTCACCCCTGCTAGATGGATCGAATTGCGGCGCCTAGGAAGGCACGTCATTCGTATAGCGAAGAATTGTACCTTGTAAGTGGGCGAAGGGGCCACTCGGGTCCACATTATTGCCGCTATGAAATATAGGAACCGGCCGTGCAGTACATAGCAAGAACTGTTTCCTGGCATTGCCCCAGATTCTCGGCGCATGTCGCGATCTCTTTCAATACATCTTGACCAAACGCGGCTACTGGGTTCAAGCTTTGCAAGCCTCGCGATCTCAATGTAACCTCTCTTGAAAGATTTCAGTCTTTAGCTTGATAACAGAGTTGGCGGTATCGGACAAGTCGCATGTCTTTCCACTTTTCAACTGATGTACCCGAAAAGGTTACTTGGCCCTTGGTCCTTGTCATTGCTTACAACCGCGAACGGGCGAAGAACAGAATGAGCCTAGTGTGATGTAATCTCAGAGTCTGTTTTCGCTTTTGCGGGAATCAACTCGTTGGGGTTGATAGCGTTTTGGCAAGTCAATGTGTTCAAAAGTATAAATAACTATTGATTGACTTCCGACTTCTGTATGTATCGCAGGCGACTGATAGCGACCTCTTCACAACACCACATCTCTTGGTACAGTATGGCTGAGTCTGGGAAGCTATTTGATGATGGGAATGGAAGCATCAACTGTGAGGCGGTAGCAAGACCTGAAGAAGAGGTCGATCTACTCATTGTTGGCGGTAAGTTCTTGAAAACTTCGACGCTTTCGTTTATACATTTACATGAGTTTATGTGTAAGCGTGATCACGTATTGACGCTGCTACAGCCGGTCCGACAGGTCTTTTCCTTGCTCTTCTTGCGCGGCAACTCGGTCTTGATGTTTGCGTCCTGGATGCGAAGTCTGGACCACTGCAGGTGGGCGGTGCTGACGCGATCACTGCGCGTTCTCAACAGTATCTTGAAGTAGCTAGTAATCTTGGATGTGATTCAAACAAAGATACTAGCATACTAGGGGAGTTGTTGAACAAGGGCGTGAAGTGCAACAGTAAGTCTCCTATACTGCTTCTGATTGTAGACATTTTCGATTGATTGTCTTTCAGCAAGCTCCATCTATGCGGATGGCCAGTTCACATCCCGTCAAAGTCATTGGTGGAATGGCATCCCACATACGTTCTACAACAATTTGTTGATGATTGGCCAGCCGTTCATCGAGCAGCTTTTTGTTTCGCACCTTGATGTACCAGTCAATTACTCAGAACCTGCGCTCTCCTTATCCCATTCCATCACACCGCTGCAAGCTACAGTGCAGACAGCGAAACGAACAATCAAGGCGAGATACTGCTTGGCTTCTGATGGAGCGCGAAGCTTCATGAGGGGCGAGCTGGGAATTGGCTGGGAAGGTACAAAGCCTAACATGGTTTGGGCAGTACTGGACTGTTGGATCGATACTACGTTCCCTATCTGCAGAGAGATCGTGACTTTGCAGTCTGATGGCGAATCTCGAATGGCATGGATCCCACGGTAAGCATACAAGACATGGTTCTCAAGACCTTCGCTTATCAATAACCCCATAGAGAGAGAGGCATGCAAAGGTTCTACGTGTTGCTTGATGGGGAAGTCACGCTGGAAAAGACACAAGACTCAGTTCGACGCCACATGGCACCACACTCGGTCGAGTTTACGCACATTGAGTGGTTCAGCAAATTTGAGAGTAGGTCATGTTTCTCGGATCGAGACAACGTCAAGTTAGAGCTAAAGTATGTGCAGTCAAAGAGCGTGTAGCAACCACCTTCCTGCATCCGACTTCCCAAGGCCCTTTCATCCTGGCCGGTGATGCTGCCCATGTCCATTCAGTCAATGGCGGCCAGGGGATGAATACCGGACTTTCCGATGCCTTCAATTTGATCTGGCGTCTATACTTCTCAATTAAATGCCCTGATCTTCCTCTAGCCACTCGAAACGCAATAGTCGAGAGCTACGACCTGGAGCGAAGAGCTACTGCCAAAGGTGTTATCGACGTTGCTGCTAAGCTAGTGCGCAGCACGACCACAGAGGCCAAACACTATGTTGATCTCATCGAAAAGAACTCGGGTTTCATCACTGGCATGGGTGTGGCTTACTCGGATATGGCCTCACCGCTGGTCAAGGAATCAGCGCAAGGTATCTTTGACGCGGGAAAGCGATGTCCAGATCTTTGGCTGCAGGGGCCAGGCTCTGGCGACTCGATTCGACTTTATCAGAAACTTCGCTACGGTCGATACATCATTTTGCTGGCTGGTAAAGCCGCTTCAGTTCAGCTAAGAGAGGGAAACCCTAGATTCCTGTCTATAATCAGGCTGAGGCCTCTACGCGCCATGAGTATTGGTGTTAGTAGCGTCAACGGCGTTAGTGGAAAAACCGTTGATCAGGAAGATGAGTTGGAAGCCTTGACTTGCTCATGGATCAAGAAACAAGACGACTATGCTGTTTTGGTAAGGCCAGACTGTTACACTGAATTCGTTGCAGACGTAGAGTCAGTTGTAGAGTATTGCAAAACACGACTACCGGGCTTACTCTTAAGTCCTTAGAAGAGGATTAGAATTGATGGTATGTGCGATAGCAGCGGCGGCTCGACGGCGTTATAATCAAAGACGGGGCGATTAGAACAAGCGCGGAACTAGTTCTCGTGAAAGGTTACTTGTAGACGGTTCAGCGTGTGGGAGAAGATTTCCAGCGCTGCACGCAATACGTCTCCTTGTCGCGTAGCGGTCGGTTGAGACTTGGAAGCTTTCCCGTCGTGGCTGTTCGCAGAATGGAGGGGGTGCCTGCGCTTGGCTTTGTCGACAACGATCACGAAGACCTCTAGGCGCAAGTACTCGATCCGGTTTGTATTGCTTTACAGTACGAAGCGAACGTTCGTCTGATGTATAATATCTAACAATATCTATTCGTCTCCTCCTATGTCTACGTTCAACAAGCGGCACACACGATAAGCGTCTTTGTTGATATGCGCTAGTCGCGTTGTTTGGTAGAGCGCGTTACGAAGACATCGCTCCGCATGACCGATTGACGTGAACAAGGGGTAGTAGGAATTATGTGGTTCTTTGGCGGCGTGAACTCTTCGAACCTCTCTCCTAACACTAGATAATCTGTCTTACGAGATATCATATCAATGTGATGGAACTCAGCTCAGCATCGTCCGGCATAGCCTCACCATCCATGATTCCATGTACGTAGGCAGTACCAATGACTACGTAACCATCTTTTCCCGGTCGTAATACGACCGGATCGTCTGAGCCCGTCAACACAGCGATGACATCCCCGACTGTAGTGTTCTCGGGTACCCAGCCCATGCGATTCCCTTCACTCAACATAAACCTCCGGCCGTTGGATGTCAATGACACGGAGTGATCGAACTGGGCAACTTGGTGATTTGGATAAGTTATGTCGAAAGGTGACAATGTCATCCGGGCCACCCACTGATCAAAGAATAACAGCTCGCTAAATGAATGCACTCGTTCACCACCAATAATGCTACCACATAATATCAGGGCCAGCGACTCTCTTGGTGAACCATGGTCGATACATCTCGTCCCTCCAGCATGAGGCCAAGATTGAGCGACTTTTACTACGGTCTGCATTTTGCGTCTGTACGACCCTGAAGTTGTCACTATCTGCTTCACAGAATCGACGATACTTCCAGCGATCCTCAATGATGTGGTGTTTGTTCCAACCACACATTCAGCAGGCTTCAGACGGTGTGCTTTATACATACCGCTGAAGCGCATTCGCGTGTGCCATGTCAAGAGATCCAGATCGATTGGAATAGTCCAATCAGGTACCCAGGACGGTAGATGCAGCACGCGAGGTCGAGGTAAAATGCACATAAAGACCTTGAGCTCTCTGGTATTCAAGATAAACGACAACGCCAGCTTTGTGTACAAATCTTCAGTACCCTGGTGGTAATCAGGAACGAGGGACAATCGCGACGCTTCGGCAGCTGCTAGCGCGAGCATGCCGTAGATTTTGTCTCGCGGATCCTTCGATTCGTGGCCACGCAAAAGACTAACGATAGGTAGTATATTGTTTGAAGATGGGTCGCCTTTGCTCCGCACATGCGAACGGAGCAGAAGGATGGTTAGAGGAGCTCTGAAGCTGTGTAACATATCAGCAAATGCTTCGACAGTAGGTTGGGATCCGCCGACACTGCAGCAGCCACCGTGTCCATTCATTCCTTGGACAGCCTGGAGCATCAGGTCACCGTCCAGGACGCTTCTTCCACACTGAAATACAGGATGCTGTGCAAGGACCATCTCTTGCACGGTCCACATCCGGCCCCACCACGCAAAACTTGCGAAGTGCTGTAAAGCTTGGATGACTCGCTCAGTCTCTACTTTGACTACTTGCCCCGCAAGAGAAAGGGTCAATGCGCGATTGACATGGAGCTCAGGGTTCTGTCCGACTATAGTGAAGAACTTGAATGCGTCATCCACGCCAGGCCAGGCCTCACCCAACCAGATTACTACCGTCTCTGCCTTACGAAAGATAGGACCCATGAGAGACACCTGTTGGCCGCGCTCGTCGGTGTCCTCCTGGTCAATGCAAATTGCGTCAACCCATATTGTACGGGGTCTGTCGGCATGTCGGAGGTACTGTAGGGCTCGAAATAGATTTGCGGTCACTCTCCGTAGTCGTCCTTCAAGCACAATCATTTGATCGTTGTTGCGGTCACCCCAGACGTATGACAGTGCCTCGTACTCGAGGGCAGGCTCGTCGAGTGAGGCAATGCTAATATGACATTCAATGAAGTGCGTATCGTCGGATGCTGCATTCAATTGAAGGATTCTGATCTGATTCAAGTCTTCGTCGAGTGGTGTGTACATCATCTCAGCCGAATGCGTTTCTTCGCTTGGCTCGTAGTGAATGGCAGACATGATCAAAGCTGGCAGACCACACTGCCGTGACAGTCTACGTTGTCGTGAATGCTCGTATAGGAGCACATCAACATGCAGGAACCGTCAGAGTTGGGAGGTTCAGCGCTACACGCGAGCTGGCGTGCACTGGCACTAGCGGAGAAGAGTGGGTGCGGATGCAGGTGCAGGGTTTCGCGTTGCACGATGGAGAAACCAACAAGCATTATTTGCGACTATTTTCTAGTAAAAACAGCACTTGCGCGGTTCGCGGATGATACGAAGTTTGCGACTGCGGAGATTGCGAGTATAGTGTAGCAGATAGGAAGGTCGGTGCACGCGGGGTGCAAGGCAACAGCTAGCAGGCTGCTTCATCCCGCGTCCAGGCCCCACACAGTGGGAAGGTGGCGCGACCCTCATCGCACCTTCCAGCGAAAACCCTGGTCAACGACCAATCGCAATATAGCTCATAGCCGAAACCGCCCAGGTTCACTCACCCTAGAGACATCCTCTTTAGCATTATACCAAGTGCTGTGGCCTGTGACCTAGCTTATCTGGTGCACGACAGCAAGAGCGCAAGGCGCGCACAGATACAGGATGTGTTACGCCCCACGGAACGCCGTATTAGCATCCGCACTCGTCTCTAACAGTCGTATACTCCTTAATATCACGATCATACCATTGCAACCATGCCAGTGACAGGGAGACATAGACGCGCGAGGCAAAACAGCTGCTGGACGTGCAAGCTACGTCGCAAGAAATGCGACGAGATGCAACCGATCTGCGGAGACTGCGATAGTCTAGAGATCGCCTGCGTCTATGGACCGAGGCCACACTGGATGGATACTGACGAGCAACGACGACAGAAAGCCATCTTACTCAAAGAGGAAGTGAAACATAAAGCAGCATTAAGGAGAGAGAAGTCCACCATGGCCACCGACCGAACTGCACAAGACGAAGCTGTCCATCAATTCAATATCATACCAGATATTGTGGTATCGAAGCATCCTTCTTCCATCGACCTTGCGGGATCAGTTGTACCAAACGAACAGACATCGGCCTCAACAAGCATCTTGACACCTCCTGTTATGCCCGTGCCATTTCCCTTTTCTCTACTATCCAACGATATACAACACTACCACTACTCCCAACCCGTGCAGGAAAGGTCACCCATCGAAGCAGATTTCATCAACAAGTATATCGACTTCGTCTTTCCAGGCCTCTTCCCCTTCTACCGACCCTCGCTTTTTGACACGGGTCGGAGTTGGCTCCTGCAGCTACTGGGGAAAAGCCGCATCGCACATCATGCCGCCCTCAGCATATCGTGTTACTTCTTCACTATGGCACTCATCGATTTAGAGGGTACTTCTGGTGATCATGCAGAATGCAGAATGTTGCGTTGGGATGAAGTTGAGCGACATGCTGAGAATTGTTTCGATAGCCTAAGGAAGAACATACTAGCTCTCGATCTACACACACAAGACATCGAGCAGTCATCCAGGATTGAGGCATTGGAAAACATTGTTCACCTCCTCATCTTCGAGATGGCACTGAGCAAAGCCGCTTCTTCGAATTCTCATCTTTCGACTGCGTACACTTTGCTCCGACAGATCATGGGCTGTAGTCCGTCTTCTCACGAGAACCAGATGCAGTCAAAAATCACAACAGTTCTCCTACAAATCGGGCCTCCACTTTGGACCAATCCCGCTGATGGCACTCACATTTGGTCGCCTGCCCAAGCTGGTGTCAGATTCTGTACAGCGTTACTGATCTTCGTCGATATTGTAGCAAGTATCGCTCTCCAAGAACCACCGACGCTTCTTCCCTATCACGCTACAGTCCTCGCTGAGAAGGACGATGGAGTAAGTCTCCCTAGCGATGCCGAGATTCGCTTCTCCGCTGTTATCGGATGTCGCAATGGCGTCATGAGGTCAATCGCCGAGATATCGATGCTGAATGTTTGGAAGAACGAAGAGATCGCTACGAACAGCCTAGATGCCATGGACCTCATTAATCGCGCCTCGCAAATCGCTCACTCACTCGAGAGCGACATGATTCAAATTGAGAACGAGAAGATCACAAGATCTGTGTCCGACTCTCACACTTGCGGGCCACTTGATCTAGCTCTTAATCCCTCCGCGTCTTCTACTTCAACGCTAATATGGGCCCGTGCAGCACAGCTATACCTCACAGTTGTCGTATCCGGTTGGCAATTACTCAGTCAGGACATCAGGACCAACGTTGGTCATATCATCGTACTACTCGAAGATGTCCCGGCGTACCAGCTGCGCGCACTCGTTTGGCCGATATGCGTCGCTGGTTGTCTGGCCCTAGAAGAAGAGAAGACCTTCTTCTTGAGACTCTTCGCAGGTCTAGGCAAGGTTCATACAGCTGGAACATTAGACGACGCACGCCAAATCATGGTAAAGGTCTGGGAAAGAAGTGAAACGTCAGATATGATCGACTGGAATCTTGCATCCTGTTTCAGCATACTGGGATCGTCAATTCTATTAGTCTAGCTACAATGTAGTTCCAAATTAGAACTGTAAATTGAGTCTCGTTCATCACAATACACTGCGCTCGTTCTCGCGATACAGAAGACAAAGAAGTCACTTTCCTTTCCAGAACCCAACAACTTCCTCCACACTCTTGGGCTTGATCTCAGGAAACTTCTCGTTCAAACTTCCTTCATGCGGAACAAACATGATTCCATTCACAGCCCACAGCCCGAACTTGGCCAAGAGGCCGACAAGTGTCGGCTTGGGGAAGTACGGGTACAAATGTGGATGAGTAGGCAATTCGGTAATCTCGCCACGTGCAAGCTTCTCGACAGGGTCGAGAGTCATGGTGAACTTTGAACCTATCGTTCATCAATGCATGGTTCGTGAGTTGGAAAAGAGGCGAATAGCATACCGCGGGCTTCTTCAGCTAACTGCACGAGGCGAGACAAAGAAGTGTTCTCGCTGTAGCAATGCAGCGCTTCTTCCCAATGTTTCAACCCCATGGCTGCGACTACAAATCTTGCCAGGTCTTGCGTGTACGTGAAGCTTATGGTTTCATCGCCCGTATTACCAGGGAGCGCTGCTGTCTTGTGCGCCATGTCCACGAACACAACGAGAGGTGTAAGGTAGGTGGGTATGTGCGGCATACCGTAGTAGTCTAAGAAGAGGCCGACGTAGAACTGCGTCCATTCCAGTCCGGTCTTGCGAACAGCGGCAATACTCGGCTCACGAAGGCCGTTGAGTTCTAGCTGGAGAGATCTAGCAAACTATTGTCAGGCTAGAAGTCCTGAGTGCAAGGAAGGAAGGTGTAGGTGGAAAGGAAATACGTACGGTTCCTCGGGCGTAGCATTGCCCCAGTTACTCACTACGAAGCGCTTGGTACAGGAGGACTTGTCTGCAGCTGCAATGAAGCTCCTCTCTGCCTTTGCAGCTTCAGGATCATACATGACAATGGTTGAGATGACGGTATGGATATTGTTTTCCTCAAGCGTTTTGGTGAGCTCTTCGACGTCTGTGTAATCCACCGCGATGACTTTGGCAGCGCTCTTGCCTTCCGGAACCTGCATATTGATTAGTGTTCATGGCTTACTTAACAATATGGAAGTATGATTACGAACCTTGCGAGAGATTACAATGACCTCATGAGACCCTTCTGCTAGGAAAGCGTCGACGATTGTTTTGCCGACAGAGCCTGTCCCGCCGATGACTGCCACGGTGACCATTTTGTATGATTGTTCTCGAGACGATAGAGCGAATAGCTATCTTAGAAAGAATTTAAGGTGTTGATGCGACGAATCCCAGAGAAATGATGCGATGATGGCAGATGCTAAACTGACTGGTGTCCGCTGATGCTGATGTCGAAAGCCGCAAAGGTACGAAACCCACCTCTTCTTATACGCGCGTCTTTGACAGTCTCCGGCGCAACATAATACCCGTCGGACTGAAGAGATTCTGCATATCCTAGCATCTTTGAGGCCTGAAGTGCATAAGTACCTGGTCAAGGAGATCGTTTGGTGTTGCGCGCGCGGCTGGAGTTGGTGGCGGCAACGCTAGCCTCAATTGGACCACCCGCGCGGGCTCTGGATGTGGAATCGCGCAAGGCTGCACCTTATTTTGCGCGATCCATCGTCATTAGTGAAAGTTGACGGAGTTCTCGGGCACCCGATCTGGAGACGTCGACTGTGAACAATCGATGCTTGGTGCTTGAGTTTCTTGGCTGTTCTTCCTGTCCTAAGAAGCGTCACGCATGAGCCGATTCCGGACACCATGCTACCTTCGAATTTAGCCACGCCTCGGCCTATCTTTTCGAATTGTCTCCGGTCTTTCTGGTCATGTAAGTTGTCATACGCCTTAGAAGACTATAATCACGAGCGTGGCTCTTTCATTGATATATTTAGATGATCGCTTACTACAGCAAATCTCTACGCCCTTACTGCGAACCCGCGAGCTCTCGTGGTGGCGCTTGCGGTGAATGATGTCCCTGCGACCACGCCGTACCCTCACTGTACGGACTACTGTATTCGTTGCCTGCGTGATGCGCGACGGCAACGCCGGCTGGCTTGCTGTACTGCTGCGATTCTGGCTGGTAGCTCAATCTTGCGTTCAGGTCCTTCATCTTGCGATGGTTGCGATAGAACAGATATGCTGCGGCCGCAACCAGTATCGCACCCAAACCTACGCCAACACCAATGCCAGCCTTTGCTCCTGTAGACAGGCCACCCTCGTCATCTGGGGAGCCGGTGGCTTTCGGGTCTGCGGGTGTGGTTGTAGGAGCTGCAGAGCTTGGTGTCACGCTTGGTGCCGGTGTCGTGGAAGGGGTTGTTACAGGGTCCTTTGCCACAGTCGAAGACATCGCCATGATTGATGCGCTATGTGTAGGATCAGAAGTAACACCTATTGTCGCACCACCGACACTTCCAATCCCACTTGCAAAAATAGCAAGCTGGCATCCAACGGGTCTGCTCCAGTCGTCGAATTCCTGCGAGAGCTGGATAGGGCCCCAGCGTTCCGTCCCATTCTCGTTGATATTTCTCCTAAAGTCTTTCGACCTTGTCAATCGAGACCAATCACTAAAAACAGCTGATAGTTTGACTCACTATAGCCCTTTCCTCCAGCGACACTCTCAGAGCAATTGATCAGCAGCAGCTCTGCGAATGTTGACCACCAATACACGTCCACCTGATCGTTGTAATTGATGTTGAGGTGGTCTTGCTCGAGCGGGTAGTAGAAGTCGCCTCTTTCTGTAGACATCTTCGAAAAGATCGCGTCTTTGTCGTTCGGTTTGGGGCAGATATGGATGCAGTTGTGACTCTAACAAGAATTTGGAAAGACTGTCGTACATGCGACAATTTTGTACAACGTCACAATCAGCCCATTTCCATGTTGCGAATCCTTCGTTGCCCTTCCAACTTGTCTCTTGCAGCCTGAGTCAAGGCAGTACGAATCAGAATGCGAAGTGACGCAAAGCTGGGAGTGAGGGTTGCGCGAAACGGCCCCCGATCTGCGCACAGCCTGATATCCGGAAACAACCTTATTTCTCTACTACGAATCAGATAGCACTTGATGCAATGACAAGGTCACTTGACATGTGGTGTGCCCTACCTAGGTATCGTTGGCGACATGCGGGGAGGTTTGAATGGTGTAACGGTATCGGTGAGCGCACAGCCTGATGCGCAAAAGAAACCCATGGCTGACTGGGGTTAGAGCCGTCTTGCAAAAACCATGACAGCTGTAGTATGCCTCTGGGAAGATTCACGCCGCACCCTGATGATATCCGAGGTTCGTTCACTCACAGTCTCGGGTCTATTATGACCAATGGATGAGCTGACGGCCATTGTGGCCTTCCTCCATTTGGTGTTGAGTCTGACAAGGCTGTTGTCGGACAAGAAGGCTGAGCCGCGGCACAGTAACCGAGAATCTTACATGCGCTGCGCCACGTGCTTGGCAGACTGCCTTATTGGGCCTCTATATTCTGGGAGGTACCTTGGTATCGTATGGAGGAGGCCTGATTCATATGGCACCGGAGTTTATTGGTCCCACTACTGCGTTGACGGCAAGCGCGGTATATCGTGCGAGCATCAACCGACGTACACAGAGCTGCTCAATCTCTACCTGTGCAGGCGGTTTGAACCCCATCTATTCATGCAGTCATACATATACGAGTTGTGCTGCGCTCTTGTTATCGCTGTTTGCAGCTAGTATAGGTACATGGCGTCAACGCGGCAGTTTACACAAGCCTCAGCCGACGCACACCAGTCTTTCCACCTTTTAGACCTCTCTTTTCTCTGTCGTAAATTATCACGGAAGACGATTGGACCTACATGAAGATGATAGATAGGTTCGCATGGAACGCGTTGGCCACACCTTCCAGCCCCGTCACATGCATGGCGCCGTTGTCGCTTGCGATTTTGACGTTGCCCAAGTCTACATTTCTTCCCCCAGACATGATCTTGATAGTGCTACATTCGGCAAGACTGTTGTCTTGGAACCAGCCAGCGATCGTGATATTGGCTAACGCATTGGTGTCTTGGTAGGAGCCAGTAACTGACGTACTCAAGGTGGCGTTAGCAAACGAGAACTATTCGCAAATCAGCAATCCATTTCACAATACGGACAGTTTGGAATTCGCAGGTACCTTGATCTCCTTGATGTCAGCGGGCTCCTGACTCACACCGTCGTCGAGGTAAAGCTCCCCTTTGGCTTCCCGCTTATCGTCGAGCGCGACTAGAATGCTCCACGGGTTCATCCTGGTTGTTTTGGTCGTATTTCCAGGCTTCTGACTTGCGATAATGCTGCCACCACGCATGTGCACCGGGATGTGCTCAAGCGGTGCATCTAATGTTACATTCTGACCCGGCTGGGCGTGCACCTCTTTGAGCGTATACCAATCGTACCACCGCGTATGTGGCGCACCGGGGAACACTCCTTGTGAGACGCGCAACAGGGGAGCTAGTACCGGCGTGATCAAGATGGAAGGTCCGAGCATGAACTGATTATCAACACTTTTCAGCGACTCGTCCTCGGGAAAGTTCCATGACAACGCGCGCAACACTGTTTCACCGCGCTTGTGCGCAGCATGAAAGAGTGTGTATTGGTAGGGCAAGAGACGGAACCGCACATCCATCACGCGACGGGTCGCTTCCGCAGTAGTCGCCCACCTGAATGCTTCCTGTGCAATTGTGTTGCGAGAGTTGTGGTTGCGATACAGAGGGAAAAAAGCACTGAGCTGCATCCATCGCGTGCAGAGCTCCATATCGGCATTTCCGTTGAAGCCGCACGTCTCGACACCAAAGTAAGGAATGTCAGCTATGCTGAAGGTCAGTGCTTGAGGAATCGTCATGTACATGTTACCCCAACGCGAGTTTGTGTCGCCGCCCCAGTGACCAGTTATAGCACCGGAGCCGGGTGATGTTGATCGCGCAATCCAGAACGGACGTTTTCCTGGGAACACAGACAGGAGCGCGTTGTAGGTTGCTTTACCAGAGACGTAGCCGTGGGTATTGTGCAGCTCGTATTCGGTCGTGTTAAGTCCATCATTGTGCGTGGCGTAGGGAGCAACCGCTTGACGCAGGAGTGAGTGCCCTTCGAGAGTCAGATTCAAAGCATAGGGCGGAAATGTTATGTTCCGGACGCCGGGAGTCGCTGAAGTAAATCACACAGTGGCTGTGCCGACAGTTGTGGTTGGCGTGGGGTAAGCTGATGCTTGCGACGCGCTTGCTGCGCTCGCAGATGCTGCTTCGGTCGCGTTGGTTTGGTCAAAAGCTTCAGGACAGTCGTAGTTGATCTGACCAGGCTCTCCAGGCAGCTTGAAAGGCACGTGGATTGGATTGTCCGCAAGTCTCTCTGTCCCACAAGAGCCAGTGCACCACGATGACAAGTCAGAGATGTCCAGCCACCGACCATCAAATGGAAGCTGATCATGGTACAACTGCATCTCGTTCGTCCAAAAGTTTTGAGTCGCGTTATGCAAAAAGTCGGGCCATACGCTGAAGCCTGGCCACTGGATGCCGACGTAGTCATCTGTGTGCCCTTCTCCACGCTTGATATAGAGATCAAGTACTTTGCCGCGATCGTAGGTGGGATTTGCGTCAGTCCCGTTGCCTGGTGCCGGCACATATACGTTGGGGTCGAGGATAGGCATCCAGTATTGACCGTTTGCATGTAGCTTAGCGAGAAACTCTATGCCTTCATGGATGGGATATGTATTATTATCATGGGTAAAGATGCGATACTGAAACAGGTAATCCAAGTCGTTCCAGATAGCTTCGAGTTGGATATTCGCAGCTGCATATCCATCGATGATTTCTTGTAGAACAGTCCAGTTCTGGTAGCCCCAACGAACTTGATGGAAACCAAGCGCCCAGTAAGGCTGCATGACAGGTGTGCCAATTACACCAAGCTGCTGCTGCGCCAGAGCCTCCGTTGGCAAAGGACCACTAAAGAAGTAGAAGTCGAAGCTGCCACCGATTGTCCGGTAGATGATACGATCGGGGCGTAGAAGCCATTCTTGACCGTGGAGGTTGCGACCGTATACCACATGAGACTTGGAGGACCCATTATTGTAACGGGTCTCAAGGTAGACTGGGTGCGTGCTATGCATATTCGCATCAATCGGTTGATCGTTCATCTCATTGTATTGATTCCAGAAGGTTTGCGTGTACTGATTTGGTAAGCGAAAGCTTCCACGTATCGCTTCCGGTAGTCCATAGATATTATACCCTGGGACCATGTTCGTGACCAGCTCAAGGAATTGGTCTTCGAACACGATCTTGTGGCCGTAGGTGTCAAACAGTGCCTCACCAGTCTTTGCACGCCTCACTCGGAACTGGAAGGTAGGATCATTACTCCACTCAAACCTCAAATCACTATTGCTAATTGTACCCCCATGAGAGAATCTGCCACTAGGACTGAGAGACTCGTCCAAGATGTACAAGGATCTGTTGGATGGGGTGACGTATTTGGGGTAGATCTTGATGTTAAGCTGAGCAGCATTTTGGTACTAAACTTCAAGGACAAGGTCTGAGATTTCGTTTCCGTACGCATTGCATGCAGGACCGGCGAGAGACAGGTCTGCAGTGATAGTGTTGTCGGAAGTAACGACGTTAGCTGCTTTGTATCCAGGGCAAATTCTTTGCGCGTCTGGCGCATCTGGATTGATGATATTGGGTGTGACACTGGGTGCAAGGTTGAGTGTGGATGCTAACGTTGATGTTGGTGGCCATGTGTTTGAACCAGGCGGCTGATCGAGTGTGGTTTGGCCTTTAGGTATAAGACTCTCCTTCAAGTAAATCTCAAAGGGCGGGCATACCTGAGGCTATAGCGGCCAATGCAAGAGCGAGATACGTCCACATCGTACACGAGTCAAGTGGGTGAAAAGTGTGGGTACGTGGAACACTCGATGTCTGCCGACTGATGTAACCTCCTGGAAAGACTGTAGCGTGTGACATGCAGCTATTAAAAGACGCCTAAGCTTCTGCTCAAAAACCTTGAATCTAGACATCATTCGGGTGTCGATCATGCAGGCCGTCGGCTTGGTGTACGTGAAAGATGCGAATGTGGATTAGCATGATGATCTTCCCCTACACGTCAAGATCCATGTTTGCTAGAGGGTTGCCAGACATCTCTCCGGCTTGACTTATCGCCACTACAAAAGTGAATACATAGGCTGTCCCCGCATCTTGTGCTGCTCCCGAGAGCCTTAGTGAGATACTAAAGCCAGTTTAAGGAACACCGGCGGGATAAGCCGATAAGACACAAGCTCTTAGTAATGTTGAGAGGCCGTCTTAATAGAAGATCGACTTGGTCGCTTATGTAGACGAATTATGGCTTCGGGAAGGTCAAGCAAAGCTTGAATGAACCAAGCTCGGCTATGTACATCTTAACGTCTCCTAGATCTAGACACCGCTCATGACGTCAACCACGGCTCTGCGATTTCCCCACCTGCCCCATGTTTCTCGAACACTGTAGCCGGAGTCAGCGCGTTGAACGATAGCTAAGGTGTCGTTGATGATATCCTGACAAGTTCCGATACCATGCGTGGTGGTAGCGCGGTAGCTCACACAAGCCTCAGCCGACGCCTGACGACCCTCCCGCTCTTGACCAGGTCGAAAACCTCGCCATTCATATAGCCATACACGAAACCTTCACCCACGACCCACCAAGCGTCTTTTGTCTCCTTCCTCAGGACAAGCGGAATGCTGCACCCGAAAAGAATAGCAACAACATCGCCCGGCCGTGCGCGACACGGTGCCACACCAACATAGCCTTGTTCAGTGACCACCAACCGACGTGCTTTCTTCCGCACAGTATCGTGGAAGCGCGAGAGAAAGGTGTCGAGCTTATCATTCATCTGGTGCATGGGGTGGGACGGCGGTCGATGGAGTGTTGGGGGTGGCGATGTGAACTCGGTGGGTACCTGCTTCACCAGATCCTCTAGGGATGTGGTGCCGAACAGTAGCTTTCTGTTATGCTCGAACCATGTGGAGAAGCTCCAGTCGACTGGATCGCCATCGATGCACGCATGGCAAAGGAAGAGGAAGTCGGTAATGTAATGTACTGGTGCTTGGAAGCAGAGATACTTGTCCTGGCGGTCGATGACTAAGGAGCGTGCTATAGATTCGAGCCAATCCATGGGCAACATGGTAGCTCTTGGTGCGCTGCGTTGCTCTTGTTGCGACTGCACCAGCTTATGACCAGCCTCGCTACACACGAAGCTCTGGCATCGTAATTCCTGTCCGTCAAGTCCTCCAAGACCATGTATGGTATCTAAGATGACACCGTCACAGTACAGATCCTTCAGATCGCCGGAGAAGGAGACGTTTGCTTCTTTCCTCAGGCGTGATCCAGGCGCGTCATATGAGGCTTTCCACCGCGTCGACCGCAGCGGCCTGAAGTTTCCAATGTGTTCGCAGGCACTTTGGCTTGCCATGAGCGGCACAGGTGAAGCGAAGTCGATGGCCGTCCTCCAATCTGGAGTCCAGGTAGGTGCTGCGTCTTTAGCACCCGGATCGCTAATCGCGGCGTGGCGGCAGAACAGATGCGTGAAGCAAACAATGTCCAGCGATTTGTGAGCATGCCAGAAGGAGCGAACAAGTTTCGCAAATTGATGCGCAACGTCGGTGGTATATTCGGCGGGTCCTATGAGCTCTCGATCCTTTTCGCTAATCAGGCCAAGAACGGAGTATATGCGGTCTCTGCTGTCGGTCGCGGAGTGGTTGCCAAGATACGCCATGATAGCGATCAAATTGATGCCGACCGAGGCTGGTTTAGTGAACCATTGATGAATGCGACGACGATTGAACGCTCCATCGAATAGCTTCCGCGGTACGAGCTCGTGTTCAAAGTCTTGGCTGATGGTGCTGCAAAGGAAGATGCTGTAGATTGCACTCTTGAACCTTCCGCGGCTAATGCTCGCCATGCCGCAATACAGCTTCGCCTCTTTCGGGAGTACAAACTCCTGCAGAGTCCACACTCTTGTCCACCACGGTCTAGCCAGCAGGGCGCTGACAGCAGCGCATTTCTCGGTGAACTCAGGGTTCTCAAGCTTTTTGCGCATAGCAATGTCGTCTCCATTGAATGCGATCTGTAAAGTGGAGAGGTAGTGCATGAATTCGATTGCATCTGTACAGTCGCTGTCTCTCTCTTTCTCTTCACCAAGCCATACTATCGCTCTTCTTGCCCTCTTGTAGATGTCGGCCATGATGCGCACCTGTTTCTCGCGTTCGCGGCTGTCGTCGAGGTTGATACATAATGAATCGATCCACCACCAGTCACTAGCTTTGAAATCGCTATGACAAGTAACCATCTTTAGAAAGGGCACAAGACTGTCCAATATGGGCAGTGTTCCGGTTTTTACATCCATCGTAACTCCCGTGTACTTCCGCTCGCCCCACACATAACTGGCTGTGTAATAGTGAGGTGCACCAGCGATCGGGAACCGCCGTAGCTTGCCAGTGAAGACGCCATCTTCAGACCGCGAGAAGTGTAGGAGACGGATGGAAGTTTCATCGACAGGTTCCGCGAAGGCTGAAGCGCTGGGTCGTGAAGGCGTGCCAAGTTCCATAGGGGTTCATGATGCAGGTGGGTGGTGTTGGGTGGGACAGTGCCACGAAATGCCGGGGGTGGCTGATCCAATTACCGCCCCACACGCTCGCTACACGGTTCTTGGCGGCGCCGGGTACTCATCGTCTCGCTGTTAATGTACTTTGTATGTCGTGCAACACAATGCCGATTACTTGGTCTCGAAGCCCATCCGATCTTGTGTATTTGCAGCAATGTCTCGTTCATGTAGCCAGATCGCCGGGTTGCAAGACCAAGACGTTGCTTGACAGCAGCATTTGTTGAACTACACGACGCAACAGTACGTCAATAGAATGCTTAGCTTATTTCCCTCCTCGACTGTCTCGCTGCATACCTATACTCAAGTACGTTTGCTTACCAAAAGCTTCTAGAACCTCATTGCAATGTCTGTTTCTATGCGCTGGGCAGGTACACGTTTACATCTGCCATTTGACAAGCGAGAGCGTGCGGCACAAGGCTAGTACTAAGCATCTTGTATCTGTGAGGTTTCTCATTCGAGGGTATCTGGTCGTTAGGATGTCGTTGGGTACCACAAGCGCATAAACAACGCTTACGCTGGTAACAGTCATCCCTTGCGATGTAATGCGTCATTCTTCTATCATCGACCACGGCCTCTTCCCCGCCCCCTTCCCCTACCACCTCTCCCTCCTCTCCCTCCGCCCTTCCCTCTCGGCGCTGACCTCTCATAGATCTTGACCTCCTCAAACGGACTATCCGCGACCCGCAGATAGCTCGGTATGCCATTATCCACGACGGCGAGCACTACATTCCTGCACCCATGCTTTAACCTCTGGTTGGGATGACCATCCTCCTTGGGCCTGTCCTCCGGCACCTGCGCCATGAGGTCGTTTAGCTGTGCACCCGTGGGTATTGGGGTTGTGCGCGCGTCGACAACGCAGATACGGAAGTCTGGCGGACCACGGGCGGACTTCTTGAAGCGGGCTGTGGTGCGGTAGACGTCGAAGTGGACGCGGTATGGGTTGTCTGCGGAGTGTGGGAGGACGAAGGTAGGAGGGGAGGAGCGATCGTGCGTCGGTGTGAGTTTGAGAAGGCGGTAAATGTCGTTGTAGCTGCGATACAAGCCAGGCTTGATGAGCGGACCGAAGGCGAGGGCCTCGGCGGAGATGGCGTGTTCGGGCTGGCTTAGGCGCCGCCAGACTTGGGTGAAGAAGCGCGTGACGATGCTCGGGCGGGATGATGGCTGTGTTGCTGCTGGAGGCGGTGCTTGTACGATATCCCCTCTATCATCGTCCCACGTCCCTGTCCTAAAGACGACGTATCCCGATCTCTTCAGTCCGGCATAGACGTTGTACATTTCCAATGTCAGCTTCCCACCCACACCGCGCTCGAACCCAATGAAGGCAGCATACGCCGACTGGAGACTCATAGGCGCGCCGTCTTCGGTTCTGTAAACCGTCTTGTCGCCGACCTCGCGCTTGACCGGCCACCGGACGTCCAAGGTGCCTCGCTCCAGCAAGAACAGGGCTTCTTCCGGCAACAGCCACTCTCTTCCTCCCTTGTTCGTTCCTATCGTCTGGAAGTGCTGTGAGCGGACTCTGTCGACGCATGCCATGTTGCGCTCGGGGTCGTACATGGCGAGGATATGGCCTTTCTGCGTGTGCGTGCGCTGCCACGAGAGGACGCCGTGCATGGCCCGGCGCGAGGCCTCGAGCGTGTCGAGCTGGAGGTTCGTTTCATGGCTCTCAAAGTCCTTTTCGCCGCGCTTGGGTAGGGTGGGGTGTGCCGTGTCTTGGGCACTGTGGGGGTTGTGTCAGCCATGTTGAAGCAGGGTGGTGGTGCGTGGGCATGTGAAGGAGGCGTACGTGAGTTTGTCGAGTTTGAGGAAATCCTGCGCTTCTTCCGTGGGGTCGTAGTCGGCAGGGTCAGGTGCGCGCAGATGCGAGACGTCTTCGTCTTGGTCGGCCATTGCTACCAAGGCGAGGGCGCGGCGGATGTCATGAGTTTGAGGGCGGGAGGTTTGGTGGGGAAGATTTGAACATTCAGTAAAGTTGCGACAGGGATGCATGACTCCCGCGGCGGCCCTTTGCGCTAGCGCCGGCTGACATCTCGCCAACGGTTACCCTATCATCACGACAATGACACCAACATGTATCACCGTTGTGAACTTGTCAAAAGCGATGCAACCAAAGTCACGTCTGAGATACTACAGGGGGTGCAGCATAGACATAACGAAATTAGTGCTCTGTGCATTACACCGGACCGCGCAGTAATTACGCCGAAGCGTGCGCACTGAGCTGGACCGCGCGTTAAGCCGTGGACCATTGAGAACAGTATAGGTTGACTCGCTTTGTTAAATTGTTCTTGAAATACTATTGGGTGAGGCTTCGAGAGTTTATCTCAGACGGACGAAGAGAGGTCTAGAGGATTCCAAATGACGGTGAGCCAGAGACGTACCCAATGCGTTAGAGAACCTACCTGAAGTGCATGAGCAATACACGTCCACATAGTCTACAACTAGATTCAAACGAGCGTAAAAGCTTGTGCTGCCAAGTGTGGAGAAGTCGTGAGCTTGTTTTGTTTTTTCGCTGGACTCACACATCCTATAGTGGTTCAAATCGGGTGCACGACCCAACGCTTGTGTCGATAGGCCGGAGAAGTAACTCGGGGTGATCTACACATATTAACCTCTTCATTCGTATTAAGGCTAAAATCAACAGCTGAAGACAGAATATGGTTAATATAGGATCGTTGGACTTTTGATAAGAAGGGCTCCATCCAACGCCCATCTCTTCCATTACCTTCGTCCAAAACTTTGCTTTCCCCCTAACAAACATCATCCAATTCTCCAACACCATCATCATGCAGATCCAAGCAATCGTATTCCTCTTGGTCGCCACAGTCTCCGCCTGGGTGAGTATTCTTGTTTACAAAGAACATTCCTAGAGACTGATACTTGGAAACCCAGCAATGCTTCGATCATGACGAACACTTTACCACGAACCCTGCCCAGTTAGCTGAAGGCAGCGATCCCAACAACCAGTGGGGATACTGCCCATCTGCCAAGGGATGTTGCGCCGATGGTAAGACGTGGTACGCCTGCAAGAACGTGCGTCGCGTCCTCCTGTATGTTTGCGAGTGGTGCGCTGACGGTTTCCAGAAATGTGCAGGTGGTGCTGCCTGCAGTGTCTCTGGGGGCAGGACTTCTTGCTAAAGTTATCAGGATCTAGGAACGTGGGCAGTCTTGTTGACACCATACAAACAAAAGTAAATTACTAGGTTCCATTGTGTTTGCGATCGAGTCCAGTTTGAGGCTAAACATCTTCATGTATAAGGAGTGCGGAATTTTCGGTCGCCAAGGCGCTGATTCCACGCGTCGTCACGAATCCTTTACCCCTTCACCGCGACAGACAACAAATGAATTGAATGTTTGGTAACACCTCCGTTCCTAGCCATACAGCTCTCCACTCAATTACCGAAGAGGAGTCGAATATGCTCCGGCAGCGCCTTTCGCGAGATTGTACAGACTATGTGACAAAACGAGGTACGCGTGCCTATGCCAGTAAACTGCAGTACATCTTGAGATGGTGCGGGTCATACGACGTTTTCGCCAACGCAAGCACGACAACCACACTGGTAGAGTCAGGACACGAAGATATCAGCTCGTGGCTGATCACTCTTGGGCCGCGATAGTCACCTCGTCAATACTATGGAATGATGCCCTCGACCTTGGCGCCTCCAGCACACCATTCTCTCGAACTTCCAATTCTTCGTCACTGGGGCCCTCCAGCCAGCCATGTTTGATGCCGACATCTGTCACCAGATCCATGGCAGCGCTATGATTCCTGCCATCCTTGGTCAATGGAGGTGGCAGCATGATGCGATGATGATCTGGATCGCAGAAGCCTGCTGTCCAGACACCATTTTCGAGTGCATTGAGGCAGTGCGGCTTCAGAAAGCACATGCAATCTCTGCAGAGATAAACTACGGCTTCTGCGTTCGGGAGTTCTGGTCCGCATGTTTGTTGACAGCCTTCATGTTTGGCAAAGTCATGTGTGGTCACATGTCCAAAGAGGTCATGGCCGCGCTGGTCTTCGCCAAGGGCAAAACAAGCCCTGCCGTACTCTTCTAGTTGTTCGTCTGGAGCTATGTTCTCGCCGTAATCTTTATTTTCCAGTAGCTTTGAGATGAGCCGTTCTGCCGCTTCGCGATCTCCAAGATTCATGAATACCCGCGCAGCTATGAAGTGCGACCTAATGTTTGCAGATGAGCGGACATCGCGTTTCTCCTGACAGACTTCAAAGATGGCTGTTTTGAAGTAGCGGTCATACAAATCATCTGTATTCCAAAGATCATACACGGTTTTTGCTTTAGAGTGTTTTATAAGCACCCTGAGGGAGATTTCCGTAGCCCCAACCTCTTGCCAGAGACCCAGAGCCTCTATGTGATCTTCTGCGTTGTCGCTTCTGTGCCAAAGAATGGAAGCTAGAACTGACTTCAACAACTTCTGAGTCTTATGTTTCTGCCATATGTCATAGTCCTCATCGTCTTGTCCAAAGACATCTGTTTCGGCTGTCTTGTCACCGTTAATATTGGCAATCTCCGAGCCCAGTTGCTTAACCGCCTTATTGATTGCGCGGTGAATGTCACTCCAGTTTTTCCCGTGGTATGCTGCAAGACTGACTGAGAGAGCAGCCTCAGACGAATCGACACTTGCGATCAACTCATGGAGCCAGTTATTGGTTTCGCCGGGCACCGTCTTTGTTCCGGCCAACTCTAAGAACGTGGCAATCATGGTAGGCTTGAATGAACAGAGCATACTCATCTTGAGTGCCCCTCTGCTGCTTGCATCATTCATCATCTCCGAGTACGATTCCATAGCTCCCTCCATGTCCAGGTCTAGGATCTGGCAGCGGGCAAGCAAAGGCAGAATCCTGGTCCAGTAGTAATCATGGAAGTCTTTGTCTTTCGTTGTTGAAGACTTTGCGGTATTGAGATGACTGATTGCTTCTTTGAGACCATTGGTTGACCCAGTACTTTGATCTTTTTGAGTCGTAGTCTCGGCACTTGAATCATCTTCGATGGTGACGTCCGCACTTGAACCATCTTCCGTTGAAACCTTCGCGCTATAGAACAGCGCCCACCAAGCATCCGCATTCGTTCTGATGATGTCGTTACATGTTTTCAATATCCAGCTCTTGTGGTCGTCATAATGATATTCCGTATCGGCCTCCTGCATCAAACGTTTGATCAAGAGAATAGGGTCGAGCTTATGATGTCTATCCCGTAACCATACTTGGACATGTTTCTGTAGTCGTGTTAACATCATTGATGACTTCTGCATCAGAATATCAGCTTACAGGTTCCAATTTACCAGATAAATAACATATGGTGTGCCACGTATCGCGCTGTCGCGTGGACCAGCCATCGAGAATTCTGTCAATCGCGTAGTCCCAGTGGGCTGAAGAACTATCTTCTTTTTGCGTGGGAAGCTTTGAAAACCATTCTTTGTCTTCAAGATCTGTTGGGCCTTCCGACCTGCTCATTTTCTTCAACCATTTCCAAATCGGGTCGCCTTTTGGACCGGCGGTAAAGCAATCTGTGATGCCATGACTAGCTTCCTGACTCCAGTGATCTATGACGGTATCATTACGAAGTAGCTTCACCAGCAAGCGACCGATCGCCTGGTTTTCCTTTGCTTTCAGCTTTTGTTTCTCGTCCCACTTAAGATGAGTACTCAGATTTCGCCGAGAGTAGGTGCAAAGACGATTCACCGCGCGCGGGCTCATATCCTCGCATAGGACCCGCAGACATATGAGTAAGACCGAGTATCGACTACTCTTTTCGTCAGCACAGATCATCTTGGTATGTTGAGCTCTTTGCAATGCGAAGTATTCCCCAAGCTCATATTGATCGAACAACTCGACACCCCGCGTACCGAAAACCGTGCTGAGATTGTTCCGTATGACCAGCTCCAAGAGATCTAGCTCTTCCAGGTCTGTTTTAGAAGATCGTTTTCCTCGCCTCTTATTCATGTTTTCTAGAATCTGCTGATCTTCGAAATCTTGCTTCAAATACTGCTGAATCTCTGGATAGCGCCACCTGATGCAATCGTCATCTACTTCAAACAGCAACGAGTACCGTTGTGCTATACGCTCCGAAAGAGGTGTAAGTCGTGGTGACTCCAGCTTAACATCAACGTATTGTTCAGCGAGCAAACATGGTGTCCCAAATAAGAAGTAAAACGATGTCTTGGGAGCTTCCAGCCAAGAGATAAGAGCATTGACTTCCTTTATCTCATCTGGTGCCAACTTGGAATTCAAAGAGCGGATCTGTCGGCCTAGATTCACTTCGATGGATTCTTCGATTCTTTCAAGTATTCTCTCAATCTGCCTGGAATTCACGCAGTTTTCGATTTCGTTGAGGACGAGACTCAGGCGTGCAAATTCATTCTGGATTTGACGGGTCACAACGTCGAACACTTGTTCCCGTATCCGTATAGTCTGTGGAGCCTTGTCGTGGAAGATCGAAGTTTTATCAAGCCGAGCGTTGGTAATCTTCTTAACATCAGCGATACTAGGCACAAACTCTTGGCGATGAGAAACACGATCGAGGGAAATTCGCAAAGAATGATTGATGACTGTGTTGCTCCAGCCGGCGTGAGACTTGGATGTAGCAAATACGCGAACACGCAGTAAGCTTTTTTGCCTTGGGTCCCACTTAATCATGCTTTCAAGCAATTCCCGATCTGCCTTTTGTATCCCGTCGATGACGATGAAGTATGATGATCTTCTTGACGGGCTATAGCTGATAATAAGCTCATTCCAGATTTCGATGGCTTTCATCTTACAAGCGTCATATTTATGCTTCTCAAACACGAAATCCCGGTAATGTTCGTCGGCTTCGGACAGCTGCCAAACAATGCTACATAAAGCACGACTCGTTGCTTGTAGAGCCGGTTGTACTGCGCCTTGGCTGCTCTGTTTGATGTTTTTTTGAGATGACGCTTTGGAATCCTCGCGGATGGTGGCCTGGTAATAACTATAAGCCAGAGAAGAAAAGCCCCCAGAAGCGAAGCTCGGATCCTCGATGTGATCAATTACAGCTGACGCTAGGAATGATTTGCCACGGTCTGGATCGGCCGTGACGAGAAATACATTACTTGCGTCGCTATTCGCGTCGCACCAATGTACGAATGAACTATTCTCCTTGCAGAGCCAGTCGCCGGTTTCGTCGGTACGTTGGTCGCGAATTGTGTTATGATGATTTCTCCAAATATCTTCTTCACCGATACGTAACCACTTCCGCAGTTGGATACGCATTTCTTGAACTTTCTCTTGCTCTTCTCGCCTTCCCATGATGTTGACAACCGAATCGATCTTGCCGTCCAGAACATCCATTTTGCCATCGAGGGTGCGAATGTCGCGAGCAGCCTTCGAAAGGTCTTGACCTATCACGGCGACCTGCATATTTACACAGTCAGATACAAGGGTCTCCAGCTTGCCCAGCGCATCGGTGACGCCACTTGTTATGCCGAAAAAGAACTCCTTTGCAGCCAACTTTAGTCTGCTCTTGCGATGCATAAGTTCGATCGCTAGCGTCATAATTTCCATAAAGTGCTCAAGCACCCGATAAACTGTCGGTCGCAACCGTGTATCTAAATTGACATCGGTATTTTTCTCTTCGAAGTAGATGCGAAGACTCCCAAGAAAGACAGAGACACGCTCTAGGAGGATGAAAAGGTCTTCAAAGATCTTGTGATATCTTTTCACGGCCCCGATGACCAAGTTGAGGGCGTTGAAGCATGGCTGGCTAGCGGGAAAGGCAGTGCTCGAGGCGCCTGCAACAAATTCCCCAAGAATCTGGACAGAACTCAAAATGTTCATAACAATCCCCTTTGCCCTCGCTTTGGTTGTGTCGTCGGCGGTTTGTGAATTGACGTTGTCGAGCACTTGTCTTATTGTTGTCGGTTCGCTCGAAGGATTTGCCTTCGATGCATCCACGAAATTTCTCACAACCTTCTCCCACGCGACGTGCAGATCATCTTCAGTTGACAAGAATTTTGGTGCTGATAATTTGCTAAACGCATCCCTGTCATCGTCGACGGACGACGATTTTGGTGCTGACATAGCTGAATACTGAGAGGTGCGGCCTGGATCTGTGAGAAGGATTCAGATAAATGTGCAAGATAGACGTATTCTGGGGATGAGGTGACTGGCCTAATAAGATAGCCTTGTCCAGCCTGATCTTGATCAGTAATAGGCCTGCGTGAGTGTTGCTTCTTCGCATCCTCCCGACGCCACATCGAGCTACACGACTGAAGGGCCGACACGCTTTCGTGTTATTGGCGGAAGAATTGGATCTCGTATGTGCATTATTACAATTTCGGCAATTTCTTGCTGAAAGCTGAGTCGTCGAGCCGAATTCAGAATGAGGTGCATTTGATCGTCAGGATTTTGGCGAACGGGGAACGGAATAGCCGCGCGGGCCGTAGCCTCGCCAGATGAAGGAACAGCAAGCGAGATGGCTGCTGGACAGTCGGTGGGGGCAATCCACACACGCAGCCGTCGAGAGCCGAAGAGGAGCCTGGCTTCTTGCAACACCCTTTGAATCCTGCAGGAAATCCCTTCAGCACATCATTCTTCATCCATGCAGACAGCTTCGAAATTTCTAGCCAATAGTAATCCTGGCAGCGTTGCTTGTTCACGTTGTCATTGCAGCTGCCCTCCGTGTACTGCCGTACCAGAGCTTCGTGATTGTCCCTGAAGCTTGAAATACATGAAGTCGAGCATGACGCGCACGAACTTTGTAAGTGCGTGAAAGCTGACGCCGCTCGCGCACATCTGCACGATCGGTCCTCTGCGCTCCTCCAGCGACACCACCCCCAATCAAGACCTGGCTAGATTCTGCCGAAGACCAGGCACATTGACCGCCGTAGCTGCCCCATCCCCACCAAGACTAATTACCATCTCATCCACCAACAGACCACCATGTAACCACGCCCCATGAGTGAACCAAGTATAACAAGCATCCTCGAAAATACCCGTACTGTTCATATCGGAAATGCCCCGGAATGCCACCCGCCAACGGTTATCCGCCCCGATGGGATAGATCCTGACGTCCGCATCAACCGCGTTCAGCGTTTCAGAGCCAAAGAACTCGACCCACGCATCCGACACAGCTTTTCCACCAGTAGTCCAGCTCTTCACCTTGAGACCCGGACCATCATCTACCACCAATTCGATCACCGATTCGCCACTACCATAGCGACCCGCATAGTTTTCCCTGGCCTGCTCCCGGCCCACGGTGTCAAAATGCGGGACAGAGTAGCGCACAAGATGGTCGAGCAGGGCTCGCAGCGCCGGATCGTCGCCCACACCAGCCACGTTGACGGTGTAGCCGAGCTGGTACTCCGGGATGATGGCTAAGTAGCCGTTGTAGTATCCCTGTCCGCCAGGCATGGTGTATATATCGACGGGTCTCTCGCCTGAATCAAGACCAAGGCTTGTGGGACGCAAGACAGTCCAGGGCATGCCGACAGCTTGGCCTTTGGAGGAGGAGGTGAAGGAGGCGGGCTTCAACCATTTGGCCATGTCGGTGCTCGAGAGTAGCTCATTGTTGAGGAGGCCGCGAACAAAGCGGGCGAGGTCGTTGGGCGTTGCGAACATGCCGGCAGTTCTGTGGGCATAGGCGGATTAGTACGAATGTTCGGTTCTAAGCAAAAGTGGAAAGCAATAGAGTTTGAGTAGACTGCTAGGGTCTGATTTGACTCACCCGTTGAATTCGCCGATGTCCTGAGTACCGAGGTGATCGACTTCACCAGGTATGACCATCAGTGATGCATCCTGACTGTCCAGGCCAGTCGCTGAGCTCAAGCCCAAAGGGCCCGTGATGCTGTCTGTGATGACGTCTCGAAGCGATTTGCCTGTGAAAGACTCGATAGCGTAGCCAAGAATGATAAAGGCATAGTTTGAGTATGCGGGGGTCCGACCGACGGGCCATACATAGTTGCTGACGAGCGCTCCTTGGAGAAATTCTGGGATCGGGTTCAGTAACGAGCGTAGACAGTAGCACGCTCTCAAGGAATTCTTACCCTCTCGAGTAGCACATAGGCCAAATTCTACAGAATTGCAAACAGGGAAGCCCTCAGGGACAGTAGCATTTTCCGGCAAGCCGAGTTCGCCCTGTAGGAAATCAGGAGGTCCCCGAAGAGAGGTGTCGAAGGCGAAGCCTAGGTGCAAAGAGTCAGCTGTGTTCTTCTTGGTTCATTGTTCTCTAGCAATAGCCTTACCGTCGCGCGGAGCGCCAGACAGATGGCTGGCCAGCATTCGCAAAGTCGTGTTCTCGAAGTTTTTCGACCCTTCAAGCTGCGGTACATGCTTAGAAACAAGATCGTCCATGTCCAATCCCTCCTGAAGCAACGCGGAAAGGACGGTAAACAATTTCGTCACCGAGAAGATGCGGTAGACTGTGTCGCCATTGACCTCGCTAACGCCAACTGTGGTGTTGACGTTTGGTGCGGTCCAATGGTACTCAAAAACTGTATCTTCAGTCGTGGTTATCGAGACCGAGTAAGAGGTGGAAGACGTGTTGAAGAGAATCGCTTCACTGTTCAGTCGGTCCAGTGCAGCCTTCAGTGGCTCAGGATCGAACTTGGGGGCGATGGAAAGGTCGGGGAGTGGTAGGAGTGGGATGCCTGCTGGAGAACAATACTCCGTAGCTGCGGCAAGACTCGCGTACGCCAGTGCCGTTGTTGATAGCAGATACTGTTTCATGTTGCGATCGAAGACAATGAACAAGATGGATGCTCTTTTGATGTGAGGAATGTCTGGAATTGATAGTGGAAGGTGATGAGGATTTAGTAGCTGCTACAACAGAGCATGCGTTGAGCTTATATACTATGCTTCTGCTGCGACCAGGCAGGACCATTCAAGTACGCGGCCGAATGAAGCCTCAGTCGCGATCACAGATACTCGCTTTCCAATGTCGACGCGTTGGCTGTACCTTGCGATCTCGTTGGCCGTGCTTGGCTGGGTCCCGAGGTCGCGGTTTCCTCCCGGAGCAGCATAGTTGTTCCTAGCGTTACGCAGGTAATTGCATAGCCAAGAGACCTTTTTGCAGAATTGACTCAGCTTACAAAAGTCCTCGACACAGATTCCGTCATCAATCATGACGAAATGGTATACAACAGTGGTGCCAAGACCGCTGCGCGGTGCCCGTCTTGCCTCGATGGTATGCAGCGTGCTTGCTAAGCCCCTGAGTATCGTGGCCCGCGATGTTCAACCCATTCCCACGCTTGCTAAGATCCAATGAGCATTGTGTTACCTGAGACTGTGGCGACGGTGGCCTTGTACCCCCCAGATCATATGCCAGCACTACAGTACGAAAGATAGGCGCGAACCACATTGGACCCAATCTGCGCTACGGCCGTAGAATACGTACTGTGGCTGAATGCCGCAGAACGCAGAACAAATGCTTATCAGGGCGTTGGTCAGGCACTCCGCCAAGGTTAGAGAACATTCTTGTCCAATCAAGCGAGCCAGAAGAGCTTGGCTGTTCTCGGCAGGCGCGTTCAGCACGTATCGGAAGTCATGATGTCATAGGCTAGACAGATTCTACAGTAAGACTTGCGAACCTAGGCTCAATCTCAAATGCAACGGCCGTTGCCTTGCGCGATCTGACGATTGCCAAGAAGAATGTACTGTTCTGTAGATTGGAGCACGAATGGACTTACACTACTAAACATATAACTGCTTATCGCAATGATTGCGACACCGTTTCAACAGTACACAAAGCACCTTTGCACCTCTGCACCTCTTTAGACGAATCTACCACATTGTCTCTGCGAGCAAGTCAGAACACCTTGGGCCGACCAAGTCTGACAATCGGATCTTAATCAATATGTTTACAGAAGATTTACGTCTTTACCAGAACCCCACCAATGGCTTGATCTATAGCTACAGTGGCGAGATAGCTAACTACACGGTCTCTGTCTGCCCTATCGCGAGCACGTCTTTCGTATGTTGTATTCCAGTCCGTTAAAGACGTTTTCGATGGTCTCACGTGTGTCACAGAGCTTGCAAAGATAAATATGAGAAAACTTCCAAGGGAAAGTCTATCCAATCCAGTGCATTGGAGCACTATTGAAGTTCCAGCCAGCCTGTTTACAATATATTCGAGAAACCTGTGTCTTTGTGTAGAAGAAGACATAGTAGCAGCTTTGCCCTCCAGAACTCTCTAGTGCACATCCTGGACTTCCCCAACTCGGTTATCCATGGGAAAATATTCTGTCTAGGATACTATTCATGCTAGGAGACCAGACAGAACCGTGTCATACGTTTGAAACCAAGTTCTGACGTGCCCAATCGTACAGCGTTGTTGCAGGCCGGCCAATGACAACCTTGAAGTCGTCACGTTTGGTAGCTTGGTAACGCATTTGCCCAGATTCGCCAAGAGGCATCGTCTGCACAGCGCTATTGAGATATAGACGGGCTCCAGCATCCGATGTTGTCGCGACGTAAGCCTCAAGAGCCTCCGAATTATAGACGTTGCATCCAATCTTGGTTCCAGTGGCTTGGGTGATGATCTCGGCAGCCGGTGAGCCGGTGAGGATCTCAGGGCTCAAACCGTAATCAGCACCAGCGTGCTTCTCGGGTCCCACGCGAAGCACCGCGGCTGCCAAAGCACCAATATCAGCAGCTGAAACCCAGCCTAACGCGGCCTCACCCCACATAACATAAAAAGAGCCTTTCTCGATGATAGATGGCTTGGTCACCAACATAGAATCTAGGATGACGTTGGGGTGCAGGTTGGTCTAAGCCATTCCAGAAGCTTTAATGTAGGTTTCGACCATATCGTGCCAGCTAAAATGCGGAATGTGGTCCCGGCCTGAACTATAGACACCAAGGTGAACCACAAACTCAACACCAGCGGCTGCGACCGCGTCGATGAGCATCTTGCTTTGGTACAATATGTCTGCCGTGTAGCCAGTAACCATAAAGAGCCTGTCGATACCTTGCAATGCGAACTGTAGGGTGTTTGGGTTGTCGAGATTGAGGATGACGGCTTGTCGTCCTTGTTGGCGCCATTGTTCAGCGGTTTCGGCCCGGCTTGTCGCTAAACGTACGTGGATGCCTTCGTGATTTGCATCGAGCTCCTTAACAACTTGAGAGCCTACCTTGCCAGAGGCGCCGATGACAAGTACTGTGGTCATTGTGTTAACACGTCTGACGAAACGAGTCGAGATTTGCCGAGATTGTTGAGATCATGTCCTGATATCTTTGCTTCTCTTGATTTATTTTATAGCAGGTTGCGGAACCAGAGACATCCGAGCCAGCAAGGCCGCTAGTGGCGTGGTGGAGAGAAGAACGTGGATACTCCACCACAATAACACTTAGCCTACTGCAATGAGAAGCTTATTAAGAGGCACGTGATAGACTTTATAGTTCTATGCATCTCTTACGTATCAGCCATACTAGAATTTCTAGATATTCTGCACAGCCTTAGCACGTTCTACCTTCAACTGTACTGTATTCTACCAGAGATCGGACGTTGGGGAGAGACCGAGGAGAGTGTTGCGACGAAGTTGGTTATCCCTTATTGTTTGTGTCTTTGACTGATTTTCATAGTCAAGGCTGACGAGCATGCTGTCCGGGTTCCTCAGCGACACCAGTACCGAGCTTCGTCTACACAGGCAAGTCAGGTGTTCGTCTATACAAGCAAGTCCGGTATTCGCCCATGCAAAAGAGGCAACAGACGAACAAGGGATAGCACCTTTGCACCTCGAACCCCTTCAATGTACCTACGGGGCGAAATGGTCGGGCCGATACCCGTATCAGCTTTCCATAAGAGTGGACTGTGTCTGGGAACACGAAGATGTATCAAGTGGCCTGTCGACTAAGAAGCGGAACCGTCCATTTCCTCCACCTTTGTGAATGGTATCAGAACCCTACTCACTCGAAAGATCCTGGAGAACTTCTTCATGAAGAGCCAAGAATAGCCAAACCATTTAGCAAGCAGATCGCTGGACCTATACCAGCAAGTACTCGAGAGAAGATGAATAGAACCTTGTTCGACCGAACCGCGAATCCTGAGACGAAAGACCATGCTGCATACCAAGCGAAGCCGATGATAAGAAGCTTTTTGTACCCGTATAGATCGCCAAATCGACCAGATAACATGATGAATGTGCCAACTGTGAGATTGTAGGCGGCGATCAGCCAGGGAAGCTCCAGGGCGTTCGTAATGTGAAGGCTGTCGCCAATGATATAGACTATAGATATTGTCTGACCCATCCCTGCTTCTTGTGGCTGTTAAAATTATCACCAGTGCGTTCTCGAGGTGGACTTACGGGCATAGAATTGCGCTGTGCAAATTGTAGCCACGAAAAAAATCTCACGAGATGTCGACATATTTTGTGTAACAGGAGTCTGATTTTGGTTTCCCATACCCTTGGTGTTGTCCTCTTTCCGCATATCTGGCAAATTGCCTCCCTCATTCGATCTGTGGTCGTTCCGCATAGGGCTAAGTAACGGAGTCACTCACTGACGTGCTGGTCGCATGGACAAGATGAACTGCCTTTCGTGCTCCTTGTTGATGATCGTTGTACGATATGTTCATGGAGTTTGTCAAGACTCACCCAGGTCGAAGGATACAAGTGCCTATCTATATTCCTGTCGCACAGTTCGTGACATAACGGCTCGTTACATATGACGTCAAATCCAAGGAACCTGGTTTTGGTGGTGTGTCAAAGCTACTGTAATTCGGGAATACCTATGCAGAGAGAGCAAGCAGCTCATGTCCATAAGTTAGAGCAACCCACTACGACCATTGAACTACCCATGTTAAGTGTCTACAGCCCTGACTAGTGCTTCGTAGGGTGAGCGGGATCTCGCAGTGATTATGCGCATCTGCATGTCGATGCTAGTGGAACTCTGATGGTGTCGTGATAGTGTCATGCTTCAATCATATACAAGCTTTTGCTGATCAATTTGCATTCGTGCTAGTCCTTTTGAGACCAACACTGTACTCATACGACGCTGGATTGCGATTGAAATGATGCTGCAGCCGTTCACCCTGTCATAGACGGTATATGATCTTACTCTTCCCGTAGGAGTCTTTCTTTGATATTCCACGAGTTCATTGAGTGCATCCAAACGCGAACGTCTCGGGTCGATCAGAGGATAGATCTCACATACGACGTGAATGGGAGCAAAATCTTTATATTGTTCTATAGTATTGCCCTTTCCTGGGACTAGGCGCCAGTCACTTCCTTCGAAGTTGCCTTATCATTTGTTGGTCCGCTCCCACTACCGCTCATCGGATGTCGATTTTCCATATTATTCGTCACGATCTGACGAGGAGAGACACCTTTCCATTGGGCCTCTGTTGGAAAGTTAGAACTAAGGTGCATGCATTTCACATAGTCCATACGTATAGAGCACTGGATAGTGCCAATAGGCCATTGCGGGCCATCCCAGCCATCCCAATCTTTCTCGTAGGATGTGACAGCGTCATGCTCTGCCTTGAAGGCAAGCTCTTCAGCAGTATGATGAGACATGGGGGTTAGATTGCTGCGATCTTGTTTGGCGTATTAGGAAGAGGGAGCAATTGAAGGATACAACAAACGGGTTTGATACAACAAAAGAAACCAGGACCAACCATGTCGGCCCATATAGGTTTTTTTTATCATTCGGATAGATCATACGTCATAGTTGGTACTCGCAAGAGCTTGTCTTGGACTCGCGTTCTCAGGGAGACCGGAGTCACTACGTGATACGCTGGCAAGCTACGACTGGGTCCAAGACGTTAGCAAAGACCGATGCGATGCGCAGCTATGTGACAGTGTGTGTCCAAAGGATGGAAGCACGGTGCCACGATCGTCTCTGCATCGTTGCCCTTCAACCTTATTGAATCGCGGTAGAAACCTGATTCGCAAAGTAGATAGCGAGCACTGATGACGATACGAGCTATTCAGTTTGTAGCTTGGATAGTATGAGACCTCGAGGGTTCGGACTAGTGTCGTTCCATGTCTCTCCGTTAGCCTATGAACGTTCTGCCTGAGCAGTGCAAAAAATGAAGCAGCAGAGCTTCAACGTACTCTTGTACCTTCCCGCGAGCGTGCAATCTCTCTCGATATCCTTTGCATCACAAGCAGCAAAAATTCTTGTTGGCTGGAACACTTGTGCCATGATCAGCCACTACCGGGACGATGTTGATTTGGCCCGTGGCAACTGTCGCAACGACAACCTCGCCCCACCCAAATGCAGCGCTCAGATCATGCATGATCGTTACCATAAGGCAATCTAGCTCGCTTAGACCTAAGCCTCGAGTTTCAGCCTGCACCGGGAAGTTGTGATGTAGACGTCCCACTTAGACAGCATGATCGGGCCTTTTGCTGGTCATAACCTAGCCTGTAACCAAGCATTTCTCCCTCTAGTCCCCGTCTGGCATCATTGTTTCCTGTTTTATACATTCTTCGATTGCAATTGTTGCGTCCCATGCGTCCGTTATCGCACACTCCCGAGACGCCCGGTACGCCTTACTCATGGGCTCGTAGACAACAATCAACCCGTCCACTGGCAACAAAGACATCTCGTGTCATGACTCTTCAGCTGTCGGCTTCTTGCAAATTCCTACATACCCTATATGGACGCACACCGTGATGAACCACATAATGCGCTTAGTTCGCCGTTTTAGGGAGCTGTCTTTGCTCGAACAATCTAGACATCGCTTGAATGGTGAGAAAGAATCCGATGTGCCAAGCGAACAATGCGCAAGTACTCGTCCATCACCTCTCTACTTTTCGACAGCAAAGACAGGTGTTCATAAACTCGAATCTTTGCTGCACAGTAGGTTCGACGGCGGGACAGTCTACCTTCTGCGCTCTTGATTCTTGGTTTAGAGGAGAATGATTTTGAGAAAACTCACTGCTCTAGTGATGCGCCTCTATCGTAAAATAAACATGTGCGACGGCGCTCAAGCATCCTCTCTGAGAAGCATTCTTCGTATGCTCTAGTAGCGAAAATATTTAAAAAACTGAGAGTCATCGTCTAAGTTGTACTGCATGAATCATTGGCTTACTTTGTGGAAGCATTTGTATCAATGGTTCAGGTCATTCATGGCCTTACGCCTTTGCATGTACCTCGCGTGCATCAGCAGGTTTCTAAGAAGTATTTTCACGCCGTGGGGCTGCATGAGACGCCTGGAACGTCAGCTAAGTTTGGATACCAGCCGCAACTGCAATCTACTAATGTCTGCTGCATGTCTAGCACTTCCCTTGCAATTTTTTCTGCCCCTCGCGTCCGCTGTAATCGGGTATGCAGGCATGATGAGCCAGATGAACGAAGACCCAGTTCTTGGATAATACGAACCAGACTATAGGCTTAATTTATCTCATAATTCTGGTCTTTGCAATCGCCTCAAGCAAGCACAACTCCATCCTCGACTTCTCGTTGTATCATCTAGGCACTCGCACTGCGCATGGGCGTGCGCAAAACTACGAACACTCTCACGGAGACGTTTCCAAACAAGAAGCACAGTTGTGGACTTCGCAGTCATATTTCGAGACAAGTCTTAAAGTCAGATATCTCTGGAGATCTAGTAATTCTTATTGATACGTATCTCTCGTGTCTCTTGAACGTCGAGTAGGATCTCAAGCATGTCCGACCATCCCCTGCTCGCTTCTCAGTCTTTACCGTTTTCTGAAAAGTGTACTAGATGATCACTTCCTCTTTCATGCTCTGTACTGAGTCCGTCCTCGTTTGCTATATCCTTGAGTTGCTCCGAACACCCCTCTGAATAGTTGTTGAACCAGTACTGTGGTACGTGCTGAATATGCTCTCTGAAACTCTCTCCTACGAGAACTTCTTCAATAACACCTTGCTCTATAAAATTTGAGCACAAAGCCTGCCCTGTAGTGACGAAAAGCCAGTGTATCGCTGGAGGGCCGAATTGTCCATCCATTCACAGGTACGCTGAAGACGCTGTCATCAGGCTCACCATAATCCTGACTGACCAAGAGATGAGTTTGATCTTATAACGCGACGATATTGGGACGTCTTGAGTCATCTAGAGTTGTCCCAATTTCTTCCTTCTGGGAGCTTCCATGCAGTGAAAAGTTCGAAACGGACCAGCAGATATCAAAGATCATAGTATCTCGATAAAGCCACAGGATCCGTTGCAGTCGCTCAGTCTCAGGCTTCACCACTTCCTGCATGATGGAACTCAGAAGAATTGAGGGTTTGTCTCATAGTTCACCAATCAAAGGGTCACACAGGACATGTATTCCGCTCCCGTGTATGGAATTGTAGCGTATGTGCAATCAAAGAGCATTTTAATAAAATCGCTTTTGTCAGCCAAGACGACCACTAGCTATTGCGATACGTTGACGCGTCGTCGCGTCGTCGCGAATGATGAGTACTTGCGACAAATAGCGTGCTTGGTGATTGAGAAGTCATTGAGCTGCTCGTCTGTCGGTGGAAGACAAAAGCTGTCACCGTGCCAAGCCAGGGTCGGTGCGCGGAAAGGTTTCAATATGTTGTCGCTAATTTGACTGAGTGTTCCGGGGCGATGATTTGCCGATGTACAATTGGATACCAAGGAGGCATCAAGATACAGTGATGAACATCTTGGAAGCGAGATGCTCAGTTCTTAATCATAGTGCCCCACGAGTGAAGATCGTAATTCTTTGGAGGTTCGAAAAGGATACTTTCTACGACAGTAACGCTGTTCGGGAGTCTCAGACACGACATTGATATGCTATCGTCATATCGTCCTCTCACAGCATGGGTCAGTTGCATACCTATTGTTGGGATCGTGTCTTGGTATGACTAATAAGCCACTAGAAGCCTTCAACACTTGGACTTCTGTTTGCACCGTGAGACATCAATAGCTCATGGCTGAGTTGCTACGGTAGTATGACACGTGGCCTGATCTATAGGTTCGAGCTCATCTGTATTAGTTCATGTATTGTCGATAGATGTTGTCGAGGCTCTTGCGCAAAGTTTACTTATTGTAAGGTCTTAATCAACATGTCTCGTTGCACAGCGGACATAGTTGGCTTGGCGACTGTGGCTAGTTACGACTTACTCCAGCTGGTCGGCCGAGACGCTAATGGACTGACTTCGCGATCGCGGCAAAGCAGCTTGCCAGTCAGACAATCCGCCTGCGACGCCTTTAATACCCAGAACTTTTGTATACCGAAAGCGGAGCAAGTCATGAGCGTCAGCCGCACTCAATGACGTGACCGTCCTGACACCTCATCTGGCATGAAAGTTGATCACAATCGGCAAAAGGTGGGGCTGTCAGCTTTCCCGTAGTTTCCCTCTAACTGAACCAAAAAAGCAACATAATTTTGACAAAGCAATCAATGAAAACAGACCTAGTACTAACGACAGACATGTTCCTTGCAAATTTCGCGAATGCCAAGCCATTGAGCATTTATCCATGAACGAAAGAGCAGTCTAGAGATGTGCTTATTTATGGCACATATATCGAACACCAACATGATTGTCAATCAATGTCTTTTTTACACACGCCGATGCTCTGAAAGAGATCGTTGACTCTATGTGTAAGTCTTCCTGATTGGCTACTCAGTAGCTCGACCGGGGTGCGGCATCGTACCCGCAGATCTGTGCCACGTGCGTAACTTACTGCTTGGGCAGATTTGACTAAACGTCATTGCTTCACATATCTATTGTAAGGTGTATGCCCTGGTCACTAATTTGGGTGTGTCCTGTGCCCATGCTTAAATTAGCTGACTGTAAAGGCTTACGACTGGTGCAGCGCTCTGGAGTATACCCACCAGAAACGAGTCACCATATAATCATACCTTCTACGCACTTTCCTAGTTACTTCTTGTTACGGTTCTCATTCCTGTTGTCCTTCGATGTGTATGTATTCTGTCAGTCAGACAGTACTTGCGCATGATGGCATCACAACTACGTGGTGTCGGATTTGAGTTCACCAATGCATTGGTGGAGCACCCTGATCCCATTTTTCTCCATGGCCAAGGCGTCGAGGGTTTCGTGTGCTTCAAGAAAGAATGCAGGTGCTCCTATAATACAGTGAGGCTCGTACTTGAAGGTGTGTCCCGTCGAGACTTATTTTACGTGGTGTTTCAGGGGATTAACGCGGACTTGGTTAGGAACAATTTCCAACCAGATCACACATCAATCGCAAGGATCTCAGGAGCCTTTGGACTTACGATTTTGTAAGACTGCAAGTACGAACAGCTGCCTAGTTGAGGAAACTATCTAATGTTTTTTAGGTATTGAAGTTGACAGATATATTGGGTCGCAGTGATGCAATCCGTGACGATCGATGTGAAGAGTGTTGGAAGTTGCCAATCAATTTCAAATTAGACCATCTGACCAACAGTGGTAATCCGCAAGAGATGATGTCCGAGAGGCGAAGCCATTTTCTGCCGTCTTCGCTCACTGCTGACTCTTCCCGAGATGGGAGGTGCACATGGATCCCTCTTTCAGGAACCTCGTACGTTGAGTATACCATTCAATGTTGGGTCCTCAGCGGCTCGACGATTTACAACTCGTGCTCGAAAAAAGTCAAGATCTATGAATGCATTGAATCCTCGCCACCTCCAGTGTGCCTAGAAGACTATCCGGGGGAATATGTATGTAGACAGGAGAAGAAGTTGAGGAACACACTTGGGTGTCCAGGAAGATCTATGTATGTAGCGGTCAATGAACCAGCACCCATATCACGCGGGGCGAATGTGTCAACCTCTGGAACATATATCGACATAAGAGTCGGAGTCAGGGGAAGGCTTGGTCAAAATGCACGGATACCTGCTTGTCTGGATATCAAGATGTTTTGGACGCTCAAAACTCACACATTCATCTCTGTAGTAGAGAGAGACAGATCACCTACGGCAAGAGAAGCTCATGTATCTCCCTTCCTCGAAGAAGTGGTTGGAATTTCCCAATCTCGGAACTTGGGGTTCAAGCTCGATAGTTGGGAGCAGCGACTTGAAGGAGCATTTGCCTGGGTTCAGACCAAGACAGTCCAGCTACCTCTCCTGAAGGATTCATACCCTTCGCCCACTTATTTTCATCCGATCGTTTCAAGACGTTACAGCCTTGCTCTGCATCTGAAAGCGTCAATCAAGGGGTTTGGAAGCGCTTCTTTCGATCTTGTTATTCCTATACAGGTATTCTATATGAGTTTGCCCACTACCGTTGTTCATCCTGCTCAGTCTCTCAACGCAGTACCACAGTATTTCCCATAGTCATATATCAACTACATTTTGTTGGAAAAGATGCAGGATCTGTTATGTTGATTCCGGAGCTGTTCACAGGCATTGAGAAAGTAGTCACTGCCAGCCAAATCTACATACATCCCCATGATGAGATCTTCGAACCGTACCCATTGATCACTCACCTTCAGGATCAAAGTTTCTACCAAAGATATGGTTAACATGGAGTGACCAGATCAGACCTGCTGTGGCACCTGTAAGATTTCACCTCAATACATGCGGAAAAGGGTTGCTAACTAGATCATAGCTTGACGTATGCAATAGAGATGGCTTCGTTCCATAGCTCTGTAGTTCGTTGCCATCTGTGTTGTGGTCAACATGAGCTTCATGCGAGCGTGTACACATATATACCGTCAGTCATTATTACAATCTAGATCTACTGTGCGGATGATATTTGGTGTTCATTGTAATAACTCGACTGTGTAGAATGAATAGGGTCTGATTGTTTCTCTTGTAAAGACATTGATCATACAAAAGTACTTCTTTACATGGGGTGCGCTTCTACGTCTTGTTTTGTTGATCTGCGTCTTTCTTGCTGACCGTAGTCTCAAACCTTGCAGCATCTTCCATGTACTTCTCGATACATAAATCGATCGCCCGAACGCCGCAAGATGCATGATGGAGCAAAGAGAACCTAAGCGAAAGTGCCTCCTCGCGCAGTCGCTTTATATCCTCCTTTAATGTGTGATTCATCGAAGCATACTCTTCTGCTCTTATCCTCAGACGTTCTGTAGCATCGGCATCACGTTGACGATACTTGCGCGCCGCCAATCGATTCTTTGCAAGAGCTTGGTTGCGAGCAAGCTCGCCGTGAGTGTGACGGCGATTCCCTATCATGGGCCGTCCTCGTTTAGGTTTTGAATCAGCCATCGGATTCTCGACCGGGTTGGTTTCGGCTAGAAGTATTGCTGAGCCTTGATGTGCTCCGTCCGTTATCACAGAGTCGCATTGCGACCGAATATCCTCTCGCTCCACAATCGACTTGGCGGCATGGATCCGTTGATTTGACACAAGATGGAGTTCTCGCTGCAGAGTGTCGCTTCTGACCTCAGCTGGGTCGCACAGGCCTTGGCGAATGACATCAATCAGGGGTGGTATTTGGAACAATGGTTGTTGTCCAAGATGTGCAGTCGAATGAACCTCGGTAAAGAGGCTGGTAAGTTCATCCATGTCCAACTGTACAGTGTGGAATCCTTTGATCGAAGTAATAAAGAGTGAAGTACTGAGCTAGATATCTTTGTTCGTATTGCCGCGATGAGTAAAATACTATTGTTAATCTCGACAATCATCGGTCTTCATCGTGGACGGAATTTGATGCATCTGATCACCCTGTCTGGTCTAGCATGTTCCAAAGCAACCAATCGGCAGATCACGCAATTCTGTTGGCTAGCGATCTCCCCCCAAATTGCGTCGGCCACGCCGGGACGCTAGTCCTAGCGTTTTATCATTCGTCGCGTCTGTGAGAGTTTTTGACCGATAGAGTGCTGCGAATACCAGTAGCAGATCAGTGTACATAGGATTTGTCTTTTCGTAGACTGTATTGTGTTGGTGTACGGTCGCGTGCATTTACCCCCCAACTAATTTCACGTAGAAGACTTCTGTTTCTCGATGCCACGCACATGGACATGGAGAAAGACAGGGATTAGGGACCGGTTTCATGGCAGCTGGGCCTGTTTTATCAAAGCTTTTCGATTCAAACGAGCAGATAGCTTGAGAAGGACAAGGAAGCACGCGCTGACACTACAACCAGTCCCCAACGATGCTTCATGCAATTATGCCGATACTATGGATGCACTGTAGAGCTCACCCCAAATGTATCCAATCCAGACGACATCCGGTCGTCATTCCTGAGAACCTCGGGGCGGCTTGTAAAATCTAAGGCATGCTTGAGAAGATTCTAGAGTATGATATACAGCAGACGACCCCGTGCATGTCTTTAAGTCTGCCTGAGCAGAGGGTCTGTGCTTAATCGCGCGATTGCCCTAGTAGAACAAGGCTACTTGATGTATTGTACGCGTGTTAGAGTGCATAGACATACTAACACAGGGATATTGAAGCGTCTGAGACTGAGCAATCGATAAGATAGGACAGTACATGTGTTGTGTAGTAGTACTAAGTGCCCCAGAGAGTAGAGTGCTATCCCTCTAGACAAGTCGTATATAAGAATGTACGTGTAATGTGTGTAGGTGTGTAAGGAACACAGATGAGGTTTTTTCCTCTCTCCTTACGGTCATTACCTTACTCACTCGAAAGATCCTGGACGACTTCTTGCATGGAGGCTGATGCTGCTTCCTATCAATGATCAGGCCATCAAACGCTTCAAAGGGGTTGAACATTACTGGACCCGCCATACAGGGCAGTATCACAACGCTCACCGCGTCATTGACAGTGAACCTATGCTTGCTTTCGATCTCGGGTCGTTGGGGTCATTCTCCTTTGCCAAGGCGAGCGGTGGTCAAAGAATTGACGAAGAGCGTGGGCATCGTGTCACACTTGGTTGAACTTCCATTCATGCAGGACCAGATGAACGTTTGTTGGAATTGCTGAATCTGGAACACATACCATGTCTCTCCATTGATCTATCAACTGGTCGAATTCGTGGCCACTACACAATGCTTCTATCGATGAGCGGGTGGCTTTGCAAGATAGTGATGTAAGTGACACAATTCATGGGAGACTTGCAGAGCGTAGGGCATTGCATCCATCAACTGGGAAAGCAATGGTGTTATACTTGCAGATCTGCATGTGCTCGCAACCGATATCTGTCGCTTGGTCAGCTTGAGAGATAGAAGTTGCGAAGGAAGTGACAGTCATTCGACGCTTTCTCTGATAACGCCTCGCACACTCAGAGTGAAAGATAAGAGGCGTATTTGTAAATGTATGCCGCGGGGGCCAAAATGTAGAGTCTAACGCCGCTTCTTGTCGCCATTGGAGGAACATCTGACTGCGCCTTAACAGCGCATCTTGCACCCCTGTACAGATCGTACGACAAAGAGGGGCTCGCATATACGTACGACAACCATTCCACTACCATCCAAAATAAGCTTGATGATGTGAAAGTGGTAAGCTGTTGGAACCGACTCCACAATAGCCCAGGAACAGATATAATACCTGGGCATCCTTGCAATACTGTGAAATTTTCAAGAGGTTGAGAAAGCTAACATGGAACGAGGGGTCAATCATGAAAGGATATCGATGTAGCACAACCAAATCACAGGTCAAACCTACGTTCACGAGTTTGGGGCAACCGATAGTAAGGCTCTGAACGAATGATATACAGGGATATCGAATACATAAAGGTCATATCGGCAGGGCTCACTATAGTCGATAGGAGTCTTTTAGCTATAGAACCATTTCAGAACCAATTCCAGTCCTTCAAACATACAGCAAAAATCGCGTCAAGTGCAAAAACAAGCGGGATGAAGCATATTCAAGAGTGGGGAATACATTTATCAACGTTCTAAGACTGTGCCTACAGAGCACCCACAGTATCAACAGGAATGGCGTCCTCTGTCCACGACATTGCAAAGCCTAGATTGCAGTGGTGGCAGCGGGATCAGCAACCTTGGCCTTGGGCTTGGGTGCCTGTGCATCGAGCGGCACGTTCAAGCCCAGACGCTCGCGAGTGGTGTAGGAAGCGATACCACCGTTCGTATCGGCTTCCGTAACGAGCTCCTTGCGACGGGTATCAACAAGCAGACGAATGAGATCGGGACGCATGTAATGACCCGAAAAGTCAGCCAACGCCTTGGTCAAGTGGCATTCGTTGAGGTCGATCTGCACCACAAGTTAGTCCCAACAACGAGGAAGCTCAGAATGGGTTTAAAACAACTTACGTCAACGAAAAGCAGACCATCAAAGTCCTTGTCGGGCTTGCACACGAGTGTACCATCTGGCTTGTAGATCCTCGCATGGCCATTGTACGTCGAGGGATCAGTCTCGGGCTCCACACCTTCCGGCGTAGTCTTCTTCAACCCATCCACACTCAGTCTCTGGAACGGAGCCAGCGTCCACGTGCCCGTCTCAATCGCATAAGCCGGAGTGACCAAGTCAGACGCCGGGTCCGCGACATTGGTAGCGGGATCAGGATACTTGAGCGTCTCTTTGCCAGGATACACTGGCCAGGCGGCGATGTGGATCTGCTCGCCCTCGGATACGTTGAGCGATTTGAGGAATGGGTTCATGTTCTCCCAGCAGTTGAGCTGGCCAAGACGGCCGAGTTCGGTCTGGGTGACGGACTTGAATGTGTCGCCTGCGCCGTCGCCGTAGACGAGTTTCTCAACGTGTGTGGGCTTGATTTTGCGGCGGTGGTTGATGACCTCGCCAGTGGGGTCGATCAAGGCCTGCGCCAGGTACAACGTCGCGTGGTCGATTTCGGAGAAACCGAGCGAGACGTAGCTACACTCAAGATCAGATACGTGCCTTTCGTCGTCCTCGTAGGTACTAGAGAACTTACATCTGGTTATCCCTCGCCGCACGGCGGATCCGTCGAAACTCTTCCGAATCCATGGGCAGCGAGTTCTCGCGGTACGACTTGAGCATGGGGAGCGACTGCTGGTAGTTGACCTTCCACATCCAGTAAGGGTAGCCTGGAATCCAGACTTCAGGAAAGGCAATGAGCTTGCAACCTGCAGCGCCGGCTTCGTTGATGAAGTTGATGGTCTTTTGGACGCCGGCTTCGAGGTCGAACCAACATGGCTCGGAGGTGACCTGTTACTCTGTCAGCAGAAATCCGGCAAGAGGGACAATGATGGGGACTAACACAGGCGGCTTTGTACTTGGTGAGAGGCATGGTGGAAGCTGTTTCGAATCGAAGCGTGTTGTGTTTTGTAGAATAGATAAAAGTCGAATATGCGATGATTGATGTTTAAACCAGAGGGCCTTGACGACTTCTTATATACCAATACCGTCATGTACAGACCCCTCTCCCTCTCGTTACACAGCATTCACCCTGCACCTGGCGACCCTTCTCGATGCTCCATTGTTTGTCAGTCCCAGCGCCAGGAGCATCTTCCCTGCTGCCGGTTAATTGACGTGCTTCCCTGAACATGGTGTGATTTTGCCGCTATCGAAAACGACCAAGAGCCACAGAAACAAATGAAGCAACTGCAGCGACCGGACCGTGTAGCAAAACAGTGGACTGATGTTGAACATGGACGTCGATGCCTCGTTGCTAGCGTTGATACTGTAGATGCCGGAGATGCCGTGACCCAGTCTTTGCGGCATCAGTACGGCGCCGGTCGGCATGTCGCCGCGTCGCGTCCTGTATCACCCGAACCATCACCGTAACTGATGTAATGCGTGTTCGACACTGATGAAAAGGCCGACGAAGCAGCGATCCAGTTTGCGACGTGATTTACACGTGTGGTGGTGACCCGGCAGAAGCTCGGGCACGGATCGTCCAGAACATCGTAGGTACGTGGAGAGGAAAGAGGCAAAAAGAAGACTACATGTTGAATTCTTCATCCTTGAATGCTTAACACCAGGTCTACGCCTTGATGTTTGCCGGCTGTTTGAAGTATTTGCTAGGAACAAAAGGCATCTTGGTCACGACAGCCTTCCTTTTCCTCCCCCTCACGACAACCTGTACTTCGGTCCCTGCTTTGTGCATACCATCTTTGACATAACCCATGGAAATGTTCTTCTTCATTGTAGGCGAAGGACAGCCAGATGTGATGGTGCCAATCTTTTCCCCAGCCTCGTCGATAATCTCGGCACCCTCTCTGGCAGGCGATCCCTCTACGACAAGACCCACGCGACGCCGTGATACACCGCCGCCTTCAGACTTCTTCTTGAGCTGCTGCAGGATAACGGAGTCGCCGTGAAATCCGCCCTTTGCACGGCGGTCCTTGCCGATGATCCAGGATAGTCCGGCCTCGACTGGCGTGGTCGTGTCATCAAGATCGTGGCCGTACAGGCACATGCCGGCCTCTAGTCTCAGCGTGTCGCGCGCACCCAAACCTGCAAAACGCAGCTCGTCTTTGGCAGAGTCCAGCAAGAACTGTGTTACGGCCTCGGTGGCGTAGGCAGGGATGCTAATCTCGAAACCATCTTCACCAGTGTATCCGCCCCGGCTGACGAGCACTTGAGCATCTGTGCCTTTGATGACAGCGTTTGCGCATTGGCCAAAATACAGCGACTGGAGATCCTGCTTGGACTTGTCGTCTAGAACGCGAGAGAGTATCTCAGCAGATAACGGACCCTGGAGGGCAACAAGACCCTGTCCATCGAGCATGTTCCACTCTACAGGCTGGTCGGAGTGTGCGTTCTTCCAGGCTTCTAATTGTGTCTTGAAGTAGGCAGTGTCCTTTTCCCTGCAGCCGGCATTTGTGACTACGTAGAAGCGATCGGGCAGACGGGTGATGACTGTATCGTCAACAATTCCGCCTGTAGAGTGTAGCAGCGTAGACAGGGTGGACTGGCGTTCAGGTAATGTAGATAGCGACGAGGGTGTTATGCTCTCGAGGAAGGCCTCGGCGCCTGGCCCGGAAAAGTGGTGCTGGACCCTGAATGGATCAGCGCAGGAACATGATTGGAAGATTGTGGGAGTGATGGTGAGTACGCAGAACAAGTATGAAGTCGCTGTTACCTACATATGTCCAACGTCAAACAAGCTGGCCTTCTCGCGTGTCCAGTTGTGTGAGTCGATGATGCTCATATCGCTGTACTGGACTGGCATGGCATAGCCGCCAAATGGCACAAACTTGGCGCCATACTTGCTGTGAAGCTCGTACAAGCCCGTCTTTGCTGGCTGCTCGCTTGCAGTCTCCGACGAAGCATATCGGACGTGTTGCTGCGATAGGCGTGTGAGGTTGCGGGGACGTGGGGCTGGGGTTGCGCGCGATCTTGTGGAGTAACTTGCGACGCGCGAGCATTCTGGCCTCCAAACCAGCGGCACAAGACCATTGGCGGCCGGACGCAGGGCAACGACAGCTTTTTTCGAGGCCATTTTGGGTGGGTGAGGAGGAATTGCCAAAGAAGTTGCGTCGTTTCGCTGCTGGCGGGTACTCACGGCGGACTATATAAGACACCAATGACGGCAGGGTAGCACCCTAGGCCGCGACTAGGCCCAAGCTCCTCCGACTGGATTCCATCCACCAAAACGGCCATCGTTCCCATAACCGCCTATATCGCGTCCCGATCGCCCCAAAACAGAGCGCCGCAACCATGTCCAAGGGGAGCAAGTACCTGCTGGTGTCGCTGCCGACGTCCATCTCGCCCTCGAACCACGCCGAGGACGCCCTCACAGCGCTGCGCTCCACCGTAACCAATGACGTGGGGAACACGTCCCCGTTCGCGATTCCCAACTTCAAGATCGGAACGCTGGATGCTCTGGTGCAGCAGGCCGATGAGCTGTCCAAGCTCAACAATGCGTGCGAGGCGGTCGTGGCCAAGGTGGGCGACAGCTTGAGGCAGATACTCGACGGCGACGAGGGCAAGATACAGCAGCAGAAGACGATCAACGACAGTATGTGCACACGGGCCGTATGCGATTGGCGTCTGGCAGCTCACATGATGTAGAGCCGGTTGATCAGTACTTGCGCAACTTCCAGTGGAACAAGGTCAAGTACCGGGCCGACAAGCCCATTGCAGACCTCATAGACGCTCTGCAGAAGGTGCGTTAGGCTTAACCCTAACCTAATCCCTCTTGTTCTGTGCATCAGTACGGCTGACAAGGACAGGAGATACAAGGTGTCGACAACGACGTCAAGTCCAAGATGAGCCAGTACAACCAGACAAAGTCCGCCCTCCAGGCCGCCGAGCGCAAACGCACCGGAAACCTCGCGACCAAGTCCCTCGTCAACGTCGTCAACCCCAAAGCCATAGTCCGCGACTCCGAGTACCTCGACACGCACCTCATCGCCGTACCCAACAATAACGTCAAGGACTTCTACAAGGACTACGAGGAGCTATGTCCCATGGTGGTTCCCCGCTCCGCCAACGAGCTCGCCAAGGATGCCGAATTCACCTTGTTCGCCGTCACGACATTTAAGAAGCATTCCACCGAGTTTGTACACAAGTGCAGAGAGAAGCGGTGGACACCGAGAGACTACCAGTACAAGGAGGGCAACAAGGAGGAAGAGGCCAAGGAGGCGGAGCAATTAGCCAAGGACGAGAAGAAGCTGTGGGGCGAGGCATTACGGCTAGGAAGAACGGGGTACAGCGAGAGCGCCATGATCTGGATCCATGTTCTCGCGCTGAGAGTGTTTGTGGAGACGGTGTTGCGATATGGCTTGCCGCTTGACTTTGTCGCGGGAATCGTTCAGGTGAGTTTGCGCGTGTTGGACGAGCGCAGTGTGTGGCATCTTTGTGTTGGACATGTACTGACGCGAGGCACCTAGACCGATGCGAAGCAAGCGAAAAAGGCAAAGTCGAATCTCGATGGCGCGTACTCATACCTTGGTGGCAACGCCTTTGGCCGCGATAGCAAGGGTCGGATTCAGAAGGACGATCAGGCGCTGTCGACTGACATGGCGCAAGCGGGTCAGATGGGGGATCAGGAGTACACGGCGTATGTGTACTATGAGTTTGAGGTGCTATAGTGTGACAGCAAAAAGGTAGCGAGGGTTTAGTCGATAGCATAATCTGGTCATGGACTTGTGTTTTGAGTCTTATAGATAGCTTTCTGTGAAAGCGGAATGATGAACAGACTTCATCGCATGGCCACCGGAATCCATGTCCGACAGTGATGACAGCACATGCACGCTCTACGCCTCTTGGAATCCGACCAGCTCATTACTCGTCTCCCACAATTTCTCCTCGCTCTCGACGTCATACGCCCACTTCTCATATCCCCGATCTACCAATCCATAACTCGGCTGTGGCACCGGCGGACAAACCTGACAATCGTCTAGATAAACACCCCCCTTGCCTTCCCAGCACTCTCCTACCGCTGCCCAAACAGTCGTCGCGGCTCCTTGCGCAGGGCTCTTCATGTACCTCTGCACTGCGGGGATTTCTTTCATGGCGTCCATTCCAGGTAAGTGGTCTTGCAGGCCAGTCCATATACCACCTGGATGGAGGGACAAGGCGTGGATAGGATGTGTCGTGGAGGAGCCATAGTGTCTATCAATGTAGTTTGCGAACCAGATATTTGCTGTTTTGGAGTGCGCATATGCCCGATTAGGGTCATACGCACCGGGTTCTCGCAGCTGCATATCTGACAGCGTGGGCGCGAAGTAGCGGTGGCCCAGCGATGACACGGCGACGACGCGCGAGGCGGAAGTAGGCGTGCTAGAAGCGACGAGGGCTGGTTTGAGCAGCTGGAACAGCAGAAAGTGGGCGAGGTGGTTCACGCCGAATTGCGTCTCGAAACCATCGGCGGTTGTCGATTGGGGTATTGCCATGACGCCTGCGTTGTTGATCAAGATGTCAAGTTTACCATGGCTGGCTGCGAGGAACTCGGCAGCGAATGTGCGGACGGAAGCTAGGCTTTCGAGATCGAGATGCAGTAGGTCAACTTTCCCGGGTGACAGGATATCGGCGAGTGCTGCTTGGCCCTTTTCGAGGGAGCGTGCAGTGCAGAAGATGTGGGCGCCTGTAGCAGCGAGAGCTCGAGCTGTTTCGACGCCTAGGCCTGAGGAGCAGCCTGTTATTAAGATGTTCTTATCGGTCAGCTTGCCCTCGAGGCCGTTGTCTTTGATGATTTGAAGGGCTGTGGGACGGGCGTCGCCTTCGCCGTTGAGATTTTGGTGGACAGCGGCGTAGCGTGTGAATTCTGGGGTGGTGTACAAGGCCATGTTAGGTACTGGGGATGACGATGTGAAAACTTGGGAGATGGAAACGGAGAGGAGAGATGCAATGGGTCAAGGTCTCAACGGTTGCAATCTAAGGATGATGTGTTGGACTTGAAGGGTGCGTGTACGTGGGTCTTTATACACGAAACCATATTTACAGAGCTTACAAGCCGGTCGACTGTGCCTTAAGGCCGATCTTCACTCCGTTTATGCTTGGTGTTACCTGTGTAGATTGATATCACTAAGATGTACGGACCAGCAGCGGGCGTGGATCAAGTGAGACGTTGTGGTCGATGAGCACGGTGTTGCGGAGTTAGCGAGTCAGATCCGAAGTTGTATAGACCAGGGCGGTGGCAGCAGGCAGAATCTTAGCGCGTCGGCTTTGGAAAGTGCAACTTTTCTCTCAAAGTTACTTGCACCCAATCACGAGCCCGGACCACGCTCAAAACACCCACGATGCCGTCTACACACAATGCCGAGAAGCCCTGGGACACGGATGACATTGACAAGTGGAAGGTACGTTTGCGCCGGATTCGCGCGCTCTCGGCGCAAGATTAACAGGCGCGCAGATTGAGCCCTTCAAGCCCGAGGACAATACGGCCGGCGCCTTTACCGACGAGTCGCGTTTCAGCACGCTTTTCCCAAAGTATCGCGAACAGTATCTGAAGGGATCATGGAAATTCATTACACAGGCGCTGCAGAAACAAGGTGTTGGGTGCGAGCTCAACTTGGTGGAGGGTTCCATGACGGTATGGACGACGCAAAAGACATACGACCCGGCGGCGATATTGAATGCGCGTGACCTGATCAAGCTGCTTGCGCGAAGTGTACCGGCGCCACAAGCAGTCAAGATCCTCGAAGACGAAGTGGCCATGGACATCATCAAGATACGGAATCTAGTTGGAAACAAGGATCGCTTCGTCAAGAGGCGGCAGCGTATTCTCGGGCCAAACGGATCGACGCTCAAGGCACTGGAGCTGCTCACCGAAACCTATCTGCTGGTACAGGGAAACACCGTCGCTGCCATGGGTCCCTACAAGGGCCTCAAGCAGGTTCGGCGCATCGTCGAGGACACGATGCACAACATCCATCCCATCTACGCTATCAAGGAGCTTATGATCAAAAAGGAGCTCGCCAAGGTAAGTTGTGGAAGCGCAAACTGCATATGCGACGTACACTGACTTTGTGCCACCACGTAGGACCCGGAGCTAGTCAACGAGAGCTGGGATCGCTTCCTCCCCAACTTCAAAAAGCGCTCGCTCAGCAAGCGCCGCGTACCCCACAAGGTCACCGACAAGACGAAGAAGACATACACACCGTTCCCGCCGGCCCAGGAGAAGAGCAAGGTGGATCTGCAGATCGAGAGCGGAGAGTACTTCTTGGGCAAGCACGCAAAAGAGAGGAAAGTACAGGAAGAGAGGGAAGACAAGATGAAGGACAAGATGGACGCAAAGCGCAGGGAAAGGATGATGGAATATGTCGCACCAGAAGAGGATGGCGACAAGAAGCAGAAGAAGGAAAAGAAGCGGAAACGGGAAGAGGGCGAAGGCAAGGAAAAGAAGAAGAAGAAGCGCAGTTCCGAGGGCGAGGCCAATGGCGATGCTTGAGCCACATTTCGCATTGCAATACCGACGTTGCAGCGACATGCTGCAGGTCGTGGAGTATAGGCGTATTCTTCCTTCTCCTCTAGGGAACACCACAAAAAGCATTGACAGGTGTTTAGGTTAGCTTGATAAGTTCAAATACCCAATTTTGTATTACCACCACCACATGTCGTTTCTTTTAGGATTACCGGGCTCAAGGCCATTGCTTGGCGCTCTATACTTGGCGACAGGCGCTCAAACATATTGTGTCTCACATGCGAACCTGACATATCAGCCGCAGTGCAACGTCGAGATTTCTTCACCATGTTTCTGCGACTCTGTCTCCATACCCAGGCCAAATACCTCTCTGCCTTGCTCAAATCTGTAACATAATGCGGAATCTGTCTGCTATCCTAGCACATGTCGCCTCGGTCGACTTGGTACCATGGACGCTGCAACGTCAACCATGTTGGCAAGAAAGTCCCCTCTACAACCAGGCCTTTCAAACCTCACTGGACGCATCACAAACCTACGCATTTTGCGCTGACATCTTTTCTCCTTTGGGTCAAGTGCATGCGAAACCGCGTGATAACTACGAACCATGGACTCACAACCCAGTTTGCACACCACATCTCTCCGGCGTCAACGACACACTATGCGTTTACACACACGCTACTTTTGCTGGAGGACGCGGAATCTCAATCGTGACGACACCGCGTCTTGCCCGGCAATTCGCCGTGTTACCGGCGTTTCTCGACCAATCGATTCATGCAGCGCGGAATACCAACACACCTACAAACGTGTATCGAGCGACTGAAATACCAGAAAAGGGCATCGGCATGCTAGCCACACGGCCCCTCGCATTTGGCGCCGTCGTAACAAGTCACACACCAGCACTCATCGCCTTTCTAGAAGCCGAGTTATCGACCCTAGACCGCGAAACACTCTGGCGCACCGCCATCTCGCAACTACCACCGACACTGCAAGAAAACTTCCTCTCTCTAGCGACCGTGTATGGAGACGAGAGGGTGCGCGTCCAAGACATTGTTAAAGCGAATACCTTCCAGATCCTGCTCGGGGGCGCCAATCATCTAGCCGTCTGGCCCGAGACGTCGAGGCTGAACCACGCGTGTGCGCCAAATGCGCAGTATGTGGTGGATGCGGATACGTTGACGCATACGGTGCGTGTGACGCGGCCGATTGCTGAGGGCGAGGAGATTACCATCAGTTATACGAGTCCGCTGGAGGAAACGTATGTTCGACGGCAGCATCTGCAGCACGGGTTTCACTTCATGTGTGCGTGTAAGAGGTGTGCGGATCCTCGTTCTGACGGTACGCTTGAGCGTATCAGGGGTTTGGAAAAGAGGCTCAATGACTGGGAGTCCGCCTCCTCTTCCGGTGAGGTCGACATGGCGGAAGAATTGCTAGAGCTCTATCGCCAAGAGGGTCTTGAGGGTTTCATGGACATGCCGTATGGGTTTGCGGCGTTGGCGTATAGTACCATTGGCGATAGGGAGAAGGCGTTGAGCCATGCGGGGAAGGCGCAAGAGACTATTGAAATGAAAGACGGGGTTTGGACGGAGAATTGGAAGATGTGGGAGGGGTTTAAAGGAGATTTGGAAGGGCATTGGAGTTGGAGGCGGAGGAGAGTGTGACGGGTCGCGTTTCAATCGAGAATGCAACGTGTCAAAAAGAACTAGACACTAGTCACTAAGTTCGATGTGAACAGCATCATGCCGAAGCTGTGCTCTACTAAACTGTCGACTATCGTAGTTAGAAAGTCGTTGCGCCACTCACGACGTAAGGGACGCCGCCAAGAATTAGCGAGTGTGCGGCCACGCTACCCCGTCAACCCTATTGTAAATAATTTACATATCTTGGACCAGACTTCCGCTAGCTAAAGTTCAATTTCTGTTTACAGTCATAGGCGTAAGCCGTCGACCAGGGGTTAGAGTTGCTATTGCGACGAAGAATAAAGGAAAGATTAGAAGACAATCTGTGCAGAAGCAGTTCGGGGGACATATTGAGGATGATGCGCAGTTGAGGGCCGTAATGAGGTAAGGCGCTTGAAAACGTGCTCTCGTTTCCCTTCTGATGATTAGTTGATAAATAAATCCATTCATACTTGTGACGGGTTGTATCTCCGGCAGATTTTCTCAAAACCGCCCATCGTTACCTCTTTACTAGGCCAACATCGCGTATAATGTCGCCAAAGCTCACTTCGTCGATAGAAGCCTTCTATTCGAATCTGGTGCTCTTTCCTGTTATACTATTGTGATGGTTCGTCTTTTGAATCCTTCGTCGACACAGGATTTAAGAAAAGAGAGTACTATAGTATGTAGAATATAAAGTAGTAGTAGATACAATGTAATTAAGTAGTGTTAAGTTGTAGTATTAGTTTAGATTCTAGGGTTATACTATCTTTCAATAGTACAAGCGCAGATCTAGTAAGTAATTTAAGTGCTAGAAAGATACTATAATAAACAGTAATGTAAACTGTAAATCTACGTTTTTATACTATTTCTATAATACTCTTACCTCTCTCTTAAATATAAGGATCTTTTAGATTTACTATTAGTCTAGAATTCAAAGATATTTATACAAGAACGCTTTTGTTTTAATCTGCTTATTTAAGATAAAGTAGGAGGATAGAGGACTTATAGTCTTAAACGCATATCCGGAGTTCAATATACCGCAAGAGCGAGAGATACAGAGCGCTACATAGTTCTGAAATTCCAAAGCATCTGTTCTGCATCGAGATTTATTCAAGCGATCTCGAACAGAGTCTCTTCGACTCCAGCCAGTGTCGCGAGCCTATCAGCCTCCCCATGCATCGCGCTCGCAACGTATGTACTCCCATGCAGCGAAAACCCGTCGTCCAAGTGCTTCAGTACAACAGGAACATTGCAACCTCTCAAGCATACGACTTCATCCCCACTGGCAATTCCTGGGGGTGCAATACCGATCAGTCCATTCTCCGTCACATAGAAGGTATCATTCCCTGACGCAATCTTACAATTGCGCAGAAACTCCATGTATCCCTTTCTCCCGGCCTCTGGATCCATATTGAGGGGCCATTGAATCGTCCCTTCGCGTCGCTGGAAGCGATTGTTCAGAAACTCGGCCAAGACGTCGTGCCCCTTTGCTTCCCAGAGTGACAGTGTAGCAAAATCGTACAGCGTAGGACTCGATTGACCTCGCCACTTAAGACACAACCATGAGCGAATGTAGTCCGGTATGCGCTTGTCCATGTCATCCCGTCGTAGCGTCTGACCATCAATCTCTCGCGTGTAGTCGCCGAGGGCGTACAGGAACCCAGCCGTAATGCGGAAGAACCTTTCTGCCTTTGCAGTACTAAGAACATGCGGGTATCGGGCTTGCTCACCCACCGCCGCAAGGCGAAGCATGAGAAGATTTGAAAAGCCGGTCTTATTGGGGGGGCATTCCTCGCTTGCGAGGTACTTTACCAACTCGGGGGGGAAGGGCTGAGTAGTTGAAGTCACTCGTGGGAAGACGAGCTTGACAGAGTCAAAATGGAGTCCCTTGGCTGCCAAAATGCGCTCATCGTCATTGAACGAGAAAGCTGCGGCTTTGGCCCCATCGGCACAAAAATGTGGTCCCCAATTAAACGCCCGCATTGACGGGCATGGACGATGATCCAGTACCCAGGATGGCATCTGGGGGCGGGCGCCATCCTTGAGCAATCCGATTCCTGCCGAGCATACGATGTTCAGATTCTGCTTTTTCCGGATCCAGCGCTTCACAAACTCGGTGAAGATTTCCTCAATCGGCTTCCTGTAATCTGGCTCAAGCAGTTCCGCATCACTATCTGCAACTCCATACAACGCATATAACTTATCGCGGGGATCAGTGGCCTGGAATCTGCTCGTCATCTGCAACAGAGTAAGTAAGTCAAACGTCACTCCATCAGCAAGCTCAAAGTCCTTGTGGCGATATATCAGCGCCCCCTCACTGGCACCATACAGACTCGACCCAACTCTGACTTTGAACGCGTCCGGCGTCAGGTGCGCGTTCCAAGGAGCGAACACGTCCAAAGTCAATCTTTTCATTGTGCGCTCAAAGTATCCAAAGTCGATCTGTTCGTCGCCACACATCATAGTGATTTCCCGCGCGACACAGATCTCCTGAAAGATCCAGGCACGCGTGAAGTAGGGGCGCTCCAGAAGCTCTTCTAGACCAGCCCAGGAATCCGGGTCAAATGGATTGCCGGGCATGGTGGCAATAACGTTTTCAAGGCCCTTTCTCTCGGGCTCCTTTCCCAGTATCAGGTTTGCCATACCCCCGCGATAGGCATATTTTGAGCCCCAGTTCTGGAGCAAGTTGAATGCCTTGCCGGTATGCTCGGCTGGTTTTCCAAGCCACATAACAACCTCTCTTGCTTCACGGTATATATCCACCATCACGGGGATCTGATGACTCTTTTCGTCCAAGTCGGATTGATTTATACAAAGAGCGTCAATCCAGAACAACCCTATGTCCGGCTCAAACCGTTTTGTGCGCTCGGATAGAGAACCAGGCTTATTTCTTTCCGCCCAGGCAACATAGTCGTTGTGAATATAACGGATAGAGGAGTGGTACGCTGGGAGCTGCTCAAGTGCGGCACCAAGATTGGAAGTCACAGGATGAAAGCGATTATTGAGCAGGATAGGGGTTGTGATGGCGGGATTGCCCCAAGTGTATGACAAGGCGCGGAAAGGAGGAGCATCGCTGAGTTTTGTGGTGATTAGGTCGCAAACTGCATACGTAAGCCCGTTGGCACTTCTGCTTGTTACATGGAGGAGTCGGATCTCCCCTTTCTTGAGAGATCGGTAAGGAGAGCCTGATCGTTGACAATCTATGCAGAGAAATGAGGTGAATGCTTTCATGCATTCAGACTGTCCACACACGAGCGCTTGTGTCATGGGATCCAGGTCAAAGGGACCTGTGGGGCGAATTTCCACACGTGGGTCCCGTAACAAGAGTTCGACTGCTTGCGAATGACCAGCTGTGGCAGCTCTTGTGAGTGGACTTGAACCCCTCATGTTCTTGTCTCTCACGGGCTTGTTCACATCGAGTTCTGACCTTTTCAGAAGCGCTTCGATATAGGCTGTAAGATTGTTATTCGCGGCATGCCAAAGCGCCGTGGCTCCCAGAAAGTCAACAGCATTGACATCCACTGATTCATGAGCAGACAAGAGGTCAAATGCGTGTTTATTACGCGTGTAGAGTGCCAGAGTGAGAGGAGGCATCCCACAGTGTGGCACGTTTAAGCCAAGCCCTCGGCGAATGTAATTAACCATCAGCTCTTCAATCCGCCAGAGAACACCAGTTCCCACAGTGAGCTCGCTAGAGCCGTTGATATTGGAACGATACGGTGGAAGAAGAAGATACCGAGCGCGTACGAAAGCGCCGTACTGGTCAGGTTGGGTGACGGTCCGATCCACAAGTTGGTCTACAATGCGGTCTTTCTCCACGCCAGATGGAAGAACACGTAGCACGCGGGGTAGGTGAATCGTGAACAGACGGTAGAGAGGGTGCCGGTGGACATGTGCCTTCAACCTTCGACAATTCTCTTCGTCACTGTCGAAAGAAGAGGGTGGGCTGTTCCACACAGCCGAATCACCTGTAAACAGAATGTGGATGACTGCATTGGTGAACTCCGAATGGAACGAACTGATGGATGATAGGGGATTGATTCGTGAGCTTTCGTCTCTGCTTGTTGAGCTGGCCTCTAACTGCACCCATTCTAGGAGAGTCGGATGGCAGGGATGTAGTATGGTGGTTGAGGTGTTTTCACCCGGCTTGCCACTTCGGGTAATCAGAAGGTCGCAACATTCAAGCACGGCGTCTATGTCATCCCGCAAGGTTTTAATATGTAAGCCGGACGTAGGTGTCGGAGAGACGTTCTCCAAAAACGTCATGAAAACAATGATTTCCTGAAGAGACACCGGCTGGAAGCGTGACATGAACGCGACTGAGCAGAGGAGTGGCCTGAACAGCCGCGCTTTGCCCAAGGCTTCGGCTCGTTGATAGCAAAAATCGACGATGGTGGTATAGAGCCTCCAAAGATTACGCGGCAGAAGCCCTAGATTTTCATCAAAGTTGCGTAATCCGAGTTCGGTTTGGGTTCTCAAGAGAGATGACGCAAGACGTGTCCATAGGAGGTTACCCTCAGACATTTCCGACAAGGGGACAATCTGGTGCACCGATGATTGAGGTAGCATCTGCCGTGCAATATCCCTGGTTGCTAGATATGTCTTATGGTTCTCCATATGAACATTGACGAGGCTATCCTCCAGCTTCGAAGGGAGCATGGTATGTGGTCGCGACGTGATGAACAGACGCAATCGCGAAGCCTTTGCAAGGTTGGACAATTGATCCACCAGTTTCTTCACTCCTTCATTCTCAATTTCCAGACCATCCAAAACACATACAACGAGTGCATCAGAAGGCGTTGAGAGTATTGCTTTGAAAGTCACCAGAAAGTCGTCAACATTATAGGGACTCCACAGCCTATTTCGAAAGTGCGTTTCAAAGAGTGGTTGTATAACTGCTCCCGCGAGTCGATGTGGTTCGCTCAGAGCTAGCTGCTGGAGCAGGGAAAAGATAATGACAACATCCAGATCCTGAATGATGGTGTCTTCCTTCGGAGCGTGGAAGGAGTAAAGCACTGAAATGCTCGCCTCCATTTCCGCGGCCATACGGTGGAGGTTACTGATCAAGAGGTGGCCGAGTAATGTTTTGCCGGCCCCCGGACTCCCGCGTATATGCATGATAGGGGTTTCATGTGAATTGACCCATTCCAGAGGCTCGACTGCAAGGGACGAGGGAAGTCGAACTTTGCCTTCGACGTTGAAATGAAGCAAGCTTTGCATAGACGTGCCGTATCGGAAATCGTTGTCGATAGGCCAAGTGAGGAGATTCAATGCAACTTGAGGCCCATGTCAGTACATAGTTTTTCGGTTGATCTAGGGACCTACTAGGTGGAATCTTGAAGATTACATCTGCCCTATGTCAGTCATTGTATATATGCACAGCTTCAGACTCGCATACTTCTCACATGTTCCACTGACTTCAGATTAAACTTCCAGACCCACCCGCCATATCCTTCGCATATCTTAAAAACTTCGTCTGGATGCATCGCGCCCATTTGAAGCCTGTGAGCAATCGAAGCAAACGCGTTATCAACGCAGGCTGTCATCATGTCAGGCCAAGCGGCTGACTCTTCATCAAGCAGGACGGCTAGACAGTTGGTTCTTGCATCAATCCGCATTCTCCGCACCCACATATCTCGCATGTTGCTTTGCTTGTCAATCACAAACAACCGCCAAATCATCAGAAAAACTCACTAGGGCCACGAAGAAACCAACGGAAACACAGTTTTCAGCAGAAAAACCAGTGTCTCCCACAGCACCTCCTCTGGACTCGGATCTAATGTGCCGCGATTCCGTTCGACGAAACCAGATAGATGCGCGTTAAGAGTCATTTCCCAAGCGGTTAGAGCGTCGAGAAAAGCCGCGTGAGACTCTGTCAAGAAGTATTGCCGCGACAATATGCCATCGTGGATGCCTTGAAGCCATATTTCAATGTCATGGACGTGTGAACAAAAGGTGACAGCGACACTTGATTGATCCTGGACTCGTTGCGATAGCGAACGGAGAGAAGTAAGCACACGTCCTGCCGCTGCTTCCATGAAGAGGTTCTCGTTACGTAGGGTGTATAAGTTCAAATGTAGGTGATTTTTCTTTTCTTCATGGTTCCTTGTTGTTCAGCTGCCAAGTCGCTAGATATTAGTGATTCCCATATGTCTCTACCCACCCCCCCTGACCAGCCAAGACACTAACATGTCCGTGCGCGTGATGCGCATGTTCGCGTGATGCGCCACCATCATCAACAGCAGCCCGCGCAACATGAGGTAATAGAGCCACCCACAATCAATATTATCACAGGATCTTCGAGAGTAACAATATACCAGTCCCTGCGATCAATTTGCACTATTTATATCTATCTGGCAGCTTGACGTTGCGGCCGCGACGTGTGGAGACAGTTGGGGCCGCAGATGCGCCTTCTGTCACAGCGACGCAGCATTCCCTATATGAACTATGGACAGCACAACGCTCAGAAATTGAATTGCTCCGCCGCTCGAGGAAACGACGCATGAGTGTCATGGCACGTGTTCAGCCATTTCAAAGCCTGTGATAGACTGTCAGTCGATCCTACGGATGGATTTTGAGCCACACTGATAACATCGCACAATTCATGCGCAGCTACGCCTAGATAGTGTCAGTCTCCCAAACAGTTCCATATTTCTGCAAAGAATACCTGGAGCAGCTTTCAACTCCGCTAGTGGACACGGATTACTGATGTGGTCGTACTCCAGATCCAATGCGAACCCAAAAGGAGGAAGAGGTGGTGGTGTATGGTCCAGTGTCTCTTGTGACTGTAGATTATAAATAGCTAACTAGAAGCTGCCGACCCATAGGCGAGCTCTTAACAAGAGAATGAGCCTCTTGAGCCTCCAACGAAACGTACCAGGATTCTGATAATTCTTCCATAGGGTGTGCCGTACGACATTCTCCAGAGCGGATCTGCATTGACACAATTCTCGACCCCTGAAAAAGAATAGTTGGCAGAGCTTGCAACCATCTTCGACAGCCTGCCGAATCTCTGAGCCAGAATGCGGTAACTTCATTCTACATGAATCTACCATGAAATGTTTGCGGCAGAGAACAATCCGCTGACAGTGCTTGCAACTATATGCGGGTCGGTATTTGTACTCAACTTCCGTGGTGTGCAGCGTCGCGTGATCTGCGTTAGTTGGACGATTCTCTCTTGACCGTGGATGATTCACATGTATTAGCATGATGGTGAGTCGTGGATGCCTCAAATGGTAGGATACACAGGATCGACGAAACTCCGTAGATGAGTGAAGAAAGCAGGCAACCGCCAAGCTTTAGACGCCTGCACAGCCTATTGGCTCACCCATCAGCTTGTCTATCAGGGAGAGAGCGGCGCATATGATATGAGCAGGCGTGAACCAAGGGTACCCGGAGTAAGGCTGAAGAACACTGTGGCTCATTCCTCGCGTCGTAGTTAGGATGTTGCTGCGCGAATAGCGAGATAATAATGATCAACGACGAGACGAGGCGCGCAGCTAAGCTAGCGCTGGTGGGGCACCAGTCGAATCGGCCACTCTTCCCCAGCTTTTCTGCAAAGGCATCACACACCGCCTTGCTTATGGACATGTCAGTTTGCGTCGAGACCTATTCAGCCTTGTGATGAGCGCCCTGCTCCTCAACGCCTTGCGCTTAGCCTGATAGCACATGCTCACATATGCTGATGACTAAAATGTAGCGTGTCGCTTACCCCCCGAACTGGCTTATCCGGCGGACAACGTGGAACACGTCGCGCAACACTCCTTCACTCAACGCTACTTACGCATCTCGTCAGCCCTAGCAACTCCACCATGGCAATTCGATTGATTGACACCGAGAATTTGATGTTCAAGTCCTTTGTGGGATCCTCCGTCCCGGAGTATGCAATTTTATCACACACCTGGGGCCCTGAAGCCGATGAAGTCACATTCCAGGACATGTTGGCTCTGAGTAGAGGGTCTGAACATCCAAAGAGGCATCGACTGGGATATCGCAAGATCATCGAGACTTGTCAAGAAGCTAGATCGGCCGGCATTGGGTACTGTTGGGTAGACACGTGTTGCATCGACAAGACAAGCAGCGCTGAACTTAGCGAGGCAATCAACTCGATGTTCAAATGGTATCACGATGCGGTTATCTGCTATGTTCTACTTTCCGACCTTGATATTGGAGATATCCGGGACTTGAGTTTGATTCGCAAATGCAGATGGTTCAAGAGAGGCTGGTGTTTACAGGAGCTTGTCGCTCCGCGACACGTTGAATTCTACGACTGTTCATGGAACTTCCTTGGATCAAAAGATGACTTGTCGTCTCAAATTTCGAACATCACGGCTATTGCAACGCATGTTCTGACCGGACAGGTGCCGCTGGAAACACTTCCAGTGGCTCAGAGGCTAGCGTGGGCAGCCAAGAGAGAGACCACACGAACAGAGGACATTGCTTATTGTCTCCTGGGAATTTTCGGCATTCAGCTGCCTATCTTGTACGGGGAGGGCACGAAAGCATTCATACGTCTACAGGAAGAGATCATGAAACAGTCCAATGATCGTTCGATCTTCGCATCGCAACAGCCTTGCGGGAACGAGTGGTATTGCAGTTTGCTAGCGCCCTCCCCAGAGTATTTCACACATTCCTACAACCTCGTCCACTGGGGAGACACTGTGTATCAAGGCAGTGCATATGCTCTGACTAACAGAGGGCTGCAATTTTCCGAGACCAAACTCTACATCGATTACAGGTCCGGTTTATATCTCTTACCTCTGAATTGTATCTTGTCCAGAGACGCAGAGATCGTTGAGGGTTTGCTCCTGCAGCAAGTCGGGCCGGATCTCTTCGCAAGGCGTACTCAACGCCCTGATTTCAGGATCGTGAATCAAATCATGCTCAACTCGTCGAAAGTTCCTTCAGTCGTCAAGAAGGGCATATACATTATCTCACAACTCAGTGCTTCGATTCAAGCGGACCTGCGCTTGGCAGATTTGTATGCAATACAATTGTCTTCCGATACACTTCGACTTGGGGCGGGCTATGAGATAGTACAAGTTGTAGAAGGATCAACTAACAACAACCGTTGGGACGTCGCTCGAATGAGATTCCTTACAAGAGGTTGTTCCTCCTTCGAAGCCTGTTGGAAACTCTACCCATCGCGGGACTCACGACTTAAAAACTTGCCTGCTGGTTTTACTTTAGACCCCTGCTATGTATTATGTGCGTTTACAAAAGGAGGATCCGTTAAAGGCATGTATTTATCGCCGCGAGTTGCCGTATTAAGCCAGGCAGAATGGCTCGATTTGGAAAGGAAGAATGGAACCTTCAAGGAAATTCCAGATCTCGTGATAGGTGACTGGCATGAAGCCCCTACATTACTTCCACTAGAGTTCAGGGCTGGTCTATCCAACAACCTGTACCTTCACGTCTCGCATGATTTGGACACAAAGCAAAAGTTACATCGGCTCAAAATTAACTTCGGACAGCATTAGAAATGAAGCGAACATGTCTTTTTTTCCTTTGGGAAGAAAGAAGAGATTGCGGTCTTACTCTATTGATACAAGCAGATGGATCCATAGGGTTGTCAATAGCATCGTGGGATCGAAAAGGTTTCCCGCCTTTACAGCTGTGAGGTATCACATGAATGTTATAATCAATATCGATGAGCCAAGACCATCGTAGTTGTAGTTGAATCGCGACATCAGACAAGTCGAGGTGCTGTCAAATTACGAACTTGGGTTGAATATAAGAGAGAGTGGCAGGAGTCAGGCTGGCACCACAGCTAGCGGCAAAAGATTGAGGCCTGACGACGACGAGGAAGATGGTGCTAAATGGAAGGAGAAGATGAAGAAGATAAATACAACATTACGGCTCGTCGAGAACGGTCAGGGTTCTGCTCGAGATCAGAACATCGGTGCAGATGCGAGTCCAATGTACACTATCCATCCTCATTTATATATGGGGTTCTCTCAGACGATCAGCTACACTACGGAGTGGGCAATGAAGAGTGTAATGTAAGGCGAATGCGCAGCTCCAGTCAATTCGAGTGAGACCCTGTGTCTAACACACCATCTTTGACCATGTCAATTCCTCGTGACGAAGTCGGCATGGTCAAGAAACGTAGGTCACTCCGGGTATCAAATCGTTGCAACGAGTGAATTGGAAAGATAAATCACAGAAAAATGAAGCTAGAGACCTATGCACTTGACCTTCGCGTCGAGTATACTTATGATTATTTTAAGAACACATCTGTCATCTTCGAAGCGGCTAGAGCTTAGGGCTATCTAGATAGTGGCGCCACGATTATTGGTTAGGTGGTTGTTTGGTCATTGTTGCTGGCAAATTAGCATCACAACCTTACGAGCAATGTTGGAGTTGTTTCGAGTTCGAATTCGACTGAGCATAATATGAATGATGCGCACAATGAGGAGTGTGAAATTGGTTCACTACGAACTACCGCGAAGGATGACGACTCCGATGATCGATCAAGGTGTCGCCAAGAATCAGCGTGCAGCCCCGCAATAACGTTCCTAGGTAGCAGGCAGGATGCTTGTGATCTACAGTCTTGATGCCCCTTCATCTTCGGCGATTTTATACTAACTTTCGGCGACCCTTGTGGGTAGGTGTCGCGCTAATTCAGTTTTTGGCGTACGATCTGCGCTAACCGGGTCCCCGGATCTTCAGATACGCATGGAACCCCCTTCTGGTTCCGGTCTGCCATGACAACCCCATGTACCTTCAACCATCGCTTGGAAGCTAGCCTGCAGGAAGTCACCTTGATTGCCAAGTTCGGTACCTTTCGGCAACGTTCTAGTTATTGTCGTGGCTGCTTAGGTATCCCAGATACCGCAGATAGACGGAAGTAGCTCTCTATTCCAACCACGTCCTAATCAAGCACGCAAGTCTGTCCATCATGACAGCTCGTCAACCATACCCGCACCGAATACCTGGGTACACACAAGATTCTTCGAGCCGTTTCACAGCTTCGATCTAAGCGCATCGACCACTTCCACGAAGCCTTGCTCCCAAGCCTCGATTCCAGCGCTGGGATGCCAGCCCAACCTCCTCGCAACCTCACTGCGTGTCCTGCAAGTGCTTGCGAAACCCAACTCAGCAACTTGCTCCACGCCACCAGTGAACAACTTAGCTCCTTCCGCGAGACTCACAGTCCTCACGATGTTGCTGTCAATCAGGCCGGCTTTGCATACAGCATCTGCGACCGCCTGCGATACGTCAATCCACGTGTGACGTCGATGCGCGCTGAAAACAACGCCCTGGTTGCCCGTTGGAAGGGAGGCGCCATCCTGTGACAAGATGTTGATAAGCGTCAGCTCGTATAATCTTGCAAGGTCCTCGATATGGACTACAGCACAAAGTTAGCGTACATCGTATAGATATGGTGCCGCGAAAGAAGTACCGTTATCCCATACACCCTTGCCATCGCCAACAACGATGGCTTGGCCTTCCGTTATCGCCGCCCGGACCAATCGAGGCACTTGCAGACTGCGCTTGTTCCATAATCCTGTGCCAACCTGGCCCAGAAGTTAGTGCCATGGGGCCCCGCAGATTGCGGAAACGTGGAGGCGTCACTCACACCGTAGATCAATGGAGACATGAGGACGACTGTCTTCACGCCTGATCCGAGACCAGCGTCTATCATGCCCAATTCCGTCGTCCGCTGGATGTATCTCCTCCTAGCATTGCGCGTCTTCTCATAGGTATGAATGTCGTCCTCGAAATCGTTGAATTCCCGATCCGGGCTTGGTTCAATGTGATCCCCGGAAAGTGGTTGGTCAGCGAGGTTCGAGACGCCCGAAGTATGCACCAGCCATACGTCTCTGCCAGTGTGCACCCGGCGTAAGCAAAGGCCTTTAACAAAAGCTACAGCGCTGGCAAGATGATAGCCCAGCGTCATATTGAAGACGACATCGTACTGACTTGCTATCTCGACAAGACGCGCCGTATCTTCCAGGCCCTCGAAGAGCACAACCTTGAGCCTGGAGCCAAAGGCATTGTGAAGCTGCGCAACTCTGTCCTGACCACGAACCAGACACGCTATCTCAGCCTCCTGAATCGATGGGTGTTTGCTGCGGAGTAATTGATGGAGTACGCTACCACCGATGTATCCTGTGACGCCGGTGAGCAGGATCTTTACGCGAGTCATGATTGGACACACGATATCGTGGATGAAATGTAAGAGACTGGCGAAGGAAATAGATTGACTGATAACAATGTGGTTCGAAAACTTGCACTCCTCCATATACCGTCTCTTCGCGTGAGCAAGGCGGCCAGGTATTCACCCTTGCACCAATACAGCTTACGAGGACATTGTGACTAGGCCACTACAACTGGGCCCCAACTTCCAGGGAAGCGTTTGAGCGCTTTTTAGCCTTACTTTCCACCGTTGGAAGCTTGTCATCACAAAGTTTCGATATTTATCCGGTACGGCCCGCCTCACTGCCGACTGGCTAAGTGAAACCTTAACACATTCAAGGACCACCTAGACATATCAAACACTGATGACGTCTGTCGCGTTTTGCTATCTTATCCAGCAGCGGAATCATACTACCATCCACTGCGCGGCCCGAATGCTGAGGTCATACGTAACAGACTATCGTCCTGTAAAGCATACACTGAGACAGTAAGGTTTGGTATCGGACCCTTTATTGGCGCGGTCCGAAACGTTTCAGCCTCATGCAATGTCCCATTGGTGCAGACTACGATATCAGAGCGACTGAGTAGTCGGTACAACAATTTTTTGACGAGGTAAGCTGGTTCGCCAAGCGAAAAGCACCGAATGAACAGGGTGCACCTTTCAGCATGCCCTAACCTCCTTCGATTCAGGCTCCGTACATTGCCGAAGTTTTGCCCGTCCAAGCGGATAATCATCCTCATTACTGAGTGCGGACTGAAGATACGAGTTCATACACGAGCTATCAGGTGCAGATAGCTAGTCGCTCCAAGCGAACAGGCGAAAGTTTTATCTGAATAGCTCGTCATCGTATGTACACGGCTGACCGTTACTCGTGGACAGCTTACTGTTGTATGCATGTCGCTGACTGCTGCATCATGTGTACATGATGTTCACAACCCTGCAAGTGGACTAACACCACGCTACGTCAGCAAGGCTGTAGTTTTTAACCAAACTTTGGGAAGATCAGACCCTTCGGAGAATTTCCAGCGATCGACTGACTTCTTGAAACAGGAGAGATGGCGAAACAACTAAGAACAAGACAGTGACCATCGAGATGCCGTGATTATAAGACACTGCTCCTACCTCACGGGACAGCATTGCAACAGTTGACTTTAACTACACTTATCGCATTCCCCTTGATCAAGCACGATGAATGTATCTACCCCAACTTTCCCATGGCATGTCATGCCGACCCTTGACTCACTCATGTCTGGGGACAAGCTTTCTACCATGGAGCTGCCACATCCACGAACAATAGTGGCAAGTCTCTTAGCCATAGTATTCACGCTATCCTACTATCGGTCTTTCACGAAGAAGACAGGTCTAGAAAGCTTCCCTGGACCATGGTATGCACCCTACACGGCCATGCACCTTCGATGGCTCTTTGCCCGTGGCACGATCCACGACTATGTTGAGAAGATGCACAAACAGTATGGTGATGTGATTCGTCTGGGACCAAGGCAGATTTGGGTCTCAGACAAAGGGGCTATGAAACAGATTCTTCTCACCATTGACCTGCCAAAGGTTACTATGTATGCCGAGATCTCGAGAGACAGAAGTAGCCCAGGCCTTTTCGGAGAGATGTAAGTAATAACACTCTATATCCACCTGTAGCAAGAACACATCGGCTAACGATCGACACCACAGCCGTCCAGTGCCCCACCGCAACCTCAAGAAGTTTCTCAGTCCCGCCTTCACCGTGGCATCTGTGGACAAATTAGACACCTACTTCAAAGCATGCGTATCAACCTTGCTTGACAACTACTACGATGAAGTCGACAAAGCCGTCTCCAAAGATCTCAGTTCCGAGCCCAATGGCAATATCCAAACAGACCTTATGCGCGATCTACATTGCCTCGCCTTGGACATCATGGGCGAGTCCTCATTCGGCAAAGGCTTTGGGCAGATTGACAAGATCTTCGATCCGAGAAAAATGCTTTCGAGCAGAGATAAACGGTGGAGTAAGATTCCCAATGCGATCTTCGATGGGCAGGCCAGGAGGTATGGATTGGTTTTCATCAAGAGATTTTTGAGGCGGATAGGGTATGAATGGGAGGTTGATTGGCCCAAGGAAATGACCACTGCTATTTGCGAACTCGTCGACGAACGTGCTGCAGCACAGGGATCAGCAAAGAACGCGGCACGTATCGATGTCTTACAGCACATGTTGGATGAGGGTGCGCGACCGGATACTGGAGAGCGTATGTCGAATCAGGATATAATTGATCAGATGTCTGAACTTCTTCTCGCTGGTTCGGAAACTACATCCGGTAACTTCAACCCTTCATATTCTCCCTTCGGCCTTACATTAGCTAACCACCTACTTAGGAACGATGGCATGCCTCTTTGTGGAACTCGCGCGAACCCCCGCAGCCCTAGACAAGCTTCTCGCTTCGCTCCCCCCTCTGTCTCCCTCATCTCCCATCCTTGACTCCAAAACCGTACGAACGGACCCACAATATCGCTACCTTGAAGCCTGTCTCAAAGAAAACCTGCGCATGAACCCCATTGCCTCTGAACTAGGTCGTCGCACTCTAGATCAAGGCCACAATGTTAATGGATTCGATATCCCGCCCTATACGATCGTTTCAGCCAGTTATAGGGCACTACATCGGGATGAACGATACTGGCCCGAGCCAAACAGGTTTTGGCCAGAACGATGGCTGGAGGGTAAGGAGAGGGAGGGTGCGCCAGAACCAGAGTAAGATGACCAATGTATTAGACGGGCGGTACGATCCGGACCTTTGCTTACAAGAGATGCAGCATGGATGCTTACTTTCCGTTTTCTAACGGCCGACACAACTGCATTGGTCAAAATTTCGCGTACGCAGAAATGCGCACAGTATCTGCAAATCTACTTTCCCGCTTCTCGCTTGAGGAAGCTGGTTATCAGGAAATTCAGCTTCGGCAGTTCATCACGATGCAGTTCCATGATGGGAAGTGGAGGGTTATGTTGAAGCCTCGGTGGAGAGAAGGCGCGGAAGCTTGAGGGATCGACCCTTATGGGATGACGGCAATGCGCAAAACATATCAATCTTGGGTAAAGTATTGCATTAACTAAGACTTTACAGCCTAGAGAAGGTAGGTAGCAGCTCATACTGTCAACTATAGGAAAAGAAGTAAACTAGCATCCAAACATGCTTATCACTCGATATCTCTCGTCCTCCTCGGCATTATGTATCTCTATTGTGTTGACCCTACTCACTCACTCTTCTCACTCTCAGAATCTAGTACATTGGGTCACCGACGGCTGTGATAGACGCAGTGCACACGCCATTTTGGCAGTATCCGGAGGGTGTAGCCCAGCCCCAGAGTTCTGGACATGATTAGCTTCTTGATGCGATGAAAGATTTAGTGAGACTTACCGACAGACTGCCCGTTGGTAAAGATTGCATTTGCTGCGCCAGAGATCGTGGCAGAACAGGCTTGTGTACCGCTGAGCTGATCACAGGTAATGATAAATGGAGCGGTAGCTGTCACTGGGACAGTGGCAGCACCATAACAGCGTCCTCCATCGCACCAAGCTGCCACACTGCTGGCCGTTTGGTAGTTGTTGCCATCGACAAGAAGGTTTGAGATTGAACCAGCTACGGTAATGTTGCAACGGTATGATGAATCGCATGCACCAGACACTAGTTTCAACGTTAGTCATTTGAACGATTTTTTGCTTTATAAACAGCATGGAAGACCTACTGAGACCATAGGCAGCACCAAGAACACCGGAGAAAGTTTTGTCGATCACAGCTGGCATCGCAGGAAGGTTGTTAAGCGATAGAACACCTTGTCCTTGAACTGGGGCAGAGAACGTGGACGGAAGAGCCGTGGAAGCTGTAACTGCGGTGCCAGTGGGTGCAGCAGTAATCGTGGAGGCCGGAGCCGTGGTAGATGTAGATCCTGAGCCAACTACAACGGCAAGCAATGTCGAGGACGAGAGCTTCACTCCCACAAGGGGCGAAGAAGACCCACCGACGTTGACACCGATCAATGGTGCCGCCGTGGACGTGGTGACGACTGCGCTGCTGGCTTTCGAGGAGACGGCAACAACTACGCTGCTTGCCTTAGAAGAGGCTACCACGACTACGCTGCTTGCTTTGGAAGAGGCTACCACGACTACGCTGCTGGCTTTGGAAGACACCACTGCAGCGGCACTGCTGGTTTTCGAGGTGACCGCTGCGATGGCACTGCTGGTCTTGATCGTGGCTGCTGCGCTGCTAGTCTTCACTGCACTGCTGGTAGTAGCACGTGCTTCGATCGGATCGGCAACAGGGGCGGCAGCGACCAGTGCGCCAAAGAGTGTGAAAGTAGCGAGGAGCTTCATCTTGGTGGATTCGTTGTAGTGAGCGAGGAATAGAGACTCAGAAAGGAGAGAGATACCGAGGAGGACGAGAGATGAAGAGCGAGAGTAGAGGTGGATGCCTGGAGCTGGAGCTGCTGAGGATGCTTTCTGTATCCGCAAGGAACGACTCGTCTTTATGTGTTTCTGGAGGTTGAGAGCTACTCTCTTCGAGCATCCCCTGGGCCAACATTATCTGGAATTTGTCCTTGATCACGGTTCTCGATCGATGTTAGCGAGGAATGCAAATCTCCATCCAACCCTCAAGTCTGGCCCCTACTGACCACAAACACCGTCCGGATCTAGAACTCTGCGTTGGGAACGACTTGGGAGAACGCCTGGTGTACGCCATCGGAAGTACGCCAAGCTGGGTACTTGCTTGGTGAACTGTTTTATTGGTGCAGGCCAGCCTCGTGCAGCACTTCTTAATTGTAATGTTTAAGCAATTCTGTGAGACGGGTGCTGTTCCGTTATAGGCTCGAGTTGTGTAGCGTCATCTCAGGGACCCTGAAGCTTGGAATTTAGCGCGTCTCACGAAAGCCTGGCTCGTCATACTGGTTGCTTTGTGCTGAGATAAGGTGCCAAGCAGCAATTCAACAACCAACCAAGAGAGAGCCTTGTTGCTTAGGTGCCGTCTAAGGTTCAACACTAGGGAGTCTAGTAGTCCGGGACGTCTTCCGAAAGCACGAGCACTGGCTTGAGCTAGTGCCGATGCGGGGCATTTTCTAAGGGTCAACACCATCTTGACATACGATACTGTTCGTTTGCCCGGCATGAATATCCGCTTCGTCTCCAATTTTTCGAGTTTAGTGTTGCTCGAGGTATGTCACGTGCATCGTTGGAAGTGTGCTTCGGTGGATCGCAATAGGTGGTCCCTGTCCAAGACCCTCCCATTAGACGCGACAAATCGTCTTTCTAGATGTGCATGAATTTTTGATAGTTGGCATCGTAGTTCGATGGTCTTTCTTGACACTCCATCGATTCGATAACGACAATTTCCTAACAATGTGGCGACTGACAAATATATTTTGAGTCTTCAACTGCCGGTTTACACGACGTCCCTCTTACGACGCCTGTACATGAGGATGTAGGCCTAGAGCAGTTGGGCAAGCCATAGATAGCACGTCATCTAGTTGTGCGAAGATGGCGCAGGACTAGACGCATCAACGCCTCGTTCTTCCCGGCTGCACGGTATCGTCGATTGTCACAGCTAGCGTAGCGAACGGTTTGATCGACCTGCCACGTTTCGATCGTTGCAGGGGTAAAATGACGGTAGCGATCGAAAGCTTGTTATGGCAAGAGGCATGAACACTCCCTCTCGAATTATTAGACCGGTGCGTGTCGGTAGCGCAACACTTACACTGGTTGGTAAACTCCCGGGAGCATCGCCTTGCACCCCCAGACTCTAATGGCAACGGCCGGATCACTCATAGAAATCAAGGTCGATAGAACCTCATCTGGACCGAGATCCAGGTACATGGACATAGCATGATTGCGTGGCGTATGCAGGTTGACCACTAGCCTGCCTCCACCACAAGCGGGTGTGCCTGAACGGATGCGTTCCACTCTCGCCTGGACATCCAACAGCCCAGTCTGATTTATTCTCCGGGGTCCCGGCCTTAGCCGTACAGTATCGTCTCGCACCGATTCAATCTAGACCCACAAGACGGTAATTTTAGTTCGGCCTGCTCTAGTAGCCAAGTAGGAACAAGATGTGGTAGACGCATGTCCAAGAAGGTCTGAGGGAGGTGTATGGCTCAAAAGGGATGCGGCCTTACCCCGCTGTATGGAGTTTACGACACAGTCCTGTCTGCTAGCCACGAAATGTGTGTTTACATAAACAGCTTAACAGCAGAAAGCGGGATTCAGGAGCATCAGCTCAATGGTGTTGTCTCTGGAAGATTCAAGTTGTTGTTCGTGATGCAGATGACGTCGTCCAGCTCTAGTCGTTACATGGTAAGATCATCGTATATCGCCACTAAGTAAGACTTGTGGAGTGCCTTGCTGCTTGCAAGCCAAGCCAAACTTAAGCATGAGTGTAGCGTACGATGCACCCTCCGAATTGCGATTCATGAACATAGTCCAGACGTCCTTGGCAAAACCGCAGCACCTTCAAGATGTGGAAGTATTAGGGGTCTACGAAGGTCCATGTATAGAAAAGCGGGATGTAGAGGCGCACCAAAGTTGAAAGAGTAAATAGGTGTGATCGCTAAGGTAGAAGTGATTACTTGACTAGCACATGCACGCCCTCACTGCTCTGATCCACACCAGGCAGAAACACATCATGCACGAAATCGACGTCCTTTCGGCTTGAGTTGAAAAGTTCCATATCGAACCGCCTAATCACAGCTGCAATGCAAATCCGCATCTCCGCATACGCCAAGTTCATACCCACACATGATCTGGTGCCACGGCCGAAAGCCATGAGGAACCTGTCCAATGGCTGCCCATCGGATGTTCTAGCACCTACAGCGCCGTTGTCATTGAGCCAGCGCTCTGGAATGAACGAGTCTGCTTCAGGAAAGATTGACTCGTTGGTATGAATCAAGGGAGCGGTCATGCCGACTGGTGTGAATGCAGGGATGATATAATCTCTATAAACCATAGGCGAACGCGCAAGGCGCGCATTGCGGATCGCAAGACCGTTGCTCATTCGAAGGCCTTCACTGATAACAGCGGTGAGATAGGGCAGTTTCTCTAAGTCCACAAGCGCCTTACGCTCGTAGGGGTCTGGCATAGCTGATACTATCTCCGCCTTGAGCTTTGTATAGGTGGACGAGTTGTCGAGAAGGTGGAAGAAAATAGCGTTCAATGTGTTGCCGACTGTATCAATCCCAGCGCCGACAATGACCTGGCTTTCCTGGCTGAGTCGCTCAAGGTTCTTCTCGTTCGGTGGTAGATCGCTGTCGAGGAGGTCGTGAAATATCGTGTGCTCGCTAGTCATGTTGCTCTCTGCAACTCCAGATCCCTGCCTGACCTTTTCCTTTTTCGTAAAAACCTCTTGCACGCGTCGGTTGTTCATTTTCCGGAGTTCCATCATCGCTGCGTATTCAGGGCTTGGTTTTTCTACCCAGTTTTGCGGTAACGCGTTGATGACAGAGTGTAACCATGGTGCGTATCGAGTGATCAAAGAAAGGGACGCAAATCTCTTGTTGGCCTGTGTAAAATATGGTGCAAAGTCAGGGTCGTCGAGAGACTTTTGTTCCACGCCCATGGAGTATTTGATGATTACGTCTGCAGCCAAACAACTGAATGCTTCACATGTAGGTATGGCTCTTTTGACAAGATCATATTCCTCGAATCTTGTACATAATTTTTCGACGTATGTCCAAATCATATCCTGTAGGCTCATGATGCGTTGTTTGGAAAAGAACGGATTCATGGCTGCGCGGCGGATACGGTGGTGGTAGTGATCGTCTGTACTGAAAGCTGTCAAAGGATTGCCGAACTCAGCAGTCATAAAGTTGTATTTGTCGCGTGGCGCGGATCGAGTATACAGCGTTTCTATGAAGGCAGGATCAGAAACGTGGAGTTCGTAAGGGCTGATGCGAACTATGGGGCCTTGATCATGTTAATATCACTGCTGGCAGAGACGAACGCGGCTCAATCCCCGACAAGGGCCGGGTGGTGACATACCATATTTTTCATGCATCTTCTTTATCTCTGCCCAGTATCTACCCCATTGGAAGACATCGAAGTAGCACTCGTAGCACAACGTCACTGCGGCTAGCTTTGGACCTGGAAACTTCGATAGAGGGCTGATGTATAGCTGGTAAACTGCGTTACCAATCAAGTAGGAACAGAAGAAGACAGCTCCGATAAGTATCGAGTAATGCGAGAGATTATCGCGGATACCACCCGTAACCGTTTCTTGCAGGACCATTCTTGCAAGCTTCGATTGAGTAAAGAAGTTGCTTCAGGTGATTGGCAAGGTGTGTTTGTTCAGAAGTGGAGAAACTTTACCTGGCATCGCAAGGAAGTAGATCGAGATAAATAACCTCTCCAGCTGTATTTGGGGATTGTTCGTGTGATTGGTGCAGACTGAACACGTCATGCATGATGCACGGTGTTTGTACGACGGTTCATATGGTGTGTGTTGCTTCTTCCTGATGACCCCGCGTCTTCATTTGATGCTACCCAGAGCACACGGCCCTCATGCAGCTCAACAATCGGAAGCACTGCGGAACTCTCTGATCTAGCAACATCCTGGAATGCGCGAATGTTGTAAGCCTAGATGGATGATGAGTCCAGCTCCTGTGATGCCAATGGATGCTGTACGGATGCCTGTTAGCACAGAAACTGGTGTCGTGGCCGCCTCTGTCAGTGCGAGGACACGTGACTTGCTGGGTAGCGAAAAGGACTCAGTGTGCTTGGCATGCATGGAGACAAATCTCGCGTAGAGGCTTGACACCTTTCTAGGGGAGAGCAAGTAGACAAAGCTACCGCAGACTCTTGTAGGATTGGTAAGAGAGATTCGCGAGGCTGCGACCGACCGATAAAGGGTTTTGAGTTCTATGCAATGAGAACTTGCCAAGTGAAGGTCTCCACGTGTCACTAGTCGAATCTCCAACTCCGCTCACAATCAAGTGGTAAAGATCGCAATTCAGGATGAGCTTGTGTAGCATGCTCCCAGAATGATCTGGTCCGACATTACTCGACACCCTCTCGATTTATCGATGCATACTCCAGAAAGAAGGCATCCAATTGATTAACCCACGGCACTCATTCAATCACATGCTAAAGTGTTGAGGGCCGGCAACGCGATGGCAGGCCATTCGTCACATGCTTCACGCGCATCAGTCTATTGTTATAGGATAGACCAAGCGACTAGGTGCATTTCCCGCGTCTTTGTGGGCAAACACCCGCCATCGGCCCGTCAAATCATTGCGGGTAGATATTTACGCTGCGGCTCTACCCGCAAGCCTCCATTCCAGTTGCATGCGCTACCCACTACCCCTCCCTGGTGACGAATCATGGCATATCAGCGCTTCTCACTACAAAGCGACTGCCGCCTCAACTTGTAAATTTATGTCTACCATCAATAGGAGCACTATTCATTAGGAGTTTACCACATTTGAGATTTCTGCCATATCCGTTCCAGAGCAAACGATCTTTATGTGTCTAGAAAGGTTGGATGATCTATCCCCACACACTTCAGATTGCTGGAATTAGTGCATGCGTGCTGCAGTTTGTTTTAGGCCTATGACCACACAAAAGCACTTTTCCTGATCTCGGCGCAAATGCTGACTCATCGGGGGTTGCAACCAAACTCTGTCGAAAGATGTCTGTCTGACTTAGCTATTGGTATACTCATGAACTCAAGATTACTCTAAGTTGATATCCCACAATCCAAGCTCTGAGCCTGACACATCTTGAAGTACATGCCGTTTTCCTTGAGCAGCTCCTCATGAGTTCCAGCCTCAACGATATGACCATCTGAGAAGACGAAGATGCGATGGGCTTGGCGAACAGTCGATAGACGATGGGCGACGGCAATTGTGATCCTGTCATCGCAAGCAGCTTCCATCAAAGCCGCTTGCACTACGCGCTCTGATTCAGTGTCTAAAGCACTCGTGGCCTCGTCTAGAAGAAGGACTTTCGGCTGGCGGACCAGAGCTCTGGCAATGGCGATGCGCTGCCTCTGGCCACCGGAGAACTGGCTGCCGCCGATACCACAAAGTGTTTCAAGGCCCTCCGGCAGAGAGCAAACAAATTCCCAGACATTGGCCGCTCGACAAGCTGCCTCGATTTCTGCGTCGGACACGTTCGCGGCGTCGGCGCCGTGCATGATGTTCTCGCGCACGGAGCCTGGGAACAAGGATGGTTCTTGTTGAACGAGCGAAAGATTTTGACGATAGCTGCTTGGGCTCATTGTTTGCAGGGGCTGCGAATCTACGATAATGCTACCACTCGTCGGGTCGTAGAAGCGTTCGAGAAGAGCGATCATGGTACTCTTGCCGCATCCGGATGCGCCTACGAATGCCACAAATTCGCCACGTCGAATGGTCATCGAGACGCCCTTCAAAACTTGACTGTCTGGCACAAGGGGATAAGAGAATCGCAGATCATTCAGTTCATATGCCTTGTAGCTGTCCATTGGTGCAATACTTCTGTTATCGTTAGTTTCAGTTATGACTGGTTGCAGTCCAGATAGCCAGAAGAAGTAATTTGCCGCTTGGTGACCTTTAGTGAAGCTACCGGAAAAGCTGAGTAGCGTTCCCGCGGAGGTTCCAGAGAAGAATATCGCCATGAATGAGACCATGAATTGATAGAAGCTGATCTCGCCAGTGGTGACCAGCTTTGATCCCCACCAGAAGCCCAGTGCAAGAACGAATTGCTCGACGGCTTGAGTGAGCGCGAACCAAATCATGACATGGAACAAATGCGGGGTGCATCCGCGAATAGCCAAATCGAGTGCTGCAGTATATCTCTGCAATAAATCTTCTTCGATGGCAAGAGATGACACAGTTCGAATAGCGAGAACTGCTTCCGATGCTAGCGATGCGCTTTGGCTGAAAGAAGTGTTGATTATCGTGTTCAAACGCTTCTCCAGCTTCAGTCGCAGCCAGCCGGACAGGATGAGAGGGGGGAGGCCAACAAAGATGCCGACAACTCCAACCTTCCAGGACGTGGCGAGGGAGAGAACACAGCATGCGACAACGCTGACGATCGAGATAATGGAGAAGGATATGTTGATACCCATCAGCTCGAGTACAGCCTGTGGGTGAGAATCGAGCTTAGCAGTCATGGAGCCGACAGTATTCTCGGGGGAGTCGAAAAACCCTAAATCCTGGTGGAGAAGACATTCCATCATGCCGGATCGCACCCTGGCGCTCAAGGTGTTCGCGATTACGTTCATGGCCCAGCCCAAGGTGTAGTAGCACAAGAGGCAGCCTAGTGAGAGAACCAGGAACATTAGAGCCAAAAAATTGGCCTTTGATGTAGGATCATCATTCCCCATGAGTTGCACGAGCTGAGCCAATAACAAGGCTTGACCAGGGTTGACCGCAGCTCCGACAACGCAAGTAGCCCCTGCTAGAATGTACCATCGGCGCAGTTCAGGAGTTAATCTTGCTAGTCTCCAACAACTGCGGAGCAGGCCAACCTCCCTAGATGACTGTGAATCTTCTTTTTCGCCAACCTTGCCGTGGTCATGTGGGCTGGCAGTATCTGGCCTGTCCAGAAACACAGCTGTTTGAGCGAGAGCGTCTTGTTTCTCAATTTCTTCCAAGTGTGTGTCTCTAATGTTCTGAAGCTGATTCTGACCTGGCAAAAGGCTCTGCACCTGTACGAGTTTGGCATACATCCCACCGCGGTTCAGGAGCTCCGCATGAGTGCCTTGTTCAACTAATTCGCCTTTGGACATGACCACGATATTGTCGGCATTGCAGATCGTTGAAAGTTTATGTGCGATGATGATTGTCGTGCGATTCTGTGCAGCACTATCGAGCGCCTTCTGGACGACGGTTTCGGCAGTTGGGTCAAGTGCACTGGTGGCTTCATCTAGCAGGAGGATACGAGGATCTGAGATCAAACTGCGAGCAATAGCAACCCTCTGCTTCTGGCCACCAGAGAGTAGTCCGCCTCTTTCTCCAACACGGGTGTCGTAACCATTGGGAAGTTGCATGATGAAGTCGTGCGCAAAAGCTAGCTTTGCAGCGTCGACAGCTCGATGAATCTGCTTCTGTCGAGGCTCGTGCTGCCATCTAGTAGCGACAAGGCCATGAATGATGTTTTCCAAAACCGTGCCGTTGAAGAGTACAGGTTCCTCGTTCCGTCAGCATATCAGCTAAAAGATATGATCACACGACAGTACCTACTTGGTGGACGAGTCGAACGTGTGTTCTTAACCATCGTAGATTCAAAGCTGAGGTAACATGGCCGTCGATCTTGATATTTCCTGATGTTGGATCATACCATCGCTCAAGAAGACCGATGATAGTACTCTTGCCCGAGCCACTTGGACCCACGAGAGCAGTCACCTTACCAGCAGGGATTCTGAGCGAAAAGTCGCGAAGAACCATGGTATCCGGGCGCATCGGGTAACTGAACCTGACAGATTCTAGCTCGATTTCACCTATCAACGCCGCAGGCTCTATGCCAGAGGGGTCCAATGAGTCAATTCTAGACTTCCTATCTATGAGCTCGAATAGATCAATCGCCGCAGACGCAGCACGCCCGAAGGTAACGAAGTTTGGCCCTGTCAACATAACTGTCGAAGCGGCGATGATGACGGAGAAAAGTACTCTGGTGATCCATGTCAATTGAGACTAGACGCCAACTTCGCATGGGAGGGGCGATACGTACGTAAAAACGGTTCCGAGATCTGTCTCACCACGGGATATCATACTGAAGCCTTGCCAGAATGCCAAGCCCATGCCTGCGAAGACAACGAAGTATTGGCCACCGAATATTATCCCAGAAGTCTTGCTACGCTTATTCCCGAGTTCCAAAGCGATATCTAAGTAGCTTTTGTACCTTGCTAACGTCCTGGTCTGCAGATTGAAAGCTTTGACGGTTCGCATAGCGCTTAGGACGTTCTCGGCATAGCTCGCAGCGTCCGAATAGACCTTAAACACTTCGCGGTTGTTGATGGTATCATACGTACCAACTCCACCAACGAGTAGGACTGAAGCTGGAATGATGCAAATCAAGATCAAAGTAAGCTTCCACTGGGCGATGAAGGCGATGACGAAGGCTGCAACGAAGGTGGTTACGGACTGCACAACTAGACCGAGCTTCTCTGAGATACCCGACTGAATCATGAGACCGTTTGCCGTTGCTTGGGTGGAAATCGACCCGGAGACACCTTGATCATGGAAACCGACCTCTTGGCGAAGAGCTGCTTGCAGGTAGTCGTGCTGAATGGCTCGAACTAGGTGATACGCAACGTAGGTCATCAAGGAGCCGTACAGATAGATGGAAGCCAGTCTGACGATGCCGATATAAACGAAGTAAAGACTGAAGGTTCTACTGTCAGCTTTCGAAATTGAACCTTGGAAGAAGAGTTGTACTCTACGTACGCAGTTGTGCTGACTGCACTCATGTAGTTATCCGAGAAGCCCTCTGTGCCAACGCTACCCAGCAATCGCACGAATTCACCCATGACCACATTGACCATGGCTTGCGCAACGCCCGCGGTAATTGCAGCTACGATCGAAAGTCCCAACAAAACATAATGGATCGATGTGGCGTAGGTGAATGTCCTAAAAAATGCAGCAAATGCCGACGGTGTCTTTTTCTCGGCCGGAGGGAGCTGCGTGTCAGAAGAGAGATGATTTCGAACCGCGTCTTGTTTCGGCTCCTCTGACATCTTCCTCCTCATTACGATTCGCAGGAAGATGCGTTTTGCAGTGGCCGGGAAGATTTATCAGAGTTGGATATGTTGAGGAAACAAAACGAGTGGAATGTGTAGCACAAAGGCTGCTTGTAAATTCGGAACTGGTAGTCATGTTGTCGGGCTTTTCAATAATTATTATATTGGCGTTCGAGTCGCGTTACTTCACCTAAGAGTACTGCGCGCGCGTTGTTATGCACTTGGTAGAGTAGCGGACATGAGAAGGCCGCACGCCGCGGAGCGAAAGTAGGCAGAAACAAGCGGCATGCGGACCCTGAGCGGCCCGCACGTCCGCGTCATTGATCACGTGACATTAGCATCACATAAGCATTAGCGGTCGTCCCTCTGCTCTTCCACTTCTGCAGTTCGGACCACGGAAATCCATAGCCCGAATCGCTGCTGGGAAAAGGGTCAACCATCGTAACGCACGACTTTGCGTTGATTGCATCCCAGCGCGTAGCTGGTCTGAGACCACTCATTTGCGCCTCTTACTAACCCCGAGTTTGTGGAGCCCGCCGCTATCGCCGCCAGCATGACTCTACGACCAGCTTCAGGATCTGCGGAAATGAGCGATGAGGAGATGCCTCCCGAACAGGACGAAATTAGCAATGATGAAGAAATCAGGACCACACAAAGCTCGGAAGGTCCTGTCTCGAAGGTCGCCGTACGTCAGGGTTTGAATATACATCCAGGAGTCTCCAAATGTACTGAGCTAACTGGAGACACTAGTGTGATAGATGCCGTAGACGCAAAGTTAGTCCCGTTGAACAAAAGAGAAATATCATTCGTGCACGATATTGACGTATGTGCTTTTAGATCAAGTGCAATCGCCAAGACCCCTGCAACCAATGCCTTCGAGCATCTCTCCAATGCACATTTCCAGAAATTCACAATCGAGCGAAGCGACAGCGGATTTTTGTTTCAAGCTTGTAGTACGTGATCGGCCGATGGTATGGTTCGAGCCGTTGATTAGGTTTGACTTCTGACGTTCATCAGTGAAAGCAAGATCGAAGATATAACCAAAAAGCTTGACGACTTGGCTCGCCTCGTGCAGCGGCTCGAAGTGCGGCCAGATCAAAGTCTTTCCCAACGCAGTACCATAAATGCCAACCTACATACGACCAGCAAATCGTCACGACCACCCCAAACATCCACTCCCGATCATGAGGGCATCGACATTTCCTTGCTCCTGAACGTGATCCAGGTGGCCGACTTACTCGAGACAGCCCTAGATCATGAGGATACTGGAGACCAGTCATCCACTGTCGCCGACATTCGACTATCTCGTCAGACTTTGCAAGACGTTTTACGGTCTCAAAGTCGCCATAGCAGCCTCCATGAAGGACCACCATTTGCAAAAACATTGCCTCCTGGCATGACTCTAAGAGATCTCCCGCTTCCAACCATAGAAAATGTCATGGCATGTCTCAGAATGGTTCAAGGTATATGCAGAATTGCATGATCTTTACTCAACATGTGAACATATCAGCTCACGAACACTTCAGATCACGGGACCACCACAGTCCCCTGGCTAGGAGAGACAATGTCATTTGGCGATTTTACCCTCATCATCGTTCAGGTCTGTTCTCCTGGGCCCATTACCGATGTCAAACTCATCATTGCCCTCTCTGGACTGTATTGGATGTTTAACATGTGCGGAACATGGGCATCTCCTGTTGCACTAGAAGATTTCAAAGACCAAGCAAGATTATGCCAAAATAGCCTAGAGACAGTGTTGTCGACATTGAACTTTTGGTTACCCACAACAGTCGATGCCGTTCTAGCCATGAACTTAGCGGTAAGACAAGCAGTTCCCATTTAAATTTCTGAGCTCCGAAAGATGTCACTAATACTCCGCTTTCGAATCCTAGTCTGTATATTGTCTTCAAAAAGGCAAGATCTACGCTTGCTGGACGTTCATCAACAAAGCCGCTATGCTCGGCCAGGCTCTGGGCTTGCATCAGGACAGTTCATCGTCTGGACTTGCTTCTGAAGAACGGCATCGGCGCTTTTGTCTCTTCTGGTCAACTTATTGCATTGAGCGACCCACCGCGCTTAGGCTCGGGCGTCCTTCGACGATACGTGATGAGCACATTACCATACCGAAGCCGGACCAGTACCCCACCCTTCAAGGCCTTACTTCGAGCAGACAAAGCTTGATACATGCTGTCGAGATGTCAAGGCTCCACGGCAGCGCATATGATGACCTTTTCAGTCCGAGCGCACTTGCGCTCCCTGCGACGCATCGGACAACACGCGGTCAAGCCATCGCTGCAGAATGGCGTGCTCTAATCGCTTCGAAAGAATCTTCTATGGTATACCAGGCCGTTTCATTTTCACTTGTTCATGCTGATTGAAACACTCAGGCTCGATGGAATGAAGACTCGCGTGGCACAATCGGAGAATTGATGCCAGTTGAATTCGCACAGCACGCCACCAGAGCCACTGATTATCTGCTTCTTGTCGCCATTTACCGCGTTGCATTCAGCAAGCCATCGACGAAGGTTTCTTCCGAATGCATAGCCGCTGCTCGTACAAGTCTTCGTGAGCATACTCAGTGTATCGCACTGCTCGTCAGCTACAACAACGATCCTGCTCTGTTCGAGCTATGGGTTAACGGGGGGCTAATCCTCTTTGCGTTCGTGCCTTTCAACATCATCTTCTGCAGCGTCATTGAGACTGCCAATCTCGCAGACCTTGAAAGTTTGGAGACTTACGTTGATGCTCTAGCGTCCCTCGCAAAGAAGCCAGAATACACATCATGCGCAAAGCAACTAGAGATATTCAGGGCGCTGCATAAGCTGGCTTTGGTGCACAGTGAGATCAGAGCCCAGATGCAGCTAAGCTCCTGTCCGTCTGGCCCGTTATCAAGCAGCGCGAAGGACGCGGGACTGGAGGGGTTGCCGGATACATTAGGAGGGCTACCGTCATGGCATGATCGTGATGGCATGTGGAACGGGAGCATAAATACCACGAACGAACCCTCCGTTTTAGCAAGTCAGCCATGGGCCGACTTCGGTGGCATGGATCTTGATCCACTTGGTACGCAATTGGGGTATTGGATTCAGGAATCCAGCCAAGATTTCGACAATTTCGGCGAGACATAATATAGCATTGACAGAAGACGAGGCGAGAAATGATCGCACGACTATGCATTTTAGTATGAGCGTAGGAAGTTCTGTATCAAGGCTACAAACAATCTTCGCAATCTCATGTGGGAAGCCTGCCCCGCATTGCGTTCTTATTTCCGTTATATCCGCCCTCTCAACCCCCACCTTCCTTACCGCGGTAGCAACTGCGGTACCTGACAATGACCTACTCCTGTACACCTCACACAGCTCGTCAACATGGCTCCGTCCGATCTAGCTAACGGGAATGTTTCGCTTACCAACTATGTGTCCTATCGAGATACGCGTACTGGGCGGAGTCGCGTCGGACATTACGACTTCAATGACAAAACTATCCGGCCGTTGGCCTTCGCATCTGGAACTCTACTGAGCGATCTCTATCAAGTCATTGAAGTTGGTGAGCTCAACATTGTCGCCGTTGGCAAACCACTACCCGCTTCATCGGTCAAGATCCTTCCTCCCTTTCCAAGCCGAGACGTCCTTTGCGTCGGCAAGAACTACGCCGAACATGCGAAGGAGTTCAACAGCTCCGGTTTTGATAGCTCAGACAAAGTAGATACTCCTTCGCATCCTGTGATCTTCACCAAACGTTACACGTCGATCATTGCAGACCGGGAGAATGTCTACCCCCACCCAGAATTCACGAAAACTGTCGACTATGAGGGTGAGATTGGTGTAGTCATTGGTAGGGCCGGTTTTCGTATCTCAGAAGCAGATGCGATGAGCCATGTGTGGGGCTATACTATCGTGAACGATATCACAGCGCGTGAGCGGCAGAGAGACCACAAGCAGTTTTACATCGGCAAGTCGCCCGATACGTTCTGCCCAATGGTACGCAAAGTTTATATCGTATCGCCGAGTGGTACTGAAAGGAAATAGGGTCCAGTCGCTGTACCTGCGTCGAAGTTGGAAAGAACATTGCGGATTCAAACGCACATCAACGGCGAGCTGCGACAGGACGCAACGACGGATGATCTTATCTTCTCAATTCCGTTCTTGATCAAGACCATGTCGGAAGGACAAACACTGATGCCAGGTGACGTCCTTGCGACCGGTACCGTAAGTTTAACCCTCATGAAAGACGCGACTAAGATTCTTGGCTGACTTTGGCATAGCCCGCCGGTGTTGGGATTGGAAGAAATCCCCCTGTCTATCTCAAACCTGGAGACACTATGACTGTATCAGTGACTGGTCTAGGTGCTTTGACGAATTGCATTGGGAATTTAGGAGACAACAGTCCTATCGCGAGTCGCGTGGCGGATGTTACCCACATACAGCGAAAAGATCCAACCGGGAGCGTCGATTCTGGACTACTGGCAAAGGTCAATGACAAGCTCGTCTATTACAAGAATCTGGGAAGTCGCTCAGGCCCTCCGGTCGTTTTCGTGCATGGACTAGGAGGGAGCTCAGAGTATTACAGACCACTCATCCATTCACTGGATATCGCCAGGTCGCATCAGCTATGGGTATATGATCTAGAGGGCCATGGCCTATCACCAACATCGCCGCTCAGCAGACTCAGCATCGAATCCTTTGCCGCGGACCTGAATGGCTTGTTCGAAGCAGAAGACATCTCATGTAACGCCACTATTGTGGCGCACTCCATAGGATGCCTAGTCGCCCTAAAGTTCGCATTAGCACATCCGGAAAAGGTGGGAAGGTTGATCCTGCTCGGTCATCCATTTGCAACGCTCGAAGCCACCACTAATGATGCGTATGAGCTAGCCGATAGTGTGCGTAAACTTGGAATTGCATGTGACATCGACGAAAGGATAAATCTGACTACTTCAAAAAAGACCAGGACGTCGAATCCGCTGGCGATGGCAGCGATAAGGATGCTGCTGCTTGGTCAGGATCCTGAAGGTTACGCAAAGGCTTTGACAGCGCTTGGTGATGCACATGATCTTGACTTCTCTGCAGTACAGGCGACCACTCTCTTTGTTACTGGAACCGAGGACTACCTCTCTCCGCCACACCTGTGTGAGAAGTTCAAGGCAGAGATGAATGCAGAAGCGAGCCTGCGAGTCTTGGAGAATGTGGGTCATTGGCATGTTTTTGAGGATCTTGCAGGCGTGGCAGAGGTTATCAGGGACTTTGTCCAATAGCATAGAACGTGGAGATACTTGTGAAGAGGTTGATCAGCATGACACCGCTGCAGTCCTAGGGTTAAGCTGCGTCACTTTCGTGATCCTTTGACTGTTCAGACATGCGATTGGAACCGAAATCGGGAAAACAGCACTGGGTGACCCAAATCGGAATGCTACAGGAATAGCTTGTATCTCAAGTCTCAGATCGTTAATGTACGATGAACAATCCCATTCCCTCCACCTCACCTCGAAGCAAGATCATCCTACCTCCAGTCTACTACCTCTGCAAAGACGTCGTTGTGAATACTTTGTAGCACAACCTAGTAGGCGCTGATAAGCTGCCAAGCCAATCAGTTCAGCCGTATTAGCCGGAAAGCTTGATTGGCTTGATTTTTCACAACTCTGTCGACGCCATATATGATGCTCGTACGCGCGGAGCCTGAGAGTAAGAATGGTTTCAGTAGAATTAGTGGTACGTTTCGATAGATCACTCAATGGGTGACTCGTCCATAGACTACGCTAGTCAGGATCGAGGAAGAATTCTCAAACCGATCTTCGTACTAGTTTGTACAAATTGTGTACAACATTGTGCGCAATTGTACAACGGTAGCATTTTATCGGCGAAGTCAACGGCCGATGGTCCACATTAGTGCAGCACGATTCTCCCTGTATCGTCGGCATAAGCAATTCCGAAGAGCCGAAATCCTATGGCGATCTGATCAGTAGACCACATTGTGCGTGGTTGATCGGACGAGAAATAGAAGCATTAGGCACAAACAAATGACAGGATATAGTAACTGGAGATATGTAACACTTGAGTCCCGCGGTTCCTCTTAGAGCTTATCATTCCATCAACATTTTGTTCTACTCTTTTGTTCTCCCCACAACATCATATTGAATACTTGCAATGATTACATATTCCAAATCTCACTTCTTGCTCTCTGAGTCGTCTCCAGAGTATGCTGCGTTCGCTCTTGTTCTCGCGGCTGTGAGTTTTCTCATATACCGTTGGGCATTGCCTAAACCCATTCCTGGCATTCCCTATGACAAGAAAGTGGCGCGCAGTATATTCGGTAACTTGCCGGAACTCATATCCTGGCAGAAAGTCCATGGCCGACCAATCCTTTACATGACAGATTACTGTCGCCGCCTAAGCAGTCCACTGGCGCAAGTTTGGCTGGGTCCTCTCAGAAAGCCCGTATTGGTGGTGACCGATTTCACTGAGATCGAAAACCTTACGCAGCGTAGGGCTAAAGAGTTCGGTCGAGGTCGGGACTTTACCCAGTCCTTCAGATATGTGGTACCGGAGTTTCATGTTGCCCTGGAGAAAGAAGACCCAAAATACAGCGCAAACAAGGATTTGTTGAAGGATACTATGACACCAACATTCCTGCAAAATGTAAGTTGGAAGTCTTCCTCGAATTTACGAATGTTCTAAAAACAGTCAAAGGTGTCTTCTCCACAGATTTATATGAGATCTAACAATCTAGTAAGTTTGTGGAAGTTCAAGCATGAACATGCTCGTGGCCGGGCATTTGACGCTTTCGAAGACATATTCAGCGCTGCTTCGGATATGATCCTTGCGGCAGCTATCGCAGTGAACGATGAAAACAGCGCTATTGTTCAACAGCTGAAATATCTCGAGTCGTTCGAGGGAGAACTTCCTCTGCAATTCGATGAGAGATTCAACAGCGTTATTTTCCCACACTTACCGAACCTTGCTCACATCAAGGGCCTGGAGAGATTGTCTCACCACATCGGCGAACAGGTTCTTAGTGCGTTTCCAAACATAATGCACTATTACCGTCTACTCAAAGATAACGTATTGCGTCAATCTTACGCTTGGGTGAAAAGATTCGAGGCTATGGAAATACAGAAATCTGTCTCCCATTTGGAAAACAAGACCATAACATCTGTCCTGGATCATATGGTGAAGCGCGAGAGAAGAGCGGCGGATAGTAAGGGTATCAAACCGGATTACTTCAGAAACGGTATCTTCGACGAGGTCGGTTCCTAGCTTGGAACCCATGGAACATAGCATGTTTTGCTAACTTTTCCCGTAGTTAACTGGCTACTACCAAGCTGGCCATGAAACTAGCGCGACAACTATAACCTGGACTCTGAAATTTCTTGCTCAGAATCAGGATTCTCAAGACAAATTGCGCAACAATTTACGTCAATACCATGCGGAAGCCTACCAGGCAGGTCGACAACCAACGAAGGAAGAGATTGCAGGTGCCGATATCCCATACCTCCACGCGATTATTGAGGAAACACTTCGAATGCGACCGCCTTTTCCTGCTCTGATGCGCTCTACTCTAGTTGATACTGAGATAATGGGGTACAGAATTCCGAAAGGAACTACCATTCTCATGCCGTCGAGTGGACCTGGATTGGATGAGCCGGCTATACCTGTTCCAGAGGATCTACGAACCAAGTCTGATATCACTAAAAGACGTCCTGACTGGTCGCCAGAAGACGTCCATCTGTACAACCCAGGTAGATGGTTGAAATGGGACGAGGAATTGGGGGAGACAAGATTTGACCCTTCAGCTGGGCCTATGCAGTCCTTTGGATTTGGGCCCAGGCAATGTTTTGGGAAGAGGTTGGCATACATACAGCTGCGGACGCTTGTCACCCTACTTTTCTGGAATTTCAAGTTTGTAGAACTTGATGGAGAAATCGCGTCACTTCAAGGTCATGAGTCGACTACACTCATTCCAAACTACTGCTACGTTAAACTGGAGGAGTTAGCAGCCTAGGTCTAGAAAAGTACCCCGGATATAAATTGTAACATCTTAGAGCTATCATCTATAGACTTATCATACTTGAACCCGAGATATCGTGCCGCTGAGATGGGTGCTTCCTCTGAGGGAGGGAAGCTACTTATAACATCAATGTGACGAGAACTGAGGAGGTACCTTGTGCTAGAGATTTGGACGTAAGACGCATGGTTTCCTAAAAGAGTAAGACGCACTGAGCCTGCTTATAAGGTGCGCCTCGCTCGAGAGAAAAGGGGACCAGAAGCCGTCTCTCACTATCCTTTGTAATCTGAAGCAAGCACTACTGCCTACAGTAACGCTATCACGGTATTCAATGTTGGACTATCTATGTCTTTGGGCAGTGTTTTGTTTATTTATCAGAGAAAGGTTATATTAGGTAGCCTAAGGGCGCCGCCAAAGCGCTAGTTAGGTCTGGAATCTAGATCTCTATGTTGCACCTATATTCTGTAGGCGACTGAAGGGCTTCTGGTCTCGCACCGAGACAATGTGGAGGGTCTACTGATCAAGCTGTAGCCTATCACAAGCACGTTTCCTTCTTGAAACCAAGAAAATAGATATGCTTGATAGCAGCGCTGTTTATGATCTATTCAAATGACATCTAGAATTCTTTCCCAGTCCTGCTTTCGGCACCACTGTTCTACAGACATTAGGTGGGATTCAACGCCAAGATCCTTAGGTTGTTTCACGCTCTTATCGACTTTGCTGCCGTCGTAGTTAAACTCGATATACCACCCCATCATGTCCGCAAAATTTTGTCCCAGCTCTGGATCACTTATGTTGAAGCTCGGCTGTTCGTTGGTGAACTCAATGTCCTTGTTGAGAACATTGGCTAGTGTCTTCGCAAAATCTTGGAAAGTGAGCCATGCGTTACTAGCAATAACCTTCTGGCCAGCTGAGTCGCGGAGAAGGGCATGGACAATAGGCCCAGTGTTAGCCTTCGCTGAGAACATGGGAAGATGTACCGTGCCAACGGCCCCCAAAGACAGCATATTTTTAGCAATGTCCTAACAACAAGTTAATGCTATCTTCTATCAGAATTACGACTTGTGTTGTTATCATACCAGCTTTGGACGATATGCGCTTGCATCAGGCTTGAGGTAGTTCTCAAGGAAGAAGCCCGCATAGAGCACACTCGTCTTCTTCCAGAGCTCCGGATAAGTTGTTTTCCCATACTCTTCAGCGATAGCTTTTCCGTCAAATTGATGTACGTGGGAGTATTTTCCTCCACTGAGCTTCTCGGTGTTGGGCAGACTAGAAAAGATAAATCTTTCTAGGCTCTCAACTTTGGCAGCAGCATCGATGATGTTCTTGTTCTGTTGAATTTCCTTCTCCTTCGCAAGAAGCATCGGGCTTTGACCGTTGACGGAAGACTGCTGCTGCGCCATAAAGGATCCGTAGAGCATCCAATAGTCCGTCACGCTAAAGATAGCAGAAGCCCCTTTGAAGGCAGCGTCGAGTGAGGCGGGCTCGTCGAAATTTCCTGCTACCATTTCGACTCCGCGTTCTGACAAAGATGCGGCTTTTGTAGAGGTTACGTCCCGAGTGACACCGCGAAGTGCATATGGAGACGGCGTGAGGGACAGAAAGTGCGAAAGAACTGATCCTCCTTGGTTGCCAGTGGCACCTAAAACTACGAGAGTGGGCTTCTTGCTCGACATAGTGAATAGACAGATAAGGCTCGAATAGTTGGTAGGTTTGCTCCGATTTGTTGCGATCGAAAACGGGTGAAGATGTGTACGTTATATATCGTGCCTCGACACATAGTAACAGACGAAGCGCGATTCGTGCAAATGAGTTTGAGAAGACTCGGGTCAAAAATTACTCCGATTAAAATTTACTACACGAACCAAGCAGGTAACAGAGCAAAGGCGGCAGCTCAGGAAGCGAAGGTGTGGAACGAGAGTAGTCATTGTGGTTGACGAACCCCAGCGCTAGAATGGAAAAGGATCGGGGGTGGCAAGCCCCGATTACCGACCTTTACCGGCGCTTGAGAAATTTTGCTTTGTAACGTTCGGTCATACCTCGTATTTTCTGCGCTTGTTGGCAACTACCCCAACCCTAATCTTAGTTACGAACAAGCCCACAGCCTATAGTGGTGCACGGCTATACAACTTTTAAATCAAACTTCCAAATCTTAGCTAAGCAAGAACTGGAGATAGTTATGTTCTGTTGAAGTTTTAGAGAATGTACAGGCGAAGGCAAGATGGAGGTGCGAAAGAAAAATATTGCTGTTGTTGCTAAGTTTTTGACGCAGCGCGATAGACCCGCCGCAAAAGCCGCACAAATGAGCAAAGTGCGAACGGAAAGCGCAACCGTACAGAAACATCATCATTGTTGTGAACTGAGCGCTGCTCGATTTTCGTCGCTACCTCTGCAGCTGGTCAATGTAAGTCCATCATAATTGTCCAGCCTTTACGTATTTTCCCTTCTAATTTCTCTCAACGAAAAGATTTCGCATGCATCCAATAAGCAGAGGAACTACACTCTATCATAGCTGCCACCGTGGCCATCAACATTGAAACGGACTGATCAGCCCAAAGTTCTCCTACTATAACAATGAGTACCTAGGGAAGACCTTGTCTTACGCCTGATTTGTCATTCAGACCCCATGCTTGGCTACTGTTATCGTGTACTGTGACTCTTCTCATATCCCTGCGATATATGTATGCAAAAGGTCCTCCCATCGCACGGTGCATAGTGCAGGTGTTATCCCAGATGACCAGATCGCCGACATCATGCCATTCCACAGTCACTCTATACTTCTCCTGCGTAGCATGCTCGAATAGCATATCGAATAGTTCCTTGCTCTCCTCTGGCTTCAAACCCTCAATATGGTGGATGTGCATCGCCAGATACAGATTCATACGTCCAGATGCTTCGTGACGCTGCACAAGCTTATGACGACCCATAGGATGATCAGCAGGTTCTATACCCGCAAAGTGCTCAGGGGCAGCTAAATTCTTTGAATGAAGAATCGAGTGGCAAGCGATTAGGTCTTTAGCCAATAACTCATTCTGTACATTACAAGGAAGGTCGTCCCAAGCCGCCCTCGTATCGCAGAATTCTGTCGCACCGCCTGTGCCAGTGGGAGGTAATTCATGAGCCAGTAGCAGGGAGTAGCCTGCTCGGCGTGGGTTGAAGCTACTGTCAACATGGAAGTAGCTATTGCCTTTGTTTGCCTGCGCACGTGGACTAGTCGGAGAGACAAGGGTGTTGTCCGCTTCGATGTTGCCGACATCGAAGAGTTCGTCAAAATCAAGACGATTCTTACGGCCGGCCTTGTTGTAAGGCTTCACATCGTCTAGTTCGCCGAACTTACGGCCCAAGGCGATGTGGGCTGAGTCGGTCAGTTTTGTCTGGCGTAAGACGACCACACCATACTGCACATATAGTAAGTAGGAAGTCATGAATATGTTTTCGGGACGCTCACCTTCGTCAAGAGGTCATGGAGAAGACGGTAAGTCTCATCAGAGGCACCATCTTTGAGGTCAAGCCCTCGAACCTCAACACCGAAGCCGTAGTGAAGCTCTCGAATTTGAAGGGTCGGGGCAGAGATAGTCGTTTCGGTAATCGTGGCTGACATGTTGAAAGCTGATGGACTTGATGTGTTGTCTAGTCTTGAAAGGTACTTTGTTTCGTTTTACAGGTGTTTGAGATCTTATATGTGTGAGGCTTCAGTCTCTTCAGCAGTGGTTGCTCGACGCCGACCATTGCCGATCAACTGTATCCACCACATGTTTGAGCCATAACCGACTATAGATCTGCACAGCATGTGCTGGTGTTCGCTCGTGCACACAGCTCTCGTATGCAGGCGAAGTGCCGCGAACTTGTCCATGGAACCTCCGTCGATTCCCAAAGCCGAAGGCTATCTACGATGGGACGAATAGTGCTCTTGTGAGATAGAAAACTTCGCAACAGGACTTCTCCGTGCTTGCTGCTATCATGATTCTGACTTCACTGGCTGTCTTCGAACTCCTGTGTTCTGGCAACATTTGCAGCTCATTGAAGGATATCGGAGCAGTGTTCGGGCATTTAGCGACGGCGCACGTGGAACAGAAGGGCCGCAGATACGCACTAGTCTCATGGCGACGTAACCGACCATAGCCGAGAGCCGGTGCAGCCAAACTCGTACTCTCATCCTTACCTTCGCTCCTGCCATCACATTATTCATTGCCAACAAGCAACAGAATACGATGACCGCATCGACCGGTAAACGATCTTTCCGTGCATGTCTACGCTGCCGTCGCCGCAAAACAAAATGCGACCTTGACGGCTCAAGTGGCCGAAAGGAACCACCCTGCAGATCATGTCACCTTTCTGGCAACGGTTGTGTCCTTGTGCAGTCGAAACGAGGCCAAAGACGTAACAAAGCTACGCGGACTGCTCGCGCAAATGTATCAGACAACTCAGAAGCGCTTATGCACGAGAATGAGAGTACCACTACAAGTTCTAGACCATCTCCGACACTTGTGGAAGCCGACCAATCTACGATGTGTGCACGAAGCTTATCAGAACCATATGGGACAGCCAGAGAGCCAGAAGTTGAATTAAGGAACCCGTCTGATGCGCTCGAGATACTGGCACGTTCAGACGAGCGTTTACACTTGGCTTCGACCCGTTCTTTAGCCGATGGTACCACGTCATCGGCGCCCAGCATGCAAGCAACTGGAAATGGATCGACTACACTCGAGGACTTCGAGTTGCTAACAACGGGAATACTGCAGATGGGCGTAATCCTTGAGTTATTACAAAAGTCAGTCGCTCTTGAAAGCCTAGCCTGTTATTTAGATTGACTGATGTGGAATTAGATATACAAAGACCTATCATCCTCATTATCCTATTGTTCCAGCATGGCTTCACTCACCGATCGTCATAGAAAAGATCAGGAAATCCGAACACTTTCTCCTCACAGTGCTATTGACCGTTGCGTCGCGAGATTCGACGCAGCATGTACTCATACATCGATACTGTTGGGAACATGCTCAGAGACTGCTACTAGGGGTACTTTTAGCCCGTCCCTCAACTCAAACACCCCGCACGGTTGAAGGCCTCTTGGTTCTAGCGGAGTGGCTACCTCACATTGAATCTAAGCTCAAGACTGAAGAAGCACCTGGCAATCTTTTCACCGAAGACAGGCGTGCGTGGTCACTTGTAGGCCTCGCGATACGGCAAGGTTATATGCTTCGGTTAGACAGAGGGGCTTTCCGCAGATCTCACCACACCACACAACAGCAGAGCGAACAGGAGCGACTAGTTTGGCATTGTAAGTGATGTCATCTTCGTACCAGAAAGCTGCTGATAAGGACCTAGTCGTGTATCTCGCAGACCGCCATATATCAGTCCGCCTGGGGCAATCGTTCTGGTCTCGCGGGCCATCTCTGTCCTCCCATTTTACTGCGGATGACTTCCCCAGTCTGAAACCTAGATCTGGAGATTTATATGATCATTCTGCGATTTTGCAAGCCAATCTGGACCTTGTACAGATTTTATACAACGCCCATCTGATCTTGTACGCCTCCGCAGAACGGACTCAAGCTCTTATCAAAGATGGCGATTACGCCCGGTACCTAGACGACTTTCTGGGTGCTGCAGCGATGTGGATGACTACGTGGCGACGACTGGACAATTCGTCAGTGGTACCAAACTCAGTCTTTATAACTTATGAGTACGTCTGTCTATATGTAAACGCATTTTCATTCCAGGCAGTTGTCGCACGATCAGTCAAGGACCAAAGGTCGCATCCCAAAACACATGCTACCGATGATGTACCCTTAGAAGAAGGATTTTATCGAAGCACCCTATCTTTGCCTGATGGGCTCTACATCAACGGTGCAATCCACGCGGCGACAAAGTTGCTCGAAAGATTTACAAGTTTGGACCCGCACGGCGAAATGCAATACCTTCCGTCGCGTTTTTTTCTGTAAGTCGTCCGCTTTTGTTACATTATCATACCTTTGCTGAACGAACTGTTAGCTACGCAGTGTACGCAGCTGTATTTTTGCACAAGGTAGTAAACCTCAACGTGAGCAATGTGAAGACACAGCTAAACGCAATCAATGACCTCGTTTCACTTCTGATTTCAACCATGAAGGGAGCGTCCACGACCGGCACTCATGTCTGCCATATCTATAGTGAGATGTTGGAAAGACTTTGGCACTTCCGCAATCCAATACAAGAATCGTCACGAGGGTTATCTTCGAACGCGAAACTCGATCTCGATCATACCTTACACAGACCATTTGTGGATCAACCCTCTCTTACTCAGCCTCTGGACGGTAGTGTTTATGGAAATCAATTGGCAGGAGGCGCTTTACTAGATGCTGAGGCTGGGTCATCGAACATCTCGTCATCGACTTGGCAAAACCCCTGGATAAGCTATGATGTCTCTACATTACCGTCATGGGAAGATCTAACGATGGATCATTGCTGGCCAGGAGTCACCGACTTCTCGCAGCTGATAGACCCATCAATCAATGCTTAGGCTGTGTCAGAGGTGCTAGAAAATTTGCAATGTTTGTCTTGGCATCGAGTGGAGTAGCAACATGGTGAGATCCACCCCACTTACGTATTCTTGCTTCGTCGCCTTCTGAAAACCCGTGTTGCTCTACAAGATGAACATGCTTACTGGTTTCTGTATGACTTCACACAATTTTGGTATATAAATGTTGTTATCAAGATTGATGTCATCCAATCAGAAGACAACATCGGTCGCTTAGCTCAGTTGGTTAGAGCGTGGTGCTAATAGGAACTCGTTTCCGAGACGACGCCAAGGTCGCGAGTTCGACCCTCGTAGTGACCATTACAGTCTTTCTTTTTAACAAATAGATGTCATGTACTACATCTTGTTGAGTGAGAATGTTTTTTTTTTTTTTTTGCTTATCTGGCCTCACGGTATCGCGTTGGGTTCCGCATCTTAGTAAAGTGACTAAGGCAATACTAAAGCTATAGATGCCGAGGCCAACCGTATTAGTCGCTACTATATCCCCAGAGCATAAATAGCACTTGATTCGTGAACATGGATTCAGAAAAGCAGTCAAGATTGAGTTACTACGTGATCATGTTATCCGACTCGAAAAAGGTGCTAAGAGAGCTTGTAAATAGCAGGGAAAATTCACAAAAAGCGGCAGCAAGTATAAAACAAGCGCAGTCCATATACAAAACTCTTGCACACGATACTGAACAGTAGTTGCGTATTGTGGTACTAAGCAACAGTTTGCTTCGTGGTAGCTAAGCGTTCTCATCTTGTTCGCTTCTCGATCTTACGGCCGTAACTACTTACAAACAACATTCAACCAACAGATCATCAGGACGGATATCGGTCGGTACGTCTACATGATCACTTAATACATGACAAATTCAGTATGAGGCTAAGAATCGAGCGTGACTTCCTATAGGCCTAAGGCGATGATTTCGAAGCAGCAATAACTAATCTCAAGCACGTGTGTAACCTTTGGAAACTCGAGCCATGTGTATATAGAGTGCAACGGCTGTCGCACACACACAACATGCACTCTCCGAAGCAGCTATCATTCCCATACTTACCAATCGACATAGACGCTGTATTCAGGGAAGCCAGCGAACGTCGATACAATCTCTCTGCAATTGGACATGGCTACTTATCGTAATGTGTTGCTTATTGGTGTAAGTTCGATCTCCTAACAAACCAAGGCTATGGGCTGACATCACGAAAGGGGTCTGGAACCTTGGGTAGCGTCGTTCTAAAGATCCTTTTGGACTCACTATACGACACGACTGTTCTTTCGCGGCAGCAATCATCATCCCAGTTCCCTGAGGGCGTACGCGTCATCCGAGCAGACTACGACGACCCGGACTCATTAGAGTCCGCGATGAGAGGCCAGGATGTGGTAATCAGCACGGTTGGCGGTGCCGCGGCAGGGGACCAGAACAGGTTCATCGACGCTGCTGTCGCGGCTGGAGTGAAGAGATTTCTTCCCAGCGAGTATGGTCCGAATACACAGGATCCTCGGGTCGTTGAATTCATCCCAATACTTCCTTTCAAAGTGCAGACGGTCGACTATCTCCGGTCGAAAGAAGACAGAATGGAATGGTCGAGCCTTGTGACTGGGCTATGGTTCGATTGGGCTCTGAGAGATGGTCATCTCGGCTTTGACCTTGTCACCAAGACTGCGACGCTGACAGACCAGGGCAAAACTGAGTTTACGGTATCAACACTAGAGAGCGTGGGGAAAGCTATAATAAAGATTCTGGAGCACGCCGACAAGACGAGAAACAGTTATGTCTATACGTCATCGTTCCACCTCAGTCAGGTTGACCTCCTCGCTGTCCTCGAGACGATAGACAGTCAAGGCTGGACAATCAAGCGGCATGCCTCGCAAGATCTTGTTGAAGAAGGCCACAGCAGGTTCCGAAATGGCGATTACTATGGTGTTGCGTTGCTGGTCAGGGCATTGGCAACCGGCCCAGTCAACCTGGGAGATTCGAGACCGGGAGGACTTTGGGATGAGAGGCTAGGTCTTGAACGTGAGGATTTGGAACAAGTTGTGAGGCGTGTTGTTGCCGATAAACGCAATGGTACTGCTGCCGCATAATTCGTCAGTCATCATAAAACCACAATCGCTCTGTGTAACAAGCCTTCGAATATGCAGTCCTGTCCTATGATGCTGTATCTTATCATGTGTCGCATCGCTGTGTTGTTCGAAGTGCAGGTATGAATATTGAAAGAACGTGTCGCAAACCAAGCGCTGCCGGGAACCTTGTTACTCATGACGCTGCGCGATGATACCTTAGTACAAGCTCAGCTAGGAGGCCACATACAACAACTATAATACATTAAATCTCCTGATTTTCCGTCTACAATACCCGCACCAGATCGTGCGACATTATGGAATACCGCTAAAATCCGGATCGATCTATCGCTATGGAGTGCCAAGAACATTAGAAAAGAACCGATCACGTACAAAACACAACTAATCCTTGCATGATACACGAAGCCACACGAAGACAATTGTCCTGGCCAAGAAGGGAACCACTATAGGCTCTGCGAGAGAGAAGCGCCTTACTAAGATTATTCTACTGGGGTGTAGAGGCGGAAGAATCTTATTTATTTATACGCTAAACAACCATTGAAGATGCATAGCACGTCTAAGTGCGTAGACAGAAAACCCACGACTCCTCATTTACTTATTATCATCTTCTTTAACTGATACCAGCTAAGTATTTGCATCCTGTTTAGCTGGACTAGGGTACTGCACTTTCTCTTTCTCTGTGTCCTTAGATCGTGTCTGCCTGCGAACGCCTGACATAACTGCAGTTGCTGGACGACTTGCCCGAGATCTGCCACGAGAGCCTAACGATGGTTGAAGTATACGAAAAAGAATATGTAAGGTTGCAGAAGGCAGGAGAACTCTTTATCACCACTATCAGCTAGACCGCTACGCTCGGCAGACCTCAAGCAAGTCGACGAGCCACAGCAGAAGCGAGTCATGATGAACAATGTAATACTTGTATTAGACGACTTTCTAAACGCACGCACTCAGATGAAAACTTTCGATTACATATCATACGCACCAATACATCCAATGAACCACCCCCAAAGAGATCAAACCAGCAAACATGGTATCGTCCAGAGCGCAGAGAGGAAACAGAAAATACAAACTCAGCCACCAAAGTACGTGTAAACAAAAACATTATGCAGTATTGCCGCCCCAGCTAAGGAATACGTAGGCGACTTTTTTGATATCCGGTATGCTTACAATGCAAACGGCGAAGCATATGTGTACCGCCAAACCAAGGTATAAACATCCAAGAACGCCAATAGGTATAGTACAATAAGTTGTTAACCCCAAAGGGTTACGCAATAAGTGATCTGGTGATACGTCCCTCGTATCGTATGCGCTCTCTCGAGCTTCTTCCTAGATCTGCGACGGGAAGGGATGTATGAAAGTGCATTCGCTCTTGTCGGCACTGTCGTCGAAGCGGTCCGAGCATGCATATCGGAGCTCATGGCCGAAAGCGGACTGGATACTCAGGGTATGTTTGTCCAGCAAAGTCGATAGGCGTCGATGACACAGAGCTCGGCTGTGTCATGGGCAACAACACGATGTCGGCTTCGTGCATGGAGTCGGTCCATTGCACTTCCATTTTACGTTGTGTCTGCTTCTCCCGACCCGTCTCTACTAGTCACCTCTGCTGTCTCGCATATGAACTCTCTTGTGAGGGCGAGATACGCGCCGAGTCGTGGTATCCTGGCGAGAATTGCGTCGGAGGTGTGCGCCGCAGCGTTGGCGAGTTGCGCATGGGATCGGCGGCTGCGCTTTGAGTTAGCGGCGTCGATGCACTTCCCGCGACCGGTGTTCCTTTTGAGGAGCCGCCGCTGCCTGAAGTTCGGTGCGCGGTTCGGACCGTGGAAGGGGTGGCGGGAGAGCGTCCGCCGTCTCCCTGGGGTGCCCGAGGTGTTGTGCTCGCACCGCTTTCGACACTGACGTGCCGATTACGGGGTGTGGTGTCGCGACTGTTGTTTTCGGTATGCCGCCGCGGTGGTGACTTGGGAGTGTCCTCGTGGCTTTGGCTTTCCTTTTGTCGAGGCACAGACTTGCTTGCTGTGTTTGCTCGACTGCGTACAGCACTTGCTGGGGGTGTCTGCATAGAAGAGTCCGTGAGCGGCGATGTCTCGGCTGCTCTCCTGCTACTTGGCTGAGGGCGTTGTGTAGGGGATGTGACCGGCATGCTTGATTGTGGTATCGCACTTCCAGCTGTTTGCGAAGCGTTCTGTGGGACAGGCTCGGGACTCGCCATGCCTCCGACGCGTGGGGTACCTTCCCAGCTCTTGCGCTTCATCATGCGACCTAGAATACCTACAAGTTCAGCTGCATCTTCAAACTCCGTGTCGTCCATAGCCTCTTGTGCGCGGTACACGTCCTTGATTGCACGTCGGGCGACGCGCCGGGACGCGTCATGATCATGTAGACAGTCCCACAGGAATGCGCTGTGCTCGAGCGCAACCGACAGCCGTAATGGATGCGAACCAGGAAGAAATGAAGTAGCATATTGTGTGGCGGTCGTGAAGTAGCCACTGGCTAAGGGAACGAAGTTGAGTGGTGGAAGTATGAAGGAGGAGGGCTGTGGGATGGGCACTGGGTTGAGGCCTGGAGGCGCGTTGATTGTAGGTCCCGGTGATGGTGTGCCGACTGGTCCTCCTGCTGCATATGGGTTCGTGATGAAGGAACTCTCGGATTGGATGGAGTCGATTGGCTCCCGTAATGCTGGTTGTTTTCCAGAGCGCTTCGAAGGGGGTGACAGTCCTGGGGGATCTGCCCTACGACCATGTCCGTTGCCATGCTTTGGTGGTGAGAGGTGCAAAGGAGGTGAAGCAGTGTTTCGAGGGTCGGTACTTGTCATGTTCATTGTCGTGACTGGTGGTTGATTGTGGAAGAGACAGAAGATGTGGTAGAAGCTCGCCCGCAACTTGACGCTCAACACCCTGCACTCTGGTCCATGCTGATTGTCTTGAGCATATGGGAGTACATAGAGCTCGAGTATAGATAGTCCCTCGCGAGACATCCATAGTATGTGCTGATAAGTCGAGAGAGAAGGTGTATCTCGGCTAGTGTCCAGTTTGCGAAGCTTCCTGGCGCGAATGAGTCTCCGGGCCAGCAGGACCGACAGACCCAGAATCTGATAAAGAGCGCTGGACAGGAAAGGACTCGTGTCTTCAGTCTGCTTGGCTATCCGACCAAGGAACTTCTGGTCAAAGTCCAGAGATGCCATGGTTTAGTGACTCGTCTGGTATGCTTCGTAAGTCGCAGTCGAGGTAGAACAGGAGAGACGGCGGAAGGAGAAATGAGATGGCGACGGAGGGCCTGAAGTGACGTTATCGAGCCACGGTGTGGTGATAGCGAAGTGATGATGGCAGAGACGGAAGGCGCGATTGATGAATCCACTAACCTTAACCGCCAACCCGGACCGTTGCGCTGTATCTTCTAGAAGACAGACACAGTGCAGCCCGGCCCAGGCTGACCGATGACACCTCGCGATGATTTCTGCTTGGAGATGAGGCTCTGGCACCGAAGCAACAAGTGCTGGCCAATTGATATGTTTCGGCAAGCGACGGGATGTCCGTGCACGTCCCTTGTACGGGTGAAAGTCGATTCTCGTGATGGACCAAGTCGGGAAGCGCTACTCGGAGATTTGTTGAATTAGGCGATGACGATGGAAGCGACGATCATGATACAACGTATATAAGGTGGTGTACAGTGCTGGGGCTGGTATGAAGGTGAAGCGGTCGAGCGCCGAGTGATGAACTGTCTGGACAGCTGTCAGCGACGGTTCCAATTGACGAAGGCGAGCAACGGCTCACATTGATCGGGATATCTCGAAACGGATAGGGCGAGATGGTGTCGTTGTTTGGGGCCAGTGCCTTGCTCTTATTCGACGACTGGGGTGATGGCGGAGCCAATGGCAACGCCCAAGAGGTGAGGCGCTGCAAGACCCTTTTGCGACAGGCTAACAGACGTCAGACGTCGATTGCGAGATGGCTGGAGGCTGGGAGAGGTGGATCCAAGGCCTTGGACAGCGCATTGCGATGTTGGCCAGCTTCAATCGTCCTGCGCGCACGAGGTAATGCGACCGTCTTAAGGGCCGTGACGTCGGCAGGCGGTGTGGCAGCGGTCAGTGCAGCTGTTTTGGACGCCGAGGAAGCGAAACTTGGCCGCGCACACTCCTACAGACGCCAGATTCGCAGATGCGCGCGAGGATAACCGTTCGATCGCGCTCAGGGCAGCAGGTGGGGATGTTCCTTTTTGGGTGTTGCGAAGACCCTTACGCTTGGCCTGGTGTTGAGGGAACGAGCGGCAGTCCCGCGATAGATGCGCGCGACGATGAGAAAATGACAACTACACCAAGACGACGACAACGGCGCAAAAGGAAATAGCAGGGCGAACGCAAAGGAAACGCATGCTAGTATTAACCCGCACACTCTATCCGGCTCTCTGGAGACGCAGGTGCAGCTCCTGCGTCAATCTGCAGACAGGCGAGCTATGGTGGGCTACGTGTCAAGCGTCCAACTCCTCCGCTAAACTGCACACGTCTGCTGCATGTCCTTTTTGCCGTTAGTCGTTCGAGCGAGGCGTTGCCAGCTGGCATTGAGGCTAGAACGACTATAACATATTCTCCTACTCGATGTCAATGTCTCTCCAACACGGCTGCTTTCAAGGCTCGCCTGCGAGCGCATGCAGGGCTGTGCCTCAGCTGCCGTCTCAGATGAACCACACCGTTTGCCAGCGCATCGTCCCACGGCTTGGTGGGGTACAGTACGCCATCATTCTACTTGTCCATCTGCCGCAAGAGACGCTTTGAAGACGCTTCGACAGCCCTAATCAAGGCGCTCCCAAATCAGCCCCAGACAGCACGCGCTTGCGTTGTCATTCTGGCCTTCTACCCCACGGTGAGGACTAGCACGATGCACGCTGACGAGACGCTGATGTAGACATATGTTCCTGGCATGTCAACATGTAGCCTGCAGGCTTAGCAATATGGCCGGCGGTGGAGCAATCTGCACCTCCCAGCCTCGAAGGCGAAGATGGAACCGACAACTATATTCGGAGCCCCTACACCTCATCTTCACACTCCAGGGAACTAGTACCGCTTGATTAACTCGAGCTATCGTCTCGTCATCTGCAGGATCTGGCGGCGTATCTGCATCGAAAAGTCTCCACACGGATTGGCGGTGTGGCCGAGTGCTGATTGGCTGGAATTTCGAAAATGCTGGCCGAATGTCATCGGCAGCTAAGAGCCACTATTGATAGCCAGCCTTCTTGATTACACCCCGGATGGCGCCGCTATAATGTTTATTACAGGTCCTCCGCAGCGAGTGGGCTGCAGTGCGCCTGGGATTCCAGTACCGTGTGACCGGGACATACCGACGAAGAACGGCCGCAAATGATGACAAGCATTGCGCAAACATCGCAACCCCAAGCGTCGCATCACTTGAAAGATGCGAGACGGCGGCAAGGTGGGTCGAGGAAAACCCGGACGTACATGGCCAGCGGTAAGATTCACAAATCAAACATACTACCATAATGGCTTTCATGGTGCTGCCTGCTTTGGCAAAGCAAATCTCGGGTCACCGTGTTTGAATTTTGGCCACAGTCCTGTATGCACAACGCCTCCCAACAAGCACGCGTTTGTGGAACTTGACCGACCCAGACTGTCTCTTCTTGCTCACCTACCCGGAGCCGCTCGATTCACCTGTACAACAACAATGAGCCAGTATCGCCAGGGTAGATGTTGATGGTAATTTTCAAACACTCATACCGTGATGTACGACTTCATCTACCGTGACCGGTGGTAAGCTGAGGACCGTTCCTGACATCTCCCGTCCCGTGACGAACATCCGCTTATCCATACAAAACGGTGTGTTGTGCTTGTCTGACCGGGCGGATAAGCTTGTAATTGCTCGGTTGCTCACGGATATCAAATCGTGCAACTTGAGCAACAGCAGGCAATCATGCATCGAGTGAGATGTACTTGATGCTATAAAGAGCTTGGGTTTGTGACGGACACACCGTAGCATCATCGGTAATCCGGCTTTCCCTTGAGCGTTGTTAACCAACACTTTCATTCATCCCGCGTACATTCACTCATTTCGATCAAGACCCAATCTTGCCCAGCTTCAAGGTAAGAGACGCGGCAGAAGCACACCGGCGTTACAGTGTGCTCCATGTATGTTTGATGTCTAACAAGCTATCAGACTCAGGGCTCGCATCACAGCCCTATCGATCCCAAAAGATCATACCAAAGATCTAATCGAGCGGCCTTTCAGTCATTACCAAACGTTGCGCCAACCGCCATGTGTTTCTATCATGCCTACTCCCACAAGTGCGGACACACACAGATGATCTTCCAGCAAATGTGTCCCAAAGGCCAGATCGCGCAGCGAAAGTGCGCGCGCGGTCATGAAGGCGTGATTCTCGCCACTGTCAAGGTCGAGACTCCTTGCGGTACGTGCCCAGGTTAGGTACGGTTCGTCTTTACATAAGACCAACGTGGATGCAGCCAGTGGCACATCTTATGGACTACGTGACATCAGAGTCAGTAGAAAGTTCCGCACGCCGATATCGAGTAGGAGAAGCTAGATTATAGAAGGGGGATGTTTGCGCTATTCCAGTATCCTTACATTGTACATCTTCAACCACTTGTTCAAGCTTGGCAGCATATATTACAGTCACTACATGCATAAAAACCATGCTTTTCCCTCGCCATCTTGACATTCTCACCCAACTTGACTCTCTTCTGTGGTACATCTACGGGAGCGAGACGGCCCGCTGCGCAATCTGTCCGCTGCCCAGTTTGTCAAGGATGAAGCTTGAAGCACCAGCTCTTACAAAAAGAAAGCCCTAGCTGCCCCACCACCCGGCTAATCATGTCCCCCATGATACCCACAGGGATCTGCGTTCGCGAACACACGATCAACAGGGGTTCTCATTCGCTGTCCCTGCTCGCGTTCGGGTTCGACGATGCGATTGACTTCTACCTCGGGTACGGTCACCAGATGCGCAAGTCGTCGACGGTGGTTTGTGGGGAAGTTTCGAGATCGCACCTTCTTCCACAACGACAAACTCTTCTTGTCCTGTTCGTCGTGGTAGTGACTAATTGTTTACGGTCGTCAATGTGGACATGAGATGCATTGCGTCTCAAGTGTCTTGCTACGTATACCAGAACAGACATCGCATGCACGGCCGCGCTCAACAACGCCCAAAGTCATAAACGATGTCGATTGTATACCCAGACCCAGGTTCCGACGATGACAACCGTCGCAAGGATGTATCCTGCACATTTCCTTATTGGTTGCTTGAGCTCGGCAACCCAACGTCCCGCGCCCACTGCACCTCTTCTCGGTTGCAGATGCCCGTTAGACATGTCGCTTGGCTAACGAACGCCGTAAAGAATACGGTCATCGCTCCAAACGGGCACTTTTTGATTACGGCGCGTGATCGAAGACTCTATAGAGAATGACGGTCCGCCCTGCTGCTTCTTTCGATGCATTTCCTTGCGTTTGCCTCGTTTTACCGCAGTTTGCTTCCTGGGTAAACCAGCTTTCTGCTTCCGCGAGACTGTTTGTCGGTCCACAAGATACCCGTTGACAGGTCTCACGCGGCTTGCAGCGGCCCGCAGAAGGCTTGTTTTGGTTGTTTTGAGCTAGACCCGCAACCGTTATGCAGGCAACCGATTCTGCTCAAGAGAAGGTCGGCACAGACACGGCTCTTCCCCATGCCGAGAATACACAAACATCTGGAGACAATGATTCAAGACTGGAACAGCCGAAGAAAAGCCTCGAAAGCGAGTCTGCGCCCAAAGAGACACAAGACCAAGCACACACCCCCTCGACGCCAACCAACACAGATACCAAACCCCCACCCAACGAAAAGTCCCCAACCGAAGCCATCGCGACATCAGACGAAAAAGATGAATCCACCGCACCAGACGACGATTCCAAGTACCTCAGCGGCTTCAAACTCGCCATCCTGTCCGTCGGCCTCTGTCTAACAACCTTTGTCATCGCCCTCGACAACACCATCATCGCAACCGCAATCCCCAAAATCACAACCGTCTTCAACAGCCTCGAAGATGTCGGGTGGTACGGCTCCTCCTATCTGTTGACAACAACCTCGCTGCAACCTTCCTTTGGCAAGATATACACCTACTTCGACGTCAAATACACGTATCTCTTCGCGCTCGTAATATTCGAAGTCGGCAGCATTATATGCGCTGCGGCGACGAGTTCGCCCATGTTTATCGTTGGCAGGGCAGTTGCGGGCGCGGGGGCTGCAGCGTTGTATTCGGGTGGTATGACAATCATTGGGTTTTCGGTGCCGTTGAGGAAACGGGCGATTTACATTGCGGCGCTGTCCTCCATGTTTGGCATCGCATCCGTCGTGGGACCTATCCTTGGAGGCGCACTCACTGACCGCGCGTCGTGGCGATGGTGCTTTTGGATTAATCTTCCGTTTGGGGCCGTGTCGCTGGCTGTCGTCTTCTTTTTCTTTACGAATCCCAAGAGAACCTACTCGCATCTTCCTGTCAGGGAGAGGCTGAAGAAGATTGATATTGTGGGAGCTGTGTTCTTGATTTGTGCTATTGTTTGCTTGCTTTTGTGCTTGCAGTGGGGTGGGTTTAGTTATGCGTGGAGTAATTCCAAGGTCTGGGGTACGTTGCTGGGTTTTGGTCTACTCATCTCCGTTTTCGTCGGCATACAGTTGCGCCAGGAGGATCGAGCGACAATCCCTGTAAGAGTCTTTACCCAGCGGACTGTATTGGTTAGCTGTTTGTACTCAACTTTACTGTCCATGGCTTTGTACACGTAAGTCCTTGTCATACCTTCTAGTCCCCAGCTCGCAGTCTAACAATCATCAGGCACATCTTCTACCTTCCCTTCTACTTCCAGGCCATCAAAGGGACCACGGCTGAGGAATCCGGCATTCGCACCATCGCTTACCTCGTCAGCATCACCTGCTCATCCATTGTCATCGGCGGCCTCATCACTGTTGTCGGTTGGTACGCACCTTTCATGTGGTTCGGCAGCGCCATCTTCGCCATCGGTGCGGGCATGCTGTACACGCTCAAAGTCTCTTCCCCACCGGGTCAATGGATCGGCTACCAGATTCTCGCCGGTATCGGCGCAGGAGCTGGTGTACAAATCCCCTTTGTCGCAGTACAGGTCGTGACGAATGAGAAAGATATGCCAACAGCCAATGCCTGCGTCATGTTCTTCAACTCTCTCGGTGGCGCGCTGAGCATCTCGATTGCGCAAAATATCTTTGTCAATACGCTGGGTAAAGAGGTGCCCAAGTATGCGCCGGGATTTGACGCGAGGATCGTTGCAAATGCTGGGGCGACGAACTTGAGAGGTGTTGTGCCGCCGGAGATTCTACCTGGCGTGCTGCACGGGTATAATAATGCGATCGTTACGGCATTCATACTTGCGATTGCGACGAGTAGTATCGCATTTTTTGTTAGTCTGGGTATGGAACAGAAGAGTGTCAAGGGGAAGAAGATCATGGCAGGTGGCGGAGCATAGACATGCTCGGTGATATTTGGATCGTTTTGTGATTCGGTCGGTAGGTAAACTACCATAGCTACTTGTCATTCGCTGATAAGGCTTCTTGGAGAGTTTCCATGTCTTGTTCTCGGGCTTATCTGCAAGTCCCACAGTTGCTGTATCGTGATACATGGTCAAGACTCTCAATACCTACCAAGACGTCCGAGAAGATGCTTGCGAAGAGCCTTCTTCTCATCCAAGTTCAAAGTCGCCAACATCTCAGTGCTGATGATCGCCTCGCCTTCCCTATGCTTGACCTCCGCGCATATTCGCTCCATCGTCGCCATCTGGTAGCCAAGCAGTTTCTCTTTTCCACCCCTAGCGTCTCTCTCGCGGCTATCAGCTGACATATCCTCAGCCTTGTCTGTCTTCAACGCCGTCATACCCTTCAAATTCAAAAACAAATTCCGCCTCTCTTCCTTTTTATTCTCCGTGTTTGTAGCCTCGGCCAGCGCCGCCTCGGCTTTTTGCCAGTTCCTGTAATTCAGTTCAGAATTGGTCTCTACCCAACGACGGTAGGTATTTTGCCTCAGCCTCGCTAGCTGTCCGATCTTGGCCGCTTCGGTGCGGATCCATTTTTCGCGGACGGGTTCTTGTGCTTCTAGACGTGCGCGCGCTTCTAGGGTGTGATGATACTTGCCCTGGATACTGGAAAGGGGAGTTGGTAGGATACAGGAGTTGGATCTTGTGAGTTGGCGATCTTTTGCAACTGGTCCCGATACAGAACTAAGGAATGCTGGGGTAGGCGGCATGGCACGCACAGAGGTCGCGGAGACAAGTGGAATTGTGACTAGTGTGGGCGGACGAGCGGACGGAGCATTTTCCGGAGCTGACTTGGGGCACAATGCAGCAGTCGGGGTGAGAGTTTGGCGCATGGAAGACTGCGACGGCAGCTGGAACTGTGTCAAAGGCCTAGCTATGGGAAACCTGGCAGACTGTGAACCGTGCAAAACCGGCTTAGAGTCCGCAAACGGATCAGTGTGCTTTCGTACATGTCCTGGGCCATTGATGAAAATGTTTCCTTCGTCGTCGATTTGTGCGCTGCGTGGTGTGATGTCGAAGGCCGATAAGATCGATCCAGTGGATGCGTAGCGCTGTACGGTGGGCGACGAGGGACCTCGCTGTCTGTGCTTTGATCCCTTCATATCTGTACCATATTCCGCTGACCTTTGCCATGCCATCTCGTAGTCTCGCAGAACAGTGCCGTTTGGGACTGAGCAGAGTGGTGTACCGTTAGTCTCGTGAAGTTGCTTCCCCGTACTACCAGGGTGTGAAGGAGATGGAATACCCGATAGACGTGAAATCCAGTCACCTTCCATGCGCTCGTAAAACTCTGTTTCGTCCGGCGTGTGAAGGGTTCTCGGTGATCCTCGTGGGTTGGAGAGGTTCGCCGGGTGAGTGTCATCCTGGAGACCGAGTGCGCTGGAGTGGGCAGCAAAGCCCCGCGGTCTTTGCGAGCATTTTTCTTGCTCATAATTCCAGCCAGAGGACGTGCTTTGAGTGTCCAGCTTCGCGTAAGCATGATCAGAACCGCCGAAGTAAGGTTGACGCGGTGACTCAATCGAGATTCTGGGAAGCATATGACTACGGACTGAGAGTGGGGTCGCTAGGCCAGGAGTGTTCAAATCTCCATCAAAACGTCTTTCTGGTACGATACTGACAGCTTTAGGGACCGAAGCTTGCACACAGCCATCATGGCAACCTTTGTAGCCGTTGCCCAGCCTCATTCGGGTGTCAGTCAAAGGAGATTGGACAGCGCCTCTATCTTCATCGTTTCCTGCGGTGCCGCCAGACGAGTCCTGAAGTCCCGGAATGTTACAACTCCAGATTGATTCGGTGCTGGTAAGGAGCCGTCGATAGACGGGTGAGTGCATCGTTTCATTGAGCGCGCGCTGCGAATTCTTTAATGCGTTGCTCCACTTCTGCGTCTCAATATCCTGGGGGGAAGGATACGACTCGTCGATTTCGCGCATCGAAGTCGAAGGGCTAGGGTAATCCTGGCGGCCGCCCAAGCCGGTCATGGTAATAGTGTTGCGTTAACGAGTGGTGAATGCAGCAATTGTTGCGACAACGAGGATATTTGAAGGTAGGAGTATGTACGCAGTCTTAGCGCGGTAGGAAGCGCAGTGAGTTGAGATTTAATTCAGCGTGGCCGCGCATCTTTATCGGCTGCAAGTTGGGGTGAAGGCGACTCGATGCGGTCACGCAAAGTGGTGAACGCGGAAGGCAGCTTCTTGCAGCAAAGAAACGTGACATCTTTCGGCGCAAGTGAATTAGGCTAGGACCCTGTATCACTTCACTGACCTCCTATATACAACAGTGGTACGCTTATGACTAACCGATACGAAGAAGCTGCTTGTCCTATCAGCGCGCGCAAATATGTTCGGGAAGAGCTTTAGCCAGGTGTTGTCGCAGTACATAACTAGCTTGCCTTTCTCGCTACCATAGTCCTTTGCCTTGATTCGCCCAAGCCATGTGTTTTGCGTAGCGAGTGTTATCGTGCATTGGGACGCTGTCCGTGATTCTAGGTTTGGCGGGACTAGAAGTCTATATTAACCAATGAAGTACATTGCTGGCTAAGTGTAAATAACACTACAATATTATACCAGCCAAAGGACTCTGGGCCAAGTCAAATGGATGTTCCATCGGCGATAACGTACTGCGCAATTGCGGTTCATCTGCAATATTCTCTCGTGCGCCCATGCCCATAGGTGCACGGCTTTCGAGATCCTTCTCCAAGCCGTCGCAACCATCCAGCATACACGCTTCCTCCCACCACCTACTTCCTCCTTCCAACGCAACACGCAAAGAAGCGATTGCTATCGGCCCTCCGCGCTCTCGCCCTCTCCAACGTACCAAAGTCCTGTACTAGTCCCTAGTCCCCACATTAGCCAAACTATCACTAGAACATCGAAACGGGTTGCGCATACACTGTTCTCTGGAACCTGCCTCTCCAATGTACCGACGTCTCTCACCAGTCCCTATGCATACTTATCAGCTTCAGTCGCAAGTCAAGCTAGTACGGGGATGCATACACTATTCTCAGGCACAGGCACAACTGGAACGTCAGCCTGAACTCTCGTTGCAGAAGAACAACTCCGTCGCAAAGAAAGTGCATTGCTCTCACTGTGATCGTCGATATCGGTTTCGGTGGTCGTAGAGCTCTTCAACGATGGAGGTGTGGGCGCTCTGCGACGCGTTGGGCCTCGGCCGCGCGTTGGTGTAGAGGCTTCCTGCGTGACCATTTGTGGAAGGTCTGGATTGCGGACTGTTAGTGGCGGAGGAGGGGGGAGTCCTTCGCCAGCGGGTGAGTATTGCGGCTCGGTGAGAACAGGAATATTGTCCTTGGAGCTGCTTAAGCCTGGAATATGTAGGGAATCAACGTTTACGTTTTGCCGCTCTGCGATTTCAACCTTCGATTTGCCTTTTAGCTTCGTGTTCTTCTGAAAATCTAGCAGGCCAAGCGCGCGGTCACGAATAAGTACGCGTCGAGCATGCTGCTCTTCCTTTTCCTGTCGCTTTTCTTCCGTCTCATTGACATTGAGCTTCTTCCTCTCTTCTTGCAAACTCTCCCTCTCTGCCTCCAGCTGCTCCCACTGTTCCTCACGGATCATTATCCTGTCTTCCAAATCGTTACCTCCGATTTCTCCGCTCATATCCTGTCCCAAGTCAACCGATGCCATCGTCAGATTGCGGGATGTATACTCACCACATACCCCCCAAGCCTCCACTCACCCTCCTCCCTCATCAAAGCCCTCTCCCTGGCTCTCTCCCTTAGACCTCTAGCTGCTACTCTATCCATCTCCTTCCCTTCATCATTAAGGCCTATGACCACCACTTCGTCCTCATGGGGTGCCATATTATTCCTCGCCCTCCTTCTCACTCCCTCGTTGAAGTCCGCAGCACCGTGCGCTTCGTCGAACCAGTATGGCTGGATTTCTCCTGTTTTCTCCCTCGCGTATCTATATTCTGGGTCGCTAGCGTGGCAGCGGTAGCCTGTAAGGTAGATTGTTGGTGCTGGTGGAGATGGTGTACGGCGGGGAGGCTCTTTGATTGGACGGAGAGTGGGATAGATTGGTAAGAATGGTGGGCTTGAGATATCACGGTCTAGAAATGGAGATTCGAAGGGGTTTGAGCCTGAGATGTGTGCTGGTAAGTACGCCATCGCGAAGTTATTCAGTAGAATATTGGGTAGATGACAGTGTGGCAGATCGGCTTATGCAGGGAGAAAGTAGCTGGATATGACGATATGGTCTTTGAAGGAAAAGGCTTCCAAACGGTGCCCAAGTTAATCGAATACCCTAAACTATACTATGCATCGTACTGCCCAGCAATATCTTGGTTCACTGTGAGGCGGATTTACGTGCAGATTGTGACTGCTGAGACATCATGGACGATTATTGGATAGGCGTCTACCGATGCGACGTCGTGGCTGGCTGAGTGGTGTAATTTCCCGCGACCAGAAACGAAGCACACTCGGCTACTGGTACGCTAGCAGGAGTCCCACGAATGTACCAGAGTAGTAGTATTGCGGTGATGTAGAAAATGCTTCATGCGATGTAACAGGGTCTTCGCCACTCCATTTCTCTAAACAATTTGTCCACATCCTATGCCAGTTTTCCTGGCACAAACGGTAATCCCCCACTCAACCCCCCATCCACTGCCCAAGCCTGCGCATTAACATAGCTAGCCTCATCACTTGCCAAGAACAGTACCGCCCTCGCGATTTCATCCGGCTGCCCTCCCCTCTGAAGCGGGTTCAGCTGCCCAATCTTCTTCTCACTCCCCCTCTTCCTCGCCGCGTCGTATGTCACCCTAGTCATACCAGTTTCGATGAGGCCTGGGCAAACAGCATTACACCTTATACCCGAGCCAGCAAGTTGATACGCGCACGTCTGCATCAGACTGATCACTGCAGCCTTTGAAGCGGAGTAATCCGTGGGACCGGCGTTGGATCGGAGACCTGCTACACTCGCCGTAGCGATGATGCTGCCGCTCGGGTATGGTTTCTGATTCGAAGTCTTGAGCATAGCGCGAGATGCGTGTTTCGCAGCGAGAAAAACGGAGAGAGCGTTTGTGCGCAACACGTTCATGAAGCCTTCTACCGACTCTTCCCAGAACACCTTGCCGGACGATATTCCTGCGTTGGCGAAGAAGACATCGAGACGGCCGTAGGTGTCTAGAGCTTCCTGGCAGACCTTCTGTACTGACGCTTCGTCTGCGGCATCGAATTGCCGGGTGTGGATCTCGGTCAACGGGTATAGGTTGTTGAGCTCGCGCTTGTGTGTCTCGAGGTTAGAATCGGCGAAGTCGCAAACGTAGATTGCGCGGGCGCCGTTACGTGCGAATTGGTGTGCGCTTGCGCGGCCGATGCCTATTTCGGAGTTTGCACCTGGAAGCGATGTTAGACGTAAATGTTATACGGGATGTGCTGGAAGTGGTGAGCATACCAGTAACGATGATCACTTTGTCTTTGACGCGTCTGGGTGCAATCAGTATTCGCCCATCCAGCTATGAGTCCGCGCCACAGCTTCCTACTCACTGACTGCCAAGGTCCCCAGCGAGACTTCTGATTCCCTTCAAACCCTCGAATGGTTTCGGCTCAGGCAGAGGTTCGGAGAGCTCCTTGCTCACCCCTTGCCGTTCGACCTTGAGTTGTACGCTCGGCATGTTGTAATCGTCCTCGTGATTCGAAAAATCCAGTTATGCAAGAGGTCGCAAGATGATTAGTATGAAATCCACAGTCGAGTGAGTTGTTAGCGCTTTGCACGGGTATCAGAGCTGCGGAGTTCAATGCGGAGGTCGCAGAATCTGGGGAAGATACCGAGCCGAGGCAAAGCTATATCTGGATTAGCGTGACAGCATACGTCATCGATACCGCGGCCATCGGTGATGTTAATGCTATATGCATGTCTGCACTCAATCATCCGTAACAATGTCTTTCGTCAGCAGTCCAGCATCAATTGAGCGGCAGTAAAGATTGTGTTTATGATGTTATGCAACCAAGTGAACACCACCTGGGCATCCTGCGCAGTATCAGGACTTCCGGGATCTATGGATGCAGCTTGAGTCATCGAATCAATACGTGGAAATGCCGATGAAGCAATATTGAGTAGCTGAGCATACTTGCAGTGAATGGTGGGATGGCGCCGGTACCTCATCGCAATCTACTGGAGATAAGGGAGAATATTGGTCAAAAGACTGGTTCCTATAAGAGCGAGGATGTTTGCATGGTTGTCGCGCATGATGTTTGAGTGTTTTAGGAGTTGTGGATTTCTTCCCCAAAATAGCTAAGAAATAAGAAAAGACGAGTTGAAAGACAGCGACAGAATGGGGATTTCGTGGACATTTCCCGCCTGTGGCGAAGGGAAACTAGAGCATGATCGGAAGTTAAGTTCCACAAAAGAGTAAAACCGACGCGTCTTGAGGGTTCGTCCATACTGACCTCCGGTAGGCCTTGAATCTCACCTGCCAGCTCGACTCATGTCTCACTCATCATGTCATCAACAATCTCCTGTCCGTCCCACGACTCACCTGGGCTCATGGGATCTGCATCTCGTTAGTATTTCTCATCTTCTAAGCCAGATTTTTATTTGCACTCACGCGTCACTTCTCCAACCTGCTCTTGCAACTTGCAGTAAAGGCTCTCTACCGCCTCCCATGCCGAGTCGACAACTTCGCCCTCGGCTAATAGCTTCCATTCAGCGATTGAGTCAGGCTGGGTGTAGACGATAGCTTGGGCCGTATAGAACACAAATGGCTTCCTGATGGCTGAGCCGGGGGGCGGATGGGTGGGCGGGAGTGCGGAGGTTAATACTGAAAACGTGTAGTGTGACGTCGGGTATGAATGGCCGTGAAGCGCGCGAACCTGGTCTTGATATTACATCAGTCAGGCACAAGGTGGACTGCGTGGATCTTATTACCGATAATCAGAACCTTCAAAGCTTCAATCGTTCTGATAGAGTTCACGAGCGACGTTGGCGGATTGGCTGGTGCCATTATGCGCACGGTGTAGTGATCATCGCTTGAGGTTGATGTTCATGTTCCTGTTCTTAGGAACGTTCCTATTCCGATACGGAACGTTCCGAAGAACAGTCTAATCTAACTCTGAGTCTCAAAACTATCACAACAGGAATACCATGTCAATTCTTGACTTTTGAAATTGATGAAAGTAGACTTGGTGTTCGATCGAGATGTATGATTTGCTTCTCGACTAGAATCTATCCTAGGTAGTCACCAGGAAGGTGTTTATCATGATAGGACCATCCTCTCTGTTCTTTAATCTCTATCATAAGTCATTCCGGTCCTTGTCTCGCTTCTTGCCGCATTAGACGACCACGGTCCGAAGATAGTATCATATTCACTACGTTGACGTTTCTCTTATTTATAGCAATGAATATCGGTACGCGCAAAGGTCTTTCCTCAACCTTAGGATCCGTTCATCTAGAGGTGGCGAGCGATTCTAGAGATCTATCTAGAAAATCTGGATGACGAGATGTGAAAGTGTCAAACCAAGAAACAAGCGTCTACGCTCGTCATACGAACGGAGTGGATATCTCAAAAGCCATCAACCACGGACATGCTTTCGAATCCCAATATGTTCTTGAATGCCAGCATGAAAGTATCTTATCGCATGTACCCGCCGGTTTACTTCATATCTTAATTGATCGAACGTATTTGACTATAACGAGACTGCCCTACTCAAGAGTCTCAGAGGTCAGCATCACCAGCCCTACACTCTATAAAGCTCCATACAATTCCTTCCGACAGCTTGTTTCCAGTCCTCCCTAGCTTTTGTAGCCCGTTCTGTGCATTGATCACTATAGGACGAAGAGTCCACCAGTCCAACATTTGCATAACGTAGCCCCCTTCTGGTACTGGAGTAATAGTAATTTGTCTCCAACTACTATTCTTCTCTGCCGTGCACTTAAGTCTTCCGTCCCCACCATGGCATATGAACTTAGATGAGACGCAGTTTCGGAATCCAAACCAGCCTTGAGTCTCTATACACGTCCACATGATAGATCCACGACCGCTGGGTGGAGCTAGTACGATGTTCCCATCAAGCAATGTGAGCACATTGCCGCATGAAATAGAGCGAATGATGACGGTACATCCATGTGAAGGCACCCAACTCGGCGATGCGTGGTCTTCCACAAGGTCCAAAGTAGCGTTCTCGGCAGTCGTGGTAGGTGTATAGATGCTGGAGTCGTCTAGGTCTGAGATAGACGCAATATTGTGCTGATCAGGATCCTGAGAGACCATGTTCGACAGTCGAAGAGCTGTTTTAACTGCGCCGTTGACATAAAGAGCGAATGCGCTATGGTCTGTGCGAAGTCGAGGAATCAGTACCCTGTTTCACAACCAAATTATATCAGGTGCTTACCTACTTACAGTATCGACCCGCTTATCTTAGTCGTCGCCGTCGTGGTTGTTGTTGTGCATTGATACAGGTGCTGCTGCGGGGCACCAGTACCTATATAGGTGGGGCACTTTACGGTAATTCCTGCTTGTAGTATGGCGCATACTTTGTTACAACTACCCCACGGTGCCGCAATCCAGAGACGTTAGAAGATCTTTGTAACTTGAGCTTTTTTCATAGGATATCTAAAGTTTCAAACCCCAGCAATCTTTTGTTTTAGCTTGTACATGCCTGCGACCCTACTGCTAACTCTTTTAACCCTGTGAAGACCTGGTAGCGACGAGTTTGCCCTAATGTAATCCTGAATCAACAACACGGTATTGGCATTGTCTATTGTTTCAGATAGCTCTAATCCTTCATCTTCTGACAGTATGAATCGCTCCGCGTGATCCGTTGAGAGCAAGGCTCTAACGATTTTGATGTTTCCCATACTGGTGGCAACGCCAATCGGTCTTGACCATACACCCGAGTCTGAATCGTCGCTACAGTTGAGATCTATCAATTCATTGTTGATGAGGAGCTGAGCAGCATCGTCCCGAGACGTTGAGATAGCAAGACACAGTGGCGCAAGCCCGACAAGGATAGCTGAGATATCGTCGCGAGATGGTGAGATATTCGGTGACTGGCTTATCGTCTCCATGATATCGGCGAGCACTGGATAACGGTAGAGGACGCTTCCAGGATCCACAATTGCGGCATGGTAATCTAGGAACAACGGAGTGTACAGATCCAATAAGTACCTGATTGCATGAAGACGGTTAGTCTCGATAGCGTAGTAGAACATTTCGCTAAACAAAGAACTATGCTGAATACGTTTGGAATTTGACCCGAAAAGTTGCAGACCATTTCTGTAGGCTTCATCGCAAGGCCATCGACTAGGCGGTTGAAGCAACGCCCAGAGTAAGCCAATTGCTTCCTTCAACGATGTGACAGGTATTGTGTCTTGTTCGAAATATCGGAAGAAGTTTTCCGGAACAGAGCACAATAGCATCGGAAGACCTGTCAAGTGTTCTATGATATGCGCTTTTGCATAGTGCTGGAAGTTGTAAGATTCCATGTCAGAAGGAATCTGCTTGAATCCTTTTGCAAGAGCATTGGAAACATCAAAGTTGGATTGCCCTTTCGATCGCAAGAGCTTCAGGGCCATAGCTTGGACACTTTTGCGTGTGCCCGTCATAGAAGTGATGATGTGAGAGGGCGCTGTTCCTACATCGAGTGTAGGGAGACGGACTGTGAGTTCTGTTCCGAAAATCTCATAACTGAGATAGGTGATGATTATCGATGACATCAGGGCTTGCGCAGCCTCTGGCTCAAATGGTATTCCATGAATCATAGTTGGCGATGTAGGGTTTTCTTGAAGTAAGAACTGGTTTACACTTGGATGTACTGTACGTACTGTGTGCTCTTCTTCGTCGATGGTGATAAGACAACCGCAGGATGTCAGTGCCGGATATATGCTGTTGAGTATTTTGGCTGGGTCCCATCTGGTGTTTCCCGGTGTCACACTCAAAGCTTCCCGCATCTCCTGTGTCGTAAGTGGCCGCCTCGCACTCAAGATAAGCTTGAATATGTCTGACTGTAAAGGCTGACCTGGTCTTGTTGCTTGCCTTAATATCCGGCTGTAGATCCCTGAGAGATCTTGCGGTAGTTCTGTAAGCGCTTCTCGAATGTCGTGATCGGTTTGCATCATGCAGATCGATTGGATCTGAAGAGTAACCCAGAGAAACATATGCTGTGAGCCTTGTAAAAGTGTGTTTTCTATATCAAGGATAAGGACGGGATTTCCCAGGGCCAGGGATCCACTTGATATAGCAGTGTCCAGTTGCACTTTTATGAATGCTCGAATGTCCGAATTATTATCGGGAAGTCTGACCGCCTTAGCTTCTGGAAACTCTGTGGCGAAAGAATGTAGCTCTATTTCCGGTTCTAGACGGCGAGAAACGCAGGCTCGTGTGTTGAATCGCATTCTTAGCATGTCCAATTGCTCGGTAATTGCTTTTCGTTCCAGAGGAGAGCACAGATCCAGGCCGTCAAGTATGATGTAAATAATGTGCTTAGGGGGGACAATGTGACACATCAAATCGTAGAGTTGAGAGAGATCATAAGCATTGGTAGCTTCCGTCTCGGTTAGGAGGTGTGAGAATAGGCTGATGATCTGGCGTATGAGTGCACCAATTACTGTCCTCGCTACCAAACTTTCAGGAAGGTCATGTCGGCAAAAGAAGTACGCCAATCCAGAAACGCTAGTATCGATCCGTAAGTTGATATCATCCACAATATTCGCAAGTGTTACGGATTTCCCATATCCGAGTTTGCCAACCAAAATGAGTGTTTTAGGATCGGACCCTCTTGCCCATTCGACATACTCAGGCATTTGCGCATACAAGTTTGTATTGCCCGCCTTTCGAATTTGTCTCCACGTGGTTTCGTAATCGTGAGTTGAGCAGCGGTCCAACATTTTTCGAAGTGCAATCTGCTTCTGTTGCTGAGAAGTGCTCTTCGAATTCAAATCCATCATAGCCCTGAATCGCGAACTGCACTCCGCTTCTGTTTCGATTCTTCTTGCGATGAGTATCGTGATCTCCACTTGAATCGATTTTGACCACACCAAAAGATTCGACCGCATCTCTTTGATATCGGAATCATTGAGTGAGGATGTGAATTTTCCCAATGCAGACTTCTGAAGGTATCGGTGGTATCGAAAACATGTCTGTACCACAACAATGAAGAATTCGATGATGTACGATTGTAATGATTTTGAACGAGGATACAACAACGCCAGATCTGAGTGCTGTCTTGTCGATTGACCAGCTTCCATAAGGAGAAGAGACAAGCTTTCGAGGTATGATGCGCGATTCGTAGCTGCCTAGAATTATCACTACGTCAGATCAAGCACGCTAAAGCAAGGTTACCTCAACATAAGATACCCCGTATTTCACAAGTAGACGGTGATCTGAGTCAACAAAACGATGGAAGACTTACCAATAGACACATGCGTACCACTGACCATACACCACAGGCAACCACATTCTGGGAGCTCCCTACGACAACGTCGCCAAGCGCAGCAAACTGTTGTACGCCATGGAGGAATTTGGTAAATCGAGGTCCAAAACAACGCCCTCCTGCCTTCCGTGACGCGTCGATCTCTGCTGTGATCCGCATTACATCAGTTGTACTGGGGGTACACTGCAGCGATTGTGTCCGCTGATTGCGAAAGACGACTTTTTGGCCATCAGAAAGACTCGCCTCGAACAAGGAAATGGCTTGAGCTAATCGGATCACGGGCTTTAGGGGGGCAGCGGTGGATAAATTGGAGGCCATCGAGGAAACAGTATACGTATGGACGGTATGAGCGTCGAGTAGACAGAAAAGGCTTCGTGGAAGAGTCTGGCCGAGCAGCTGGGAGCCTTCAGAGCTGATGACCGTGTGCTGGAATCAGGACCGGTCGCGACATCTATATGCGGAGTGCAGCGCAGTGCAGCCGGATTCTTGGAGGAGAGGAAACAAGTCTATGACATCTTTTGGAGCAAGGCAGTGTTTTTATCAGCCCTCCCTCAACTGCATGGAGGCGATGCATAGCCACCACAACAGCGCGGGGTAAATGTAGCCTTGTGCTACGTCTCATTACACGCGCGGGCTGGATTGACGATAAGAATGGTACGGAGGGTGCGCATACATGAACACTGATCTGGAAACCTACGCATCAGTAAGTTGACTTACTGTCTGGATGTGATCCTGATGGGCGTGCCCAGGCCGGGATGGCGCGCAGAGTATCATGATCCAAGCATCCTCGTACAGATTTCCGGAGGTCAGCCTTCCGTCAGCCTTGGGGCAGCCTTTGGGCAGCCTTCATACATCTTAACCGAAGTCTGAGTCTTCGCTCGCTAAAAGTGTAAACATTGTGGTAAACACAGCGATCAACGTTAGTAGAAGGCAGCTTCCTTCATCTGCAGACGGACGACGATAGTAGTATAGCGGATGACAGGTTGCAGAACTTTGGAATGCTTCAGGGATACAAAGTGCACTATCGATAAGCGTTGCGCACCTACCGTACCACAACGACCATTGTCTTTCGGTCTAAGCCACATGCGCATCATCGCGTCGATACAGAAGAGCGCACTACTGCGTCAAATTAATCGTCTTCTACCAAAGCGCAAGTCATCTTCCCATCTCCTTCACCGTCCACTGTCCACGAGCTCTCGATACCAAACTCCTCCGCATCCGCGTCTGCGTCCTCCAGTCCATCAATCACAAGCTCTACCCGCTCTCCATCCTCAAGATCGTCGTCAACGCCCAGCATATCGCCATCTTCAACGCGTTCCTGTCTAATTCGCCCCTTAATCGATACCTTGATCCTCTGTATGCGGAATCCAAGCACAAACGGATCTTTATCGCCAATCTCCTGTGTCACATTGCGACCCTTTTCAACCCCTATATCTGGACCAGCTTGCATCGGCGCACCCAAAGATGTAGCATCAACACCAAGATGCAGATGTATACCTTTGCTACGCGCATGACTGATTGTACCTTTGGCACCGTACGCGATCTTAATCCCCGTGATCATGTAGAGCTTGGTGTCCCATGGCCGATGTCGGCGCTCTTGAATGTACTGCTTGACAGCCGTGGCTTCGACACTTTTCTTGATGTATGCAATGCTCGGCTCGAAGGAAATCGTCTTAATTGTGTCGCAGTCCCAGGTCTCCGTTGTCCCTCTGGAGATCTGTGTGTTGACATCACCGCCAACGCCCAGGATTTGCATGAGAAACGTAGCCCAAATGCCAATGGTGGTTGTTTTGGTATCGCCGAAACTAAACTTTGCTCTCCTTGCTTCAGGGTTTACAGTGACTTTATCGATTGGGAGTGGGACTTCATTGAGAGGCTGATCCGCAAAGTGCGGTTGTTCGATGATGTTGCCCAGCCTTATGAAGGTGTCTGGCGGCGTTTCACGCGTAGGTGCGAGGAAATATCTCAACATGATGTGATGGATGTAGGTATCCAAATGTCAATAGTCACAGCATTCCGTCTGCAATATGCATACATATATGTATATGTAAGGCGCTTCTGTCTCTGAGATAAATTTAGCGATACTGTAGGAGAGCGTAAAGGCTGGCAGGCTGAGCACGGCTGAGATGCAGGTGCAAGCCACCACCACCAAAACCTCAATTGAGCTGCTGACTGGCCCGCCATTTGTCCCACTCAAGCAGCTGCAGCCATCTCCTCAAGCCATATGACTTCTGACGAATGAGCCTTTTAAGTCTTGCGCTTGAATGGCCGGATTCATCGACACCAGACTATTAATAAACCAGCGATAGCTTTGCCGAAGCATAGCAGAGGATCTTGGTTGTGGTGGCCCTTTGGGAATTTCTGCACTGCCCATTCTACAATCTATCGACATATTAGAGCATGTTTTGGACCCTTCCAACCAGAGACCTCGTCATTCAGAAAGTCATCACAATCGTTTGAACATTGCTCTCAGTCTTTCCAGCCCTCCTTCATCATGGCGAGCTTTGCCAAAACCGCCAGTCATCAGGCTACCAGCAGCCGTGCAACTATCGCGATATTATCTTCACAGCATGAGAGAGGCACTCCACCACATCCGTCCAGGATACATCCCCCATATGCTTAGACTGGTAAATAGGTATAGGTTAGGTTAGGGTTAGGTCTAATTTATAAAACCCTAACCTAACCTTAACCCTAACTTATATATTTTACGCTAAAAATAGGTTAGAGTTAGGTTAGAGTATACTTTAGCGTAAGTTAGAGTTAAGTTAAGGTAGTCTAAGCGTAGGTTAGAGTTAAGTATAGTATACTTAAGTATACCTATATATACCTAAATATATAAAGAGTAATTATTTAAAGCCTAATATTACAGACAATTATTATAGTATAGTAGAGTATTAGATTAAGTATACCTATATATACCTAAATATATAGAGTAATTATTTAGAGCGTAATATTACAGACAATTATTATAGTATAGTAGAGTATTAGATTATATTATAAGACTTAGTATCTATTGTAAATTTCCTAAAGTCCTCCTACTACTTATAAATACCTTTAAGTCCCCTATCTTCTCTTATTATACTTAATATAGTAGCGCTTAGTAAGGTCTAAGTCCTTATATATAATAGTAACTCTCTTTATATAAATAGCATTAACGTTAAAGTCTATAATAGTTAGTAAAGATAGAAGAAGTAAATAGAATGTATAGATATACTCTTAAAGTAGCTAATAAAGTAAGTTTTAGCTATCTCCTATAACGCTATAATAGCTATACTAGCCTATTAAAAATTATATAATATGTCTTTAGAAATCTCGCAGATAAGTCTAGAGAAAGGCAGCTTATAGAGAAGGAGATTAGTACTTTTCTAATATTTCCTTATCTCTCTAAGCGCAACAGCTAAGTAAAGTTAAGTATATACTATAATTATAGAATATAATAACTTACTACCTACTTTAAAACAACGCTTCTTATAAGTAGTACTATTCTTATTTATTCCTAAAGTCTTTAGCTTTTTACGTGCGGCCTTCTATACAAGTAGCTAAGGAAGAGACTTACTACTAACTCTAGTATTACGTGCGCTTAGTTTTAGCTTAGGCTTAGGCTTTAGCTTTAGCTTTTATATAGTATTAGCTATTATATATATAGTATAAGATTGTTATTATTATATATAATAATTAAGCTTATTAGGTAGTTAGTAGGTAGTAGAGTATAGTTAGGTGTAGGTATTCTAACTAATAATAGGTAAAATTAGATTTTAGCGCTAGCGCTAAGTAGTTGTACACAGACTACACACACCTAAAATAGCAATATTAAGCTACCTGCTAACTATCTAACTAACTAGCTACCTAGCTATATACTTAACTATTTAACTTCTTAAATTTAATAATTATTACATTTAATTATTACAGCTATTAAACGCGTTAAAATAGCTAATATTAAGAAAGAGCTATTTAGTAATATAGATAATAGCGGTATTTAGCCTAAAGGTCTTATACTACTAAAGACAGTACTTTAGGGCTTTAAGCTTAAAGAGTAGCAGAAGCTTACTAAGGTATTTAATACAGCTATTAATAACAGCTTATACTAATAACTATAGAATTAGGAGTCTAAAGAGTAAGAGATCTGCTATATCTTCTTACTACGCGGTTAAGCTAATATTCCTAAGAAGGGACAACTTACTAACTTTAAGTAGCCTTTTAAAGGCAACCTTAGTACTACTTATTAAGCTATTACGCAATATAATTACGCTGCTACTTAAGATAATAAGACTAAAGCCTTAACTACAGTACGTAATATAGATTAGGCTATAAAATACGCTCTTAAGAATAAGCTAAATAAATATTAAGCCTATAAAGATCTAAGTAAGAAAGAGTAGTAGAAAGTAATAGAGGATTAGTATAAGAAGGTATGCTAGAAAAAATTTAAAGACTATAGTAGTAGTAAGTTATTATAGTCTATTATTATATCTTTATACTAATCTATATAGCTAAATAGCTAGAGGGTAAGCTACATTCTACTTATAAGAAGTAGGAAAAAGCTTACTATAAAGCAGATCTTTAAAGCTATTAAATTAAAGTTAATACTATCTAAGAGATTAATAATCCTAAAAAGAAAGAACTGCCGCGCATAGCATAACGCCTTTATAGTTAATATAGACTTCTAGATATTATTTAGTAAAGAACTTATCTTAAAGGTTTAGAAAAGCTTAAGAAGAACAGTTTTAATAGTAAAGAAGAGAAATAGGTATTTTAAGTATAGGTATCTAAATTAAAGCCTAAAGAGTTAGTAATCTATATAGATAAGGATTAGAAGTAAGTTTATTACAGCTAATTATAATATATATATACTAATAAAGACTAGATAACTAGAGCTTCTACTTATAGAGCTAGAGAGCGATTTCCTAATTAAGGATAATAGTAAGCTATATATTCTAGCTGCAGATAGTAATAACTATAAAGAGGAGATTAATAACAATAGTAATATTAAGAATTACTTTACTTCTTTGCTAAATAAGTATAAGATATATAATAAGTAGGCTAATAAGGCTAAAGAAGAAGATAATAGTAAGACTAAGTTTAAGGGGTTTTTAGATTAAAGTAGTTAGGTCTCTACTATTCTAGAATAATAAGCGTTGCTTTAGTAGAATAAGTAAACCTTAGTAGTTATTACAGCTAATTATATTAGCTAGATCGTTCTAATTAGCTTGCTTTTTATATTAATAACGCGTAGACTACTATATATATTAGCTTTTTAAGCTCTAGTAGCTAATTATAATCTATACTAGAGTTTCTAAGTCCTCTTTAAGTCTACGCTACTTATATAGTAGGTTACCTAAGGTTTTAGTATAACGCTACAGATTTTCTAATCTAGAGATTATAGAACAGGTTAGATATACATACTTTTAGATATAGTAATATTAAATAAATAGCTGTTATTATAGTCTATTATACTAGTTACAGTCTTATCTTTATTCTATCTACAGTCTTATAGCTAAACCTCCTATAGAGCCGCTTCTATCTCTCTATTATCTTAAAATAAGCAGGCTGTAGATTATTAGAGGGGGGGGTAATTAACTTATTAAGCTACTTAGCTGCTTACTACTATATAAATAATTACTTATAGAGGGAGAAACTTAAAGAGAGCGTCTCTTTAATATATAAATAGTCTAGTAGAGTAATATAATCTAGGCTATAAATCTAGATAGTACGCTACTACGCTAGAATAACTTAGGGCGTAGTAGTCCTATTTAGAAGTAATTTAGAAAAGCTGCTAATATATTAACTAGTTAGCTTTACGTTCTTTGCAGAAATTGTAGGGCTGTTCTATCTTATCTAATTTTAACTAGTATTAGAACTAAATATCTACTTAACTACTAGAAAACAAATTTATATAAGTAAACTACATTACCTGTTTATAAAGCTTAATAAACAACGTTCGCCTCTTTTTCCTACTACTAATAGATTATAACATATATTACTATCCTAGAATATACCTAGGCTAGGTTTAATAAAGAGCTTATCTATATTATAATTACTAACAACTAGTCTTTCTAGACTATAAAGCGACTATTATTCTAATAGTTTATTAAGTTCTTATAGCCTAATACTGTAATAACTAGCTGTTATAAATTTTAGAATACTTTTGAGATCTAATTTAAAGAAGCTAGTACAGCGCTTCTATAAGATATTAGCTTAGCAACTAAGATCTTAGTCGCGTTAGATATATAGTCTGCTTCTAATTATCTAAGCTTTTTTAGGATTAAAGCGTACTATATTAATAGTACTTAGTAGCTATAAGAGAGACTACTCGACTTTATTCTACTATAAGGTTAACATACTAGAGCATCTATAGTAGAACACCTATATTCTATACTATTAATAAGAGACCTCTGTTATCGCCTTTTAGCTATTACAGCTAATAATACAAGTAATAATAGTACCCTCTGCTATAGTATTAAATTATACCTTACTTAAGATAATATCTATTAGAGCCCTCTAGAAAACTTAATACCCTACCTAGCCTACGTTATTAACCTAGTTATATAAGATATCTTCTATTACCTAAAGCTAGTAAACCCTTTTAAATTAGCGCCTAGAGAACTACTATAGAGAGATTAGATATATAATATTATTACAGATATATTAGTCCTAAACTCTCTTCGCAAGGTCTGTATAGTTTATTATATACTATTATTATAGCTAACGTCTTAACTAGATCTAAGCTATCTGTATCGCAATTAACGCGTTACTATAGTAATTTAAATAATTTCTCGCTATATAACCTCCTAAAAGCTAATTAGCAGTCTTTTAAGACGTAAAGACTTAATAGAACTTAATATATAATATATACAAACGCGTAATAATACTATAAAAGTATATTAATAAATAGCTTATAAAAGAGATAGCATTAAAAAGAGGCGTTTATATAGTTACTAGTTCTTATAGCACTAGTTCTAGGGATCTAGACTATTATAATCTCTAGTAACTTTAGCTTTTATTAAATAAGTAGAAATACCTAGAGATTATTATAGAAATACTAAAATAATTTAAGAAAGCTACTAGTGCTTTAAGCAAGACTTAGAAGCTATAGATTTAATATATCTAGCTTATATATAATATACTCTTTAACTATATTAAAATAATATTAAATAGTATAAACAACAACACTAACTATTAACTACTTAAATAGCCTGCTGTAGTAAAAGCTGTAGTTTAAGAAAGTAAGAACAAACTTAATAAATACTATACTAGGACTAGTAAGGACTAAAGATTATTATATAATTGTAGAGTAATTCTAGATCTAACTACAAAATTAATAATATATAAGGTAGTCTTATTATAGTTATTTATTACAGTTAGTAGCTAATTATACTATTAGGAAGAGGGCTAAGCGCTAGAAGATAAGTATATCTACTACTAACAGTTTCTTAAGTACCTAAGTTAATACAACGTTAGGTAAGAAGTAATACTAAGCGTTAGCTCTATACCTACTACAAGAACGTCTATAAATAATAAATAGTTTTAGAAGCCTACACCTGTAGTATAATTACCTTATACTAGCTTTTTAATCCTAAGCTAAAGCTCTTTTATACTAGAAGTAGATAATAATAGTAAGAGCAGCCTAACTTAGTAAGAGAGAGACGCTTACCTTAGCACTCCTCCTATCTAGAAAGGAGATTAGTTTAATATCCTAAAGTAGTAGTAATAGTATAAAGATGTTTACCCCTATCTATCTTAAGTTACTAAGGATATCTTAGCTATCCTAATTACTAGAGTAAGGGTTAAGTAAGTCTTTAATATTACTAAGGATATTATTAGTAACTATAGGCATTAACTTACTATATAAATAATCTAGTAGATTATAGTACTTAAGAATGCTATCTCCTAAAAAGAGGATATACACTATATTTCTAAAGTATAACGTTCTAAACCTCTATATAATAAGATAGATAATCTATTTAAGCTAGAAGCTCTTTTAGAAACCTAGCTACAAGATCTCTATTATATAGAATAAGAGGAAGATAAGAAAAGTAAGCTTTCTAATCTAGAATCTCTACTCTAACTATAGAAGTTATAGCAGCTAAGAAAAAAAGCTAAGTAATAGGTAAACGTAGCTGTTATAATAATCTATAATAACTATATATTACTACAGTCTTAGTAAATATATTAAAATCTTACCTTTTAACCCCTAACTTTTTTATATAGCTAAACCCTAACTACTTTCTATAAAGCTAATCCCTAACTACTTTCTATATAGCTAACCCTAACCTAACCTCTAACCTAACTCTAACTTACGCTTAGACTATCTTAACCTAACTTTAACCTACGCTAGAGTATACCTTAACCTAACTCTAACCTATTTTTAGCATAAAATATATAGGTTAAGGTTTAGGTTAGGTTAGGGTCTTATAAATTAGACCTAACTCTAACCTACGGTCTGTGCGACCTTAACCTAACCTATACCTAAAGTTGGGTATACTATACCCATTTACTAGTCTACATATGCTTGCGGTCAATACCCGGAAGTGCAAGACACGGTGGAGCGAAAGCGTAATCCTCTGCAGTCCTTGAAGAGTAGAGGCCCAAAAAAACAACGAAACGATATCAATAAGCACAGGTCCTTCAAGGTCAAGAATCCTCCAGATCGAATACCGAACAGACAAGCATCTTGTCAAGACACAGCGTTTCTGAGCCTACAATCCTACCAGTCAGTGAATCTTGATTGCAATACGTGCGTACACTGACACATGTGATAGGGGCGCCGATAAGTGGTTCAAAAACCTCGAAACCATAACACTACCTATATTCATGAGGCAAGAAAATACTCGCGCTAGAATTGGCCCTCCACCTAAAGAAGTTCGTATCGCGATTTTAGACAGCGGTATAGATTCAAGGTTTCACTTCAGAGACAGGGTCTACAAGAGAAGCAAAAATTTTATATCCGGCGAAAGCGAGCACAATTACAATAAAGGTGAGACGGGCCATGGCACAGCAGTTGCATACCAAGTAGCTCGTGCGTGCCCAAATGCCAAGTTATACATCGCTCGAGTAGCCAAACGCAATGACGATGGAGGTAAACCAGTGCCAGATAAGCAGGCTATAGTCAAGGCTTTGCAATGGGCTAGCAGGGAGGAAGTCGACATCATCATCATGTCTTTTGGATGGGAGACACAGGATGATGGTGACGGTGTGGAGGATGAGCTAGACAACATCAAGAACAAGAAGTCGATCCTAATGTTTGCTGCTTCCACCAACGACGGAGCGCTCGGGAAGATGCTGTTTCCAGCCCGACATTGCGGCGTCATCGCGGTTGATGCTTTCGATGGTTTCGGCAAGGAAATTCCGACCACGGGAACGCCAGACAGTGATTGGAAGCGAGAACGATTTGCTGCTCCTGGTAGATATCTCTCTGCTGGAGGAGACAAAAGAGTGACAGGCAGCTCCTACGCTTGTCCAATTGTTGCTGGTATCGCAGGTCTAGTGATAGAAGCATGTCGACGGGAGATGCCGCGACCGGAAGCGAGTGTATACAAACGTCTAGAGACTCGGGAGGCCATGGAATCCATTCTGAAATTGCTATCGACACCAAAGGGCGACTTCAATTTCTTGACGCCTTGGGAGATGCTCCGAGAGGACAGAGAGGAAAATCCTTGTGAGACATTCGATTTTTGTCGGAGCATCATAAAGGGGCCACTGAGACCGTATCTGCGTTGTGGTGCTTCGTTCATGATGAAAGGCAACATGGCGATATCACTTATTTCTCCAACCGCTGCAAGCTAGATTTTTGCGCTCCTTGTCGAGCTCGGTATCTCTGTAGACAATAGTCTTTATTCCTCGACACGCTTCGGTGAGCTTGTTATCTTCATAGCAAAGCAGGCTAGAGTTAAATATAAACACAAAAACATTGTGAGAAAATGGGAGCTAGCGACAGCAAATCCGGGACAATGATATAGGGGGGTTCGTCGTCCTAAGGTAAGTCTTAGTGGAACTCCGTGAAAATATGTCTTGTGGTGGCGTGGGCGCGACCATGTAAACGACCAATCCAGGCATGCTGATCTATAAAATAACATCAACATGAGTCTGCCTTACATGAAGTTAATCGACTTGTCCTCATTCGGGTGCAAATGGAAGAAGACGATGTGAAGGATGGAGAAAAGTCAGGTAACATGATTCGACCGCAGGTGTGCTATCGATAAGCCTAGCGCACGTACCACCGCGACCCTTGTTTTGCATCAAGATTCCAGCACTCGGCCCGGGCGCAAACCATCATCGCATCCTCTGCAACTTGCGCACCCTCACACACACACATACACACCCACATCTCAAACACCGCAACCTCCCCCAACCCGCCAAATACCTCAACCATGTCAGCCTACCAACCCCAACAAACCACGACCGCCGACCAAACTGCCAGCGCCATCGACGCCACAGCCCGCACCGTCCACTACAAGTGCGGCGACTGCGACATGGACGTGCCTCTCAAGCGCGGGGAGCCCATCCGGTGCAGGAACTGTGGTCATCGTGTGCTTTACAAGCAGAGGACCAACCGGTAAGTTATAACACATTTCTCCCCATGTGGTGTGTGTGTGTCTGTGGTCTAGGAGGACAAAGAGCGCGGCGCGTGACAAGACAATGAACAAGATGAGAGGAGGAGGGGGACATGCGCGTGTTGAGAGGAGATGAGCAGGGACAAAGTTGGGTGGAATGTGGTGGTGGAATGACGACATGGAGGGAGAAAAAGAGAAAGAGGCACAGACGGAGTTCTTCCAAGCGCACACACACACACATCCACATGCGGGAGAGCACACAACGGCAATCTCCAAGTGGAACAGCTAAAGTGCTCATTTACAAAGACTCCAAAATAACAATCACTAACATATACCCACTCTAGTATGGTCCAATTCGAGGCCCGATGAGAAACGGCCAAACAAGCTTCTTTCTAGTTGGAAAAGATCACGAGAACCACAGTTGCAGACCTGGGGGCGAGCACCAAAAAAATGGACGTTGTAATACAGCAAAGTAGTTGGGATTCTGGATGGGGAAGCAGAAACGGAATAACGTTCTAAAGCGTTCAGCATCACAAGAACTTGAAGAAAGGGCGTTGGTGTGTGTGTGTGTTTTGGTCTTGTGGCAACATGAGAGCGAGTTATTCCACAAGATTCAGCGGGGCGTAATGGCATATATGTATTCACACATCGTCAGAACAGACGTACAGACGGACAGCCAGACAGATAAACCAAGCGATCAAACGTGTGCCACAATAAAGGAGAAGCAACCCAAAGAGCGAAAAAAAATGGAATCATAATACCAATCTTCTTCTCTCTTCAAGCCATGGAATTGAACAATCATCAGTAACAAGGACACTACCTCGCCAGAGCAACTTTTCGCAAAACACAAGCTACAAGGAAAAAACAGGCATGTATAGCCATAGTAGAATGATCCCAGTCTTTTGTGTTTATCAATTCATCAACAGTCCCATGTACATCAATCACAAAACATGAATTCACAAATTGAACAAAGTGACCTCTCTTGCCACATCTGCGTTTTACCTGGTTGGGGGGAAGAAAGAAAAAAAAAGCCTTTTGATTTTCTTCCTTGTGACCCCACCCTCTCTCCGCCATGATAATCTGCGCGCAATGCGCGAACACTACCTAGTAGTATATCGGTTCAGATATGATGGTATCCGCCAGCCAACCAGAGCATATGTCATGTTCGCAGAGGAGAGGAGAACAGGGCATGAGGCAGTGGACAAGGACGGAAAAGACAAAGAAACCTCATGTGTCCCTTTCCTCAAATCGAACGAGCCCGCTATTGCTTTCCTGTTCGAAGAACACATGGTTCCCCCCCATGAACAACGCCTCCTCCATCTTCCATCATCGTCATGGTCGTCTTCTTCTTCCCACTGCCCAACGACGACGACAACGCCGTCTACGACCCCCTAAATGCATCGAACCTCTTATACGTATACCCAATAAACGGCAAACTCGTCGCGTACTCATCCTCATTAGCCGCCTGCGCAGCCTGCGCACGATGCGCAGCAGATGTATCTTGCTGATCAATTTCATCAATTGGGAAATACTGCGTATCAATGTTACTCTGGAGCTTAGGTTCAAACGGCGCGCGGATACGGCGGAGACCGTCCCAAGCAACACCTCTGAAAAAGGGGTGTTGTTTGATCTCGTTGGCGCCGCCGATGCGACCGAGGCGGTGTTCGGCGTCACATATCAGACTATGATTTCAAATGTCAGTAATTCAGGGTTTTAAATTGCCAAGACTGGGGCTTGTGAAGAAGAGGACGTAAGTGAGAAGAAAAGACATACCGGCGAACAAAGTCCTCAGCCTCAGCACCGAGTTGCTGGTCAGGAGGAAAGTGCAAGTTCCTCGGCCAATCAACAATCTTGCGGTAAGTATCATGCGGCTCCTCAGCGCAGAACGGCGGCCAGCCAATCAAACACTCAAACATAATCGTGCCCACCGACCACCAATCGCAGCTGTAGTCGTAGCCCTGGCCGCTGAAAATTTCGGGCGCAATATAATCAGGCGTACCGACGGTCGAGTAGGCGAGCTGGCGACGAGACTTACGCCATGTGTTGATCTGGGTACGGTTGCTGACAGTGAGTTGGATCTGGTCAAGGTTCATGGATTGTCGGTTGTCTCGGTTCGACTTGTGGGCGCCGCCTGCGAGGAGCTTCTTGTAGTAGCCTGCGTCGTGCTCCTTGTGGAAGCCGGTCGAGAGACCGAAATCTGTCAGCTTGATGTGGCCACCTCGGTCTAGAAGGATGTTGTCGGGTTTGATGTCACTAGAAAGATTAGAGTTGTACGCTGAAGCTCACAGAGACTTTATTCTTACCGGTGAATGAAACCAAGCTTGTGGACTGCTTCTATCGCAAGCGTGATCTCGGCCATGTAGAAGCGCGTAATGTCCTCGGTAAAGATTTCGTACTTGATCAGCATGGTCATCAAGTCACCACCTGGCAGAAACTCCATAAGCATGTAGAGGAACGTGTTGTCCTGGAAGGTTGTGTGTAGCTTGACAACCCAAGGACTGTCAGACTCTGCGAGAATGTCACGTTCTGACCGTACGTGGGCCAGCTGGTCTTTTTTGAACTACAACAAGTCAGCCCGATACTGAAGGTAGTGTACTGTGGAAGCTCACCATCTCCTGCTTGACAAGCGACTTGAGCGCATAGATCTTGCCGTCGTTGCGCCGTTGGACCAGCTTGACCTCTCCAAAAGCACCCTTGCCGATAATCTTGAGCGTGGAGAAGTTTTCGGGCTTCTCTTTTGTCCGCAGGAAGCGCAAGTATTCGACTTCGGCACGGCGCATGCTGTCTTCTTTGGACCGTTTCCGGCTGTCGGAGAAAGAGGGCTCCTTCATGATGGCGTCGAGTTCGAGAGCTCTGCAAGCAAGTTAGTCGTGTCGGGCGAGGAGTGGTGGGGTGGTTTGACCTTTGATTCCGGTCGCGTGCCCGCTGTACGCTGTCCTTGAAGAAGGTGTTGATCAGACTCTTGGAGACCATGGCCTGCTTGTCTACGTTCTCCGAGTACTTTGTGGGGTTTCGTTGGGGCGCCTCTTCGTCGTACAGCGAGGGGCCTTGGCGGGGTCCTGAGCTGCCGCCCTGGCTTCCATACCCGTAGCCTCCTCTGTTGTCTGCGGTGCGAGGGCGTCCGGGGTTGGGCGAGCCTTGTCGGCCGTACGGGCTTCCAGAGCGACCGCCGCCCGAGAGGTGTTGGTGCGAGAGTTGTTGGGCGAGGCCATTGGCACTCTGGTCGAAACGCTGGCTGCCTGGAGCCTGGAGGTTGCCCTGCTGCCCTTGGTATTGTGCCTGCTGGTAGGGGTTCATGAAGTAGCCGCCGCCGCCATTGTAGCCATTGCCCTGCTGGGCGCCCCAGACCTCTTGCTGGCCGGCCTGGTTGGGGTATACAGGTTGCGGGAATGTCGAGGGCGTCGTGGGGAATGCTCTGCCCACTTCCTGCTGGTATTGATTGTTTCGGTCGCCGCCTCCGAAGCCGAAGTTGAGCTGCAGGCGGTTGCCCTGCTGGTTGTTGTTCATCGTGGACGAGTCGTTGTACACGATGCACTCGGAGGGATGTCGGGAGGAATCGGTGTGCGGCCGTGGATCACGTCTTGGAGGTTGGCTCAATACCGGAAGGAGGTACGAGTCTGGGCGGTCGAGACGGTGTTCACACTGCAGAGGTTTCTTCAGTGCAGCGCTGGCAAGGAGAGGGAGGTGCTGGGGACTGCCGCAGTAGCTCGGTCAGGGATAACTTTAGGGTGCAGCAGGGGCCACCACAGCGGGGAACACTTCCAACACCTCAATGTGTTTCAGACACCCGGCCAAGTCGACGCATGTGCTCTCTCCCGTGTTGGCTATTCACTTTGCTTGTGCCGCCTCTCTGCATTGAGCCAGCACGGCACGCGTCCCGTCTGCCGCCACGCAGCTGCTGTGCCTCCAACCCCCGGACTCGAGTACATGAGCCTATCGATAGGAGCCTCACCGACAATCCGCGACAAGAGGCACGTGTCAGGACACATGGATCAAAGACAAAACAGTCACGTGAAAACAAAAACATAAGAACGTCAACCATCATCCATTGAACCATTATACTACACGACCACAATAAGGTACTTTGCATCCGCCAAGGCGAGCCGCTATCCCCATCCTACCATCTACCCATTCGATGCCAGGCCCAAAGCCAAACAAGGCCCGCAAAGTATATGCAGGACCAACCTCCTCAACAGCAACGCTGATGATACCACGGACGGGTATAAAACAAATCGACGACAAAAGTCTGCCGAGAAACAAACATCCTGGTCCCATATATCAGACCCAGAGAAAGGTTATACTAAGACAATATATGAATATGTAAAGGGGTGAAGAGAAGTAGTATGCGTGTGATCGTGAAGCCCATCGTGGGTAAATGCGGTAGTGGTAACCAGTGGACCGTAAAACGCCAAAGGTGTGTAAAAAAAAACGTCCTGAAATACGATACGGTGGTACCGAAGATAAGCTGGTCGAAGAGTTGAGGAGCCAAAGAGAAGATGATCGTGTATAAGATGTCGGCATAGTCATTATGCAGTCGAGGCCAGATTTTTTGACGCGCTTATAGCCATTTCTGCCTTGGTCTTTTTGCGTCGGGCAACGACCTGAACTTGTACGTGTTGGCAACATCACGTCGTTGATGCGCTTGTGGCCATCAACGCCTTGACCTTTTCGCGCTCAGCCACAATCTCAGCTTGTAGTTTGCGTGTTTGGCGCATAGCCTCGTCCCTGTTGAACCGTTAGTGCCCACCCCTCATCGATAGTATTCATGTTAGCATAGACATACCTCTCAAACTGCAAATCCGCAACCTCCATCTGCGCCAAGTTCATCCTGCCAACGACCTCCTCCATCTCGTGATCCGCATCTCTAAGCGCCTTCTCCAGCTCCTCAACTCTCTTCTCTAGACTCTCCGTCTTGGTGGCTTCAGCAAGACTCATAGCGGGTCCACTGGAAGTAACATCCAGCCTCGGGGATTTCTGCGAGAAGACTGGACTACTTGGCAGCCTAGGCGAGAACGCTGACGGGGAAAGGAGACCGGATTTCACACGGCGAAGATGGTTTGTGTGGCTTTCTTTGATAGCCTGGACCTCGTCCTCGTGACGAGCGACGGCTTCTTCGGAAGACTGTTGAGCGAGCAT